TTGTGTTTGTGCCTTTGGGGCTTCAACCGGGGTTCCTTTAAAAAATATTTGGGAACTTTGGGACCCCAAATTGGGAGGTTTTTAACAAAACCCTTGGGAAAAATAAATAAACAGGGAAAAACCCAAATAGACAAAAGAATTACAATAAAATTTTAAAATCAGAAAAATTGTTATGAAAAATAATAATAAACAAAGTTTTTTTTGTGTAATTTTTTTTCCCAACCAATCAATATTGTACATATTTTAAACCCCAGAAAAATTTGAGAAAAAACCCCTTCTATAAAAATAATTTTAAATTAATTATTTTGCTAATAATAATCAAAGGGAAAAATACTTCAAAAAAATGAATCTCTCTTGTGGGCTTTAAAAAATTTTTAAAGGGCTTTTTTTCCCAAGAGGGTTTTTAAACTTAGTTTGAAAAATTTTAATTGTATTAAAAGTAACACAATATTTTTAACAATTGGGAAACTGAAATTTTTGGGGGCAAAAAGTTTTACAGTTTTGAAATAGTATTTTTAGTCGATTAAACATTCACAACTATCACTTTTTAAAGGTGATAAGAAAATTTAAAAGGGTTAAAGGGATTTTTGACTTTTTAAGGGGGTAAAATAAGTTAAAATAACAGCTTTAAACTTTAAGGTGGTAAAAAAAGTTAAAGGTTAACACCTTTGACTTTTAAAGGGTTTAATTTTCCCTTGGGTCCCCTTTTATAATCTTTTTTTTAAATAAAAAACCCATTGGCTTGCTTTTTGGGGTACTGGATATTTTCCCTTTTTTTATCACAAAAAGGGGAAGATTAAAAAAAACATAAATTTTAAACAAAAAATATTTCCTTACATGAAAAATTTTATTTTAAAATAAATCATAAAAATTTTAATAATTTTTTTCAAACTATAAATTGGCCCGGAAAGATATCAAAAATAAAAAAATTTATCCTTTCATAAAAAAACAAATATAAAAATACGAAACAGAATATTCTTTGTTTTGCAAGGTTTAGTTTTTACATAAAATTTTAAATAGAAACATATAATGATATAATTTTTACTTGAAAAAATTTTAAATGAATTTCTTAATACACATATAACATTTAACCAAATGTATGCCAGCATAAAGAAGGTTTTAAACCACAAAAAAAAGGTTAAACTAGATAAAAGTACATGTAATTTAAAATGTAAGTAAAATTTTGTTTTAAATTCAAACACAGAAATTTCATGTATTTATGCCCAAGTGCAGGATATCTCTGCTATCAAAAAGAAATTGTTTTTATAACAATACACAATTTTTTTTTAAATAAATATAAATAAAATATGTTTTAATAAGAAAAAGATGTACAATTAGTGGGAAAAAGGAATAAAAAAATACAAAAGATTATTTAAGATAAAAAAAGTATCAACAGTAAATATTTTAAACCTGACTAAACAGTTAGCATTGTATCAAAATAAATTAAATTTATGTATAATTTTAAAAGGGAAAATAATTATATAAACTATTAAAGGCCCATTCACTATGCCCTTTGAAAACAACACAAACAATTTATAACTAGATGAACCCTATTAACTTGTTATCCTTTACCCAATGTGGTTTTGATTTTGTAATTAAAGTGAGAAATTTTCTCAAAAGTAATTTTTGAGAGAGTATTGGCCCTTAAAAAGGATTTATTAATAAAAAAAGAAATGTCAAAAACTTAGTCTTACAGTGTAAAACTTATTATTAAATAAATTGCGCAAATAAAAGAAAATATCAAATTCCCCAATTAAACCAGTATATAAACAGAATGGTATAAGTAGCTTAGTTTCAATCAAAATAACTTAATCATCTCAACATTCATATTTTAAATGGTTTTACCCTAAACAAATTTTGACTTACACAAAAAGAAATAACCCTAAAAAAAATTTGCATGTAATTTTGCACTTTTCCCAGGGTTAATATTTCCAAAAAATAAATTAAAATCTATTTTGGAAATGTCAACAAAAATTTTTAAATTAAAAGACAAATTTTTTCCCCTTGCTTCGAAATTTATTTTTCGAAATTTACCTAAACTTTAAAAATTTTGTTAATAAAAAAAATTTTTGCTAAATACATTTCGTTCAAAATAGCCCTTATCTGGAACTCGGGAAAATTTTTTTTTTCCAAAGCTAAACTGAAACTTTTACAAAAAATTTTTTCCCCGTTTTTTTGTTTTTAACCGGTTTGCACTACCCGTCCAATAGTTTAGTCAACCTGTTTGTTTTTTTTCGAAGCTGTTAAGGGAAAAAGTTGTTTGAAAACCTAATTATTGCGGGGAAAAAAACAAAATAATTTTAATCCGGAGTATATTAACTCTAAACAGAGATGAGTAAACAAGATTTTACTAAATTGCATGCCTTTACTTTCTTCTTTTCTCCACAGTCGTTTTTGATCTTTCATTTTTGGCCCCTGTCTTGTTGCATTTTATCCTCCTTTGGAACTCCTCTGGGGTCTTTTGCAGGTTGTGTCCATAAAATGTTTAGCCTCCAGGAGGTTCGGGCTTTGAAAGCTTGTGAATCCTCATTTACCTCCCTTTTTTTTTAATACTTTTCACTGGAAAGGTTTCCTCCCTTTTTGTTTTGGTTGTTCTGGTTTCTCATCTACATTGTTGAATGTACTGGTGGTTTCTGTTCATAGTTCTCATACATATTCCATCTGTAACAAAATGTTATTTTCTCTTGGTGAAGATTTCCTTTTGACTGAGGACCCATGTTTTAGATGGTTTTAAGGGTTTTTTCATGTTTTTTTCTTTTTCAATAATTTTGGCTGCTCTTTCCCCCTTCTTCTTTTCCAAAAGTTTTTTGTTTCTTTTTTTTTTTTGTTTTTTCAAACGGGCTGCTCTTCCTCTTCTCTGTACTTGTATTTTAAACCCAAATTTCAAAAATAAAATCTTTGTGTTTAATTTTTTGGGAAATGGGAAAATTTCATATAAACATTGGGAAGGGTTATTGAATTTAGTTTTTCAAATTTTAAATAAGGGAATTTTTTCGGGTTTTCCCTTTTGAAAGGTTTAAAATTTTGATTTAAAAGAAAAACCAAAAATAATTTTAAATTTTTAAAAGGGAAAACAATGCTACTGCACATTTTTTGAATGCTTTGGGACTATAAACTAAGGTTTGTTTCCCAATTGGGTTAAAACCATGTCAGGGGGCTACCCTTTGTTTCTTTGGGCAAAAAACGTCACTTGTTGCTCATCCGGGGGTTGGGTTTCCGGGAAAAAAATTTGAAAAAGGTTTTAAAATTTTATTTTCCCTACATAAACAAATAAAATGATTTAATATAACAAAACCCCTTAAAAATAAATTTGCTTTTTTTATCTTAAATAAAGTTTCCTGCAAACTTGGAAAATTAAAAAAATAATCCCTTTTTGTAATAAAAATACCTTCCCCTTTTCACTTTCTTCTTTTTTCTAAACCATCATTTTTTTTTTAAATTTAAACAGATTGTTTCTTTTTTTAAACAAAAGGCTTTGGGTTATTTTTTGTTGGTAGAAGTTAAAATTTGCTAATTCAGTTTTTCCCATTTTTCTTTGTTTTTTTTTTCCAATTTTCTGCAAAATTTTCCAAAAAACAGATTTTTAAAAATTAAAAAACCCAATTCTTTTTCATGTTTTTTTTGTAAAAAGTATCCCTCCAATTCTACCCAAAAAATTTATGTGGCCAGCTTTGGGTTGTTTTTGGGAACCCTAAACCCAAAAAATTAAAAGGGGGACCCACAAATTTCCAAAAACCAATGTTTTGGTGAAAATTTGAAGGGTTTCAAGGGCCAATTTTTTTTAAAGTTTTTTGGGTCGGAAACCCATTTTGTCAACGGGGTAAAAGTCCCTTTCCCAACCTTTGGCTCTTGCTCAAAACATTCTTTTGGCTTTATTTTACTGGCAAAACCCAAATAAATATTTAAAATTTTGGGGGGTTTGGCCCAAAATGGGCTTGTTTTTTTAAAAGGCCAAAAACTTTTTTGGACTTTAAAAGGGGGTATATAGACTCCCCTTTTTTTAACCCCAATAGGGGCTGCAACCCCCAATGAAACCTTTTAAAATTTTTAAAGGGCATTTTTTTGGAAAAAAAGGTAAATGAAACCCTTTTCCCTTTTGGCCCCCCTTGCCCCAAAAATCAAAAAGGGGTTCAATACTTGAAAGCCCAATCCCAATTGTTTTTAAAACATCAAAACTTTTTTGTTTATAAAAGGTCAAGGGGACCTACCTTTGACCTTTGACTTAGTGACCCCCAAAAACAACAAGGGTTCTTTTTATGGTCATGACCGAAAACCTCATACCAGGCCTGATGTTCCCAAAGGCCCGGGGGTATTTTTTGAGTAATAATTTGTCAAAGGGTTTGGTCTACATACGTCGGTTGTGTGCAAAGTACTGTTAATAAGCCCCCATTAGCCAATGAACTGAACCTCCTCCCAATCACTTTTATATATTCTCTTTAAAACCAAACAACGTTTATTTCCCAAAGTATAGATTGAAAAACAATTAACACAGAAATTGAGTAAAAAGAATGCCCAACATGCAAATTCTATACTGAAATAAGCAACATCGCAAGAAACAGGACAAATGCATTAATGTAAAGAAAGGGGGGGGATACCACAAAGTAATAGGAAATTATTTATAATTTGGTCTTTTCTTTAAAATATATCTCCAAAACAGAAGGGCCTCTTATAATCTCCAATTTACAAGGCAAGAGCTTTTTTATAATTTTCAAGAATTTAATAAATAGTCAGCTATTTCAAGCCGATTAAAAGTTTAAATTGCTGATATGATTTAAATGTATTGTATATTAAATCTGGAGAATGTCCCGGGGAACAGACTCAGAAATTGTTAAAATTTTTAAGTTAATTTTTTAAAACCAAATTTTTAAGATTTAAAATAATGATGGTGTAGGAATAAATAAGAATCACTAACAAAACTAATACTAACTCCCATAACCAAGCAATAATAGACCTAACATTTTTTCTCACCTTTTCCTTCTTTTAGCAAGTTCTTGATGATGTTAAACTTCTATAAACTCAGTAATTGTTTCCGGACCTTTTGAGACCCCGGCACCAATGGACAATAATTGTCTCCCCACAGTTCTGTTTTTCCTATTGGCTTCAAAATCTAAATCAACACGGGTCACCTTCATTCCCTTTCTGTGTTTTTCACAAAACCCAAATTGTCTTCCCTTTGGTAAACGGAATCTATAAAAAAATATAAAAAAAAAGGGCACTGATTAATTAAAAGGAAAAAGGGAAATAAAAACTAAAAAGAAAATGGCAAATTTGGGGAATATTATAGGGGACAAGGAGGCCACCAACCACGTTTTCCCATTAAAATGGGAAAGAGAGATACAATGGAAAGGGAAAAACCTAATCCCCCACCCCAACCCCTCGCAAAATAGGGGGGTAAAAAGAAAAAATTTTATTGACACTTTTCATTTTGAAATACTCTATGACTTTTCACAAAAATAATTCTACCTTTTTCTAATAAAGTAGGGCTATTCCTTATATTTAACCCCTTTTAAAAAGTGCCTCACCTAAGTTTTAACTGCTTTATTTATGCTGACATTACTTTTACTACATTAAACACTTTCTAAGTTTTTTTTATAAAAGAATGTTGCATTATGAAAGAAATCATTTTACAATTTTAGAGGAAAAAAGAGAAAGATACAACATATGTTCTGACCATCTGGTATACAAATAATTTACCTTTCCAGTTTTCCCATGATCCTGTGAGAGTCAGCATCTATAACAAGTTGTCTAAACTCATGATATATTTCCTGGTAATCCGACATTGTTGCTTGAGGATTCTTAAACAATAAAAACAATGCTCGCATTTTACAACATTTTAACACATGTAAACATAAAGTTGAACCTGCCATTATTGCATTACTGATACTAAATATGTAAGGAAAAGCAATCATGAACATAATTTAGAGGGTTACAAAAATTATCCGTAGTTTAAATGTATAATGTCACTGATTAAAACAATATCTAAATGTTCACGTTTATACAATTGCTATAACTGTGCATGATTAAAGCATAGATATAGACTGTGATAGATGATAAATAAGATGTTTAAAATCAAACAGTTCATATAATAGCAATCAAGCTATTGTTGGTTGAAGCAGATCTTTGATGCTTTTTTGTGCAATTTTATTTTTTATTAATTTATTTTATCAATTATATTTTTATGTTTCATATGATATTGCTATAATATAGGTCATATGATATGGCAAATTCCCAGCTTTAGCAGTGGCAAAAGATCTCAGGTGTCCCTTCATGTATTATTATAGTCACAAGTTGGCACAAGAGTGGAACCAGCAACATTCATAATGCTGACTTGACAGTTTCTTCTTATGAAAGAATTCAAAGCCGCTGGCATGATTTCTTGCAATATACATGTATCATCTTAATAGCTCATTGTTTCCATGTAAAAACATATTATTATTATCTTATAATTAACATACCTCTTCAAGCCATGTGATATAGTCTTCCCCAAACTCACTCTGCATACAGTTAAAGTTAAAATGTTTATTGTATTTCATAACTGCTGTCATTCGAGAAATAAAGGGACAGAACCTGTCTAGAGTTGTTTCCCCAAAATCGTGAGGTAATGGTATGGGTTCTGTTACACTGTGCCAACCCTACAATATATACATTACAAAATATTACATGGAAAATAACTTACCTTATATCACATAGAATATATTCTATAACAAACAAACAAGAGCAAAAACTTAACCAATGTGTTATGCTAACACCTGGGTGAGAACAACAGTGAATAGTACGGCTAAAAATCATGCTTTAGTATTCTTTTTTAAATCTATTAAAACAGATTTTGAATTTAGAAGTACAATGTATACTTCTGGTGGCTTAACTTGCATTTAATTTAATTATATTGAGTAGAAAATACATTACATATTAGAATGAACGATATGTTGATATCATTACTGCCACAATACAGTATAACACGAGTAAATTACCATTCATAATACTCCACAAAATTCATTTTCTAATTGAGTAATGATATTAATTAACTAAAGACAAGATTTTTCACTATATATATATATATATATATATATATATATATATATATATATAATATATATATATATATATATTCATATATATATATATATATATATTATAACACAATGAAACTTCTCTCAACCTTGCAGATCAAGCTGTTTGTCTGGTATACAGGAGTATAAAAGGGGTTTTCAATCAATGTATAAACAAATAAATATATTAACCTATTATATATATTGTTTAGGTGATCATTTGATATGTTTTGTTACAGATTTAACTATATTACAGTCATACATCAAAGGGCATACATATGTGGCATACATATGTACTGAGTATAATTCACCAGCAGTGGATCACAAATGTCAACTAAAACAAGCAATTATCATAGTATTGCAAGCAATCCATAAGTCCCCTACCGGATGGAACCCCATCAACATTCTGAAGTTCTGAAGGGCCATTGGCCATTCACTAATGTGTTTATAGTAAATTTGTTGGAAAAGTTCTTTAAAAATGATCACAGGAAACAGTTTTGTTAAAAAGACAGACGGACTGAAGGACACTCTAAATTTAATATTTGAAACATCCGTTACCAAAATATAACAATTTAAAAAGCAAAATTCTTAAAGAGGAGATAACTCTGGAATTAAAGATGCAATTTCATAAAAATTTTCAGCTCTTTTTGACTAATCACAAATATTGTTATATTTGCCATGTTTTAAGCCTATTTGTTGCCAAGGCAACCAATATTTTTTCAAAATAAGAAGAACAGATAAGACATGCATAATCTTAAGACTGCCATCTACCCATATGTCAAGTTTCATAAAAAATATTTCCAGTACTTTTTAAGTTATCACTTGATTCAGTTTATGTGTAAAATTTGCCATATTTTCAGTCTATGTGTTGCCATAGCAACCAGAATTTTCAAAGAAAAAGATAAGAAGAACAGATAAGACATGCATAATCTCAAGACTGCCATCTAAACATATTACAAGTTTCATAAAAATACTTCTATTACTTTTTGCGTTAACACTGGATCCAGTTTATGTGTAAAAATTGCCATATTTTCAGTCTATTTGTTGCCATAGCAACCAGAATTTTCAACATAGGAAGAAAAGAAAAAGACGTGCATAATCTCCAGACTACCATCTACCCATATTTTAAGTTTCATAAAAATACTTCTATTACTTTTTGCGTTAACACTGGATCCAGTTTATGTGTAAAATTTGCCATATTTTCAGCCTATTTGTTGCCATAGCAACCAGAATTTTCAACATAGGAAGAAAAGAAAAAGACGTGCATAATCTCCATACTGCCATCTATCCATATATCAAGTTTCATAAACATATTTTCAGTACTTTTCAAGTTATCGCGGGATCCAGTTTTGTGGACGGACGGACTGACGGACGGACAGACGGACGGACGAACAGACAGACAGACGGACGGACAGACGGACGGAGGGTAAACCTAAAGTCCCCTCCGGTAAACCGGTAGGGGACTAATAAATTGACAGGGCAAGTGCTGAGATAAGGCATCAAACTCAAAAACATAGACTCTGAAATTTACTTAACACTCTCTATACTGAGATAACTGAGTTTCTGTTAGATAACAGACAATAAAATTACAGTATAGAATGCATGTTAAAACAGCCTGAAACAACCTTACATACCTCATCATGTTCACAGAGTGTGTGTACACAGTATTTCTGTATTTTAAATATAGACTTCATGTCTGACTTTTTCTTCGAAGATACTGGACGTTTTTTAAACATTTTCTTTAAACGCTGTCGTGTAGAGGGCTTCCCCTCACCATCAGACTTATCTGCAGCACCTGTGTCGGATTCATGTTTGTCATCAACAGTCTCTTCTTCCTCATCATCAACTTCTTCTACACAATTATCAAACAAAATTTATAACAATACATTTCATTCTTGAAATAGTTTCACATAAATAATTGTAACAAGAGGGCATAATAGTCAAATTATTTAACTGGGACAAGTAACTGAAACTTATCTTTGTAGTGAAACTTCTTGAGAAGTCTTGATGAACTCCAATTAAAAAGCAGAACAGTAACTGGTTCACAGATTTGTGATTAAAAGCATCTGCAAACAGGCATACTATTTTGTTATACATTAGTGCATTTTCAGAATCTAACTAGAGCTTTCACAGGAGTGACAAATCATATCTAAGGCTAAGAATTTAATATCAGTCCAATGAACAATAACTTTGAAGGGCAACTTTTAAGTTTGAAGAATATCCTTCAAAGCATTGAATTAAATATAGAGAGGACACAATATTGAGTGATATATGATCCTCAAATAACCCTTGAGATGGTACAATGGTGGCATGGGTTCATCTTGAGATGAACATTGAAGCCAAGTTTGAACAAAGTCTTACATTAAAGGTGTATAAGACACAGTGGTGATGAACTGATTGACATAGGCCACAAAGTAATTCCAGTATAGCAACTCCCCATCCCTACTCCATGCCTCCTTATGTAAGTCAAGTGGTAGGGGTATAATAATGTTTTAAAGAAATTATATCCTCTCTTTTTAATTCTCATCATATGTTTTCAAAGCAAATAAATGAATGACCTATAATTACAGCTTTAAAACAATTAGCTATGCAAAAAAAGTTAGTAAGCTTATTTTGATTTTTTGAAAATGATGATAAATATTTTAGCAATATGTATGTCTAGTTTACATAAAACAACTACATTTGTACACATATACTCAACACAAAAAGTTTAGTCAGTAGACAAAGATAATAGGACTGGTGTATTGAAGTTCTAAAGAAATAAACATGAAAACATTTTCCGAAATCTGTAAAGTATCTTCTTCAATTTCATCCACATCACAACAAAATTCAATCAATTTTAAGAAGTTAAGCGTCATTCGCGTCATCTAGGGGTCGAAAGCAAAACTCTGGAGGGTGCCAGTAGCGGGTGTGTCCTCCTGGCTTTGTTGAAGACTGCCAAACAGCGTCCTCATGGTGTTTATCAACCGTCTGATGACCTAGAGTGGGATGTTCAACCATTCTTCATGTAACGCTCGTTCCAGATCCCCCCAGGTTGTTTGACGTCATAACGTTGACGTACCCTTGCGGCCAAATGGTCCCAGAGGTGCTCTAATGGAGATAAATCCGGGGACTTGGCTGACCAGTCGAGCACCCTGACGTTGGTTTGCCTCAAGAAGTCCCGTGTTACCCGAGCGGTGTTTGGCCTGGCGTAATCATGCTGCAGGACGTCAGCGTTGCCCTGACGAAGATATTGCAAAACCACTGGCCCAATGTTATTGTCACGGTTTCCAATAGCATTATGGTTACCTTTTACTGTTACCAGCTGTGTAGTCCCCGAGCATGATATACCACCCCATACCATCACGCTACCGCCCCATACCGATCTCGCTGTACAATGTTTGAGACGTCAAAACGTTCACCTTTCCACCTCCATATCCGTAGTCTTCCCTCAGCTGCCTGCATATTGAATCTTGATTCATCGGTGAACACTACCCTTGCCCATTGCTGTCTTGTCCAAGCGAGGTGTTGTCGAGCCCAGTTCAAACGCGCCCGGCGATGACGTTGCGTTAACGGTACTCCAACCAACGGACGTTCTGGACCGTAATCCTGCAGCTCTGAGACGGTTACAAACGGTACCCAACGAAATTCTAGTTCCCGTTGCAGTATGTTAAGCGGCTAAACAGTTCAGTGCTTGTCAAAAAACGATTACGTCAGGACGACGTCACCAGGAACCTGTCTTCACGTTGCGTTGTTTTCTTTGATCTTCCAGAACGCGGTCTATCTTTAACACTGTTGTTTTTTTCTGTACCTGGACTGGAGACGGTAAATTGTCCGTTCAACGCACACTTAAAAATGAAGTGCGAGGTGGTTAACGGTTGATCCACCGTTGAGCATACCGATAGCTATTAAGCCTATTGTTTAACGTCATGCCAGGGCGACGTCCAATGACAACGTTTTTAAAATTTTTCTTTAAGAATTCAGGTTTGTATACGATAACACGTGTTGTTCCACTAGTAAAATTAAATTAAGTGACACTGGACTTTGCAATCATTGTGGTGCACGTGCATTTTGCCGTCTTCGTGAACAGCGTGCACATTTCAAGTGTACACAATAAAATCACCAAATATTGAATAGCTCAGGCGTTCAGCATGATTACACATGCTTGTATAAATTGCTACTTTACAGTGTGTAGTAGATATCACAATATCAAAATACTGACTAAACTTTTTGTTTTGAGTATATATTTGTTACATATCACCTGTGTGAGATTTTAGGAAGTCTATAATGAACAATCTAGGATACACATCTACATCCTGATGTTCCGCATAAAAACACAGTTGACGAAGTAACTTTCTCTGTGCAAGCTCAAATAATTCCTGAAAACAGAACAGCAATGCAGCTAGAATGTAGCTTACATAATTGATATGTATTATTATGATTTATAATATTAAACTACTGTTCATTCCTATCTAAATAGTCTATTCTAAGTGGGCCAAGACGGTTAACACAACATGTTTGGTCATTTTCTTCTTAAAAATTGTCACATATTACTGCAAATCATTGGCAAGACAATAAATCATCAAATGTGACATTTCTAAACAGTATTTTCTTTTTCTCCGGACAAGAAAAACAAACTAAAATGGCCAATAACTCTAAAATTGATGGTTCATTTGCACTAAACTTCTGTGTAATGAGATCTATCCATCTATGAACTTTCAAGCTGCCAAATATAAACAAAACCTGTAGGCAGGATGCTCCTTTTTAAATGGTTACTTTTTGAGGCATTTTTTTTTCTTGTTATAAAAAAATACCAAGCAATATCTCTTTATATTCATCACCAGACAGAATGAATAAAATTTACAGTTGCCTTATATTTCCCCTACTATACATAATAATCTATTGTGTGCTCTTCCAGACAAACAGATATGTTTATATGTATATACATATAAACATATTAGGAGAGTGAAAGGTTACCTGGAAGGAGAGGTTTTTATGTTCTTTGTTTTGTTTGTTTTTATTATCTTTTGCTGTCTCGGAATCACCTTCATCAAGTTTTTCTTTCACCAATGCAAGCAGACTAGAGTAGGCTGTCTCACTTTTCTCTTGAAAACTCACTATTGGGTAACGTAAAGACAGGACGCCCACCTGTATACAATTTGAAACAAATTTTTTAGCATCTAAATTATATTACATGAATAAACATAGAGATAGTTGATAACTGTGGATAATTACACAGTTACAGGTTTATATCAGCAACATTATGAACAAAACATTATGAACAATATTTAAGTTTAGCTTCTCTTTTAATCGAGCAAAAGTAGTCAAATAATAAACATAAAGAAGCAAATATTCTTACTATTTTCACAAAAGTTATTATGGTTTAAAGTACATTTACTTCTTCAAACTTATCATGTAGTAATAAAATAATTATGTCAGACTACATATCTTTTTTCATTAGTCTTAAAATTCAAAATAAGTTAAAATTTTAGATACACCAATTACGGGGTAAAATAAATGGGCAACATATGTTTCTAATTCAGGAAAGTCATCATAATATCATGCCATACCTCTGATGCCCGCCAGTTGTTGCCAGACCCGACTACTGCTAGAACAACAGGCAGTTTAAGTGTGTTAGCTGCATAGCGGAACTCCATACGGCATGTAGCTGAGTTCGCATACTCGTCTGATACACACACTATAACAAGCTTGGCACTTAACAAACCTTCTGCTATGTCATCAAACAACCCATTCTACAATAAACATAATATGAATGAATGTTAGATGGGTTTGAATCATAATGTTCCCATTCAAGCATATGTACATAATTATGTAGTTCTGCAAATTAATATAAAATAAAAGGTTATTAGAAAAAGAGTTTTTAACTATATATTTCTATCCTACAAACAATACTAACATTCCATTTGTTTATGCATTGAATTATACAGAAGGATATGTTTTCAATCAAGATGTGTTCAATTTTTATTTAAGAACATTCATATCATTGCAGCCAGCCCACCTCACCGGCTTTTCTGGATAACTAACTTGTAATTACATAAACCATTCACTTTGCATTCAACATGATTTATGAATCATTGGTTCGGGACATATGACCATTAGATACAATGTCAGAGATCAATTGTCAAAGAGAAAGTTCGCCTTGTCCGAGGATCGAGCCAGCAGCCCCCTGAGTACAAATCCCATGCTTTCCTCATTCAGTTAAGAGAGAGGTTAACTAGCCTTACCTAATGCAATACTGAAATTATATTAATATCCAAATATGTTGTGTTTTTTTTACTTTCTTATACCATATTACAAGACAAATTTATAAATTCTGATACCTGTCCAACTCTTTCTACATCAATCCAACATTTCACACCATTTGTATCTAAATAATCTTTGATTGCTCTAGGATCACCAAACCCAATTGCACCTGGTACAGACCTGTTAATATACCAACAGTAAGCATTTACAAATTATCCTTATTTCCCTCCTATCTCCCTGAGTACAAGGGGAAAATAACAAGCTTTAAATAATGCTGCCCCAAGTATAAAGGTGGTCCCCATTTTTTTATTGGACCCCAGTTTTTTTAAAGGGGAAAATAAGTATAAATTTGGGTTGGAAAAGCTTTTTTCTTGAGGGTATTTTTTCTTAAAGAAGGGAAAATTTTATTTCTTTTTCCTATTTTGGGAAGAAATGGTAAAAACTTTTTGTAAAAAAGAAAATTTTCCTTTAAGGGTTTTTTCCCTTGAAAGAGGTTCACTGTATCTGTTTACATCAGGTGACAACAACACAGGTATTGCAAAAAAGCTCATTTGCTCAAGAATATCCCTATTATTATAATAAAGCAAGCTTATAAGTTATAAACAAGAGCATTTAGTTCAGATAACATTGATGGTAAAGAAAATGTTGGGAACACAATAAATGATTAAGTTTAAACAAGAGGGCCATGATGGCCCTGAGGTCGCTCACCTGTATATAGGCCCCCCACCCCCGGGCCAATTTTTACCCAAGGGCTTTTATTTGTTTATTTGAACAGACTTGGTAGACACCCATAAGAAGATGTTTCATGCTAAACATCTAAGTTCTAGCTCATTGGCATTTTTAAAAGAAGATTTTTAAAGTTTTTACTATACACATATAGTTAAAAACAATGTCACCCCTGGGGCAGGGCCAGTTTTGACCCCCCGGCGTTTATTTTAACAAACTTTGTAGATATTTACTTAAAGATGTTTCATGCTTAATATCTAAACTCTAGCTATTTGGGTTTTTCCAAAGAAGATTTTTTCAAGTTTTTGCTATACACATATAAGGAAAATCAATGACCCCCCAGGGCGGGGCAAGTTTTGACCCCAGTGCTTTTATTTGAACATGCTAGGTAGACACCCATTAGAACATGTTTTATGCTTAATATCTTAGCTCTAGCTCTTTGAGTTCTTTAAAAGAAGATTTTTTAAGTTTTTACTATATGCATATAGGGAAAATCAATGACCCCCTGGGGCGGGGCCAATTTTGACCCCAGAGCTTTTATTTGAACAAACTTGGTAGACACTCATTAGAAGATGTTTCATGCTAAATATCTTAGCTCTAGCTCTTTGGGTTTTTTAAAAGAAGATTTTTTAAGTTTTTTACTATATGCATATAGGAAAATCTATGACCCCCTGGGGCAGGGTCAATTTTGACCCCAGGGCTTTTATTTGAACAAACTTGGTAGACATTCACTAGAAGATGTTTCATGCCAAATATCTAAGCTCTAGCTCTTATGGTTCTTTAAAAGAAGATTTTTTAAGTTTTTACCATATATGCATATAGGGAAAATCAATGACCCCCGGGGGCGGGGCCAATTTTGACCCCCAGGGCTTTAATTTGAACAAACTTGGTAGACACTCACTAGAAGATGTTTCATGCTTAATATCTTAGCTCTAGCTCTTTGGGTTCTTTAAAGAAAAATTTTTTAAGTTTTTACTATATGCATATAGGGAAAATCTATGACCCAGGGGGCGGGGTCAATTTTGACCCCAGGGCTTTTATTTGAACAAACTTGGTAGACATCACTAGAAGATGTTTCATGCCAATATCTAAGCTCTAGCTCTTATGGTTCTTTAAAAGAAGATTTTTTAAGTTTTTACTATATGCATATAGGGAAAATCAATGACCCCCGGGGCGGGCCAATTTTGACCCCAGGGCTTTTAATTTGAACAAACTTGGTAGACACTCACTAGAAGATGTTTCATGCTTAATATCTTAGCTCTAGCTCTTTGGGTTCTTTAAAAGAAGATTTTTTAAGTTTTTACTATATGCATATAGGGAAAATCAATGACCCCCTGGGTCGAGGGCCAATTTTTGACCCCAGGGCTTTTATTTGAATAAACTTGGTAGACATTCACTAGAAGATGTTTCATGCCAAATATCTAAGCTCTAGCTCTTATGGTTCTTTAAAAGAAGATTTTTTTTTTTTTACTATATGCATATAGGGAAAATCAATGACCCCCAGGGGTGCGGGGCCAATTTTGACCCCAGGGCTTTTGTTTGAACAAACTTGGTAGACACTCACTAGAAGATGTTTCATGCCAAATATCTAAGCTCTAGCTCTTATGGTTTTTTAAAAAAAGGTATTTAAAGTTTTTTCTCTTGGTTGCCATGGCAACCAGAGTTCTGCATGGAATTAAATTCTTTGAACAATTTTTAAAGGTGACCACCAAAGGAACATTCCTGTGAAGTTTGGATGAAATTGGCTCAGTGGTTTATGAGGAGATGTCATTTAAAGCAAAAGTTTACGGACGGCCGGACGCCGGACGGACGGACGCCGGACGAAAAGCGATCACAAAAGCACACCCTGTCACTTTGTGACAGGTGAGCTAAAAAAGCATTATGAGGACAAATTTATTGTAAAAATGCAATCATAAGAGATAAGTGAAGTGCTTTTTAGTATACAGTAGAACTCTATGAGTCGAACTTTGATTAGTCGATGTGTCGAAGTAAATTGAAAGTCCCGATTTTTTCTCTTATATACTCCATATAAAAAAAACTATTTACGAGTCGAGATTTTATGTGTCAAATTTTTCGATGTGTTGAAGTTTTTTCGTGGTCCGTATAGAATAAATCTAGTACAATTTACCACAAATAAGTTGACGTCCTTCGATTATTTTGACACCTTTGATCTCGAGACATTTTTCACATCTATCTGGCCGTGAAGACGATTTCCGATCAACTTAAGTGACAGGTGTTAATTACACAGTTCGAGTGTTCAAACAGCCCTTTTTGTGTTTAAATGTTGAAAAAATGTTTTTAAAGGTTATATTTTAATTGCCCTAGCGGATTTGAAAGTACATGGTAAACAGTAAGAACACATTTAATATTGCGTGACCCGGTGTCGCCCGATAATCACACGTGAAAATTTTACTATAACTGGGTTTAAATTTTTGCCCTTTTGTATTGTTTTCGCCTTTGTAATTCATTGCAACTCAATAGGTGTTAAATCTTTTTCCCTGTAAAGTTACTTAACATTCTATTTTTATTGCAAAATGAAAATGTCGTTATTTAAAAGAAAGAAAAACATTTTCGTTATAATTTTTATAATTAAGCTAGTCACGGGTTGAAATTTTTTTATAAATTCAGCCATTAAGATCGAAGCCCATTTTTTGTCGAAATTTTTACGTTAAAATTCGACTTACCGAAGTTCTACTGTATTTGCAAAGTACTAAAATATAAAGTATTTCAATAAATAATGAGATAGAATATAAAAAAGTCATAAAATATCCTACCTGGTACCTAGCTTGACAGCTTTAGCTGAGTTGACCCAGGTATAACTGAAGAAACAAGATGGTGTAGGGTTAACTCCTATCTCTTTATTGGTCTTGCTGGATATAGCTTTCAACAATTCATCTAACTTGGACTTGTACACTTCTTTCTTTGACTTGATCATATTAACAAACACCTGAAACCATAATTCTTTGTCTAAGCATACAGTCAAAACAAATACATGAACCAGCAAATACCTGTAATTGTACAATCATGTACATGTATATACCATATTGGAACATATCACTGTATTAATATGCTATATACATGTATGACAAGACAAGAAAATAAATTTTATGCTATTTAGTAAGGAAAAGCCTTACTAATAAGATAAAATGCTAGGAAGTGTAAATGTATGTTACATATATGTAATTTCATTAAAATCTTCTCTTACAATTTCAGCTGATACAATCAGTCTCTTTATTATCAAGGGAGCAATTGACCTTAAAATAATATACATTCATAGGGAGCTAACCACCAGATAGTGACTGTATCAGTTTTAATTCTGATGATAACTGTTTCTTGAAATGAGAAAATTTTCACAAACGGTCTAAAATTACACCAAATGTAGATTTCCAAAATTGTTTATTACATGACTTTCCTGAATAGTTACATATGATATGGTAAGTACGCCTTGCTTTTTATGTATTTAAATCAATAGTTTTCAAGCATTATTTTTCAACAGTATGTTAAGGAATAGATTTCATAGAACATGTGAATTTACCTCATCAGACAATAAAATTCCCAGTTTGCTCTGCTTCCACTCAAATCCATCACCCACGGCAACCACAATCATCGGTTTTCTCAAGGTCAGTCTAGCGTACTTGAATATATTCACACAGTCCTCATCCTTGGCATAATCAGTAGATACAAATGCTACAACAACTGAGGCATCTGTCAGAGCTCTTGCCATCTCTTCTATAGAGTAACTTTTTCCTGGCTCTGCAAACCAACTGAATAAAGGAACAAAATTATATCATTATGAAGTACAAGAGGACAATTTTGGCCCAAGACTAGTAATCATTATTTCATATGCAAACCAAATGCAAATACAAGAACCATTCTGATAATAAGGATGAAACATAGAAAGCAAACACATCTCTTTTGGGTTTAAAAAAATTTAATATTGAATTGTTTATAGAATACTAGAACTATTTTTCGGCTACATCTTTAATAAAGATAAAATATTTTCCAGACAAAACTACAGACTGACCAATGAAAAAGCATCCCAGATTTAAATCACATCTTAATTTCTTAAGTAAATTGTCTTGGTTTGTATTTTTATAGTAGAAAAAATTCAATTATTATTAAGAAGAATATAACAATATTTTACCATTTAAATCCGACAGCTTGAAGATCTTCACATACAGTTGCAGGGTGAATCACTGATGATCTACTTTTAGGGGCATCTTTACCACAATATGATATGAAGATATCTGGGGTATAAAAAATAACAATCATAAAGAATTCATCATATCTTCAATAATTGTTGAAGATTCAACTATCAATATGTTGCACAATAACACTTTATGAAATGATTATTGTGTTGAATGTTGATGCATTATTATCAGATATACATTTATCACAAAAACCACAGTGCAGGAGTTTAATTAACCCATTAAATAAAATTGATATTACACTAATGTAATAACACTTTAATTTGACGTCATTTGCGTTATATACATAGTGTGTTAGCATTACACTATAGGCGCGTCAACAAAAAATTGACTCATTTAACTATAAAAGCGTTTTTATTTTAGATATGTGATAAATAGAATATTATATTCATGTAGATTCAATACTAAATTTATTCAACTAATTAAATAAAACAAAATTATGCTCGCCAGTGGCTCACATAATATGATTCTATTAAACTTGCTCGTTATATTTAGTATTGAATCTACTCTCTTTCAATATCATTTATAAAAGAAGATAATTAAAAAAACCAGACATAAAATTTGTTGATAAAGTAACATCAATAAGCATACCAGCTGCAAGATCCTTCCTAAGATCTCTCAGATTTCTAACAGACTGCACCAAATGAAGATCAAAGTCACTGTGATTGTCTGGTGGCATACATGCTATATAAAATACAACAAAGTATAGACTATATTCACAACCAGCCTGAACAGCTCAATTGGTAAGAGTGGAAGACTTTTCGTCTCAAAATTGTGGGCTCGATTCCTAATATTATTAATCAGTCTTTCTGATCAGACTTTAAATCTAGGTCCCTTATATCAATGCTTAAACACTTGGCACACTGAAGAACCAGAGAGGCTTCTCAAATTGGGACATCTCTCTATATCTTGCACTATCCTCCAGAATCTAAAATGACTAATGCTCTTCTGGAGGACTCTTCCATATAGGCAACCGAAGCCAAGAATAAATAAACTCAAATACACAGACACTGTATTCATGCTAAGAATGCTGGCAGTAATAATGGTTAGATTATGTTATCATTATATCAGGTCAGGCCAGCCTGAACACATCTATCATGCCTGTACCTTCTTGTTGAAATAACAATTAGCTAACAATGAAACATACCTAAAAGATCAATGCATGATATAGTGTGAAAATACGAGATGCATTGTAAGAATGGAGCCTTCAATTCCATTGCTCGTCGGATAGTTGAAGCTTTAAACATGTGTGGGTCTTTTGTGGCCTGAAAAAAATTAAATCATCATCATAACCAATGCATCTGTGTTAAAGATATGTTTCTTCATAATTTTGTTCCATTTTAAATGCTTTAATTTCATAGATTTCAATACAATAAATACTGCACACCTGGATATGATTAGGTTAAAAATATCTAAGTATTGATTCATTTTATGGTGTTTGTGTTAAACAGACACAGTATAAAATGTAATTTAAGCCATGTTCCAAAGTTATTAATAATTTACTAAGATTTTAATTCTAAACATTTGATGTATGTATAGTAAAGAACATGCAGAAACATGTTAAAAAGGCAGCTTGGCAATATCTCAGGTCGTGAGAATTAACAATGAGAGAAAATAGAGAAAATCAAGCTCAAACCTCACATGTTGATGACTAACACTGGTCCTTTTAATATGGCATTATTTCCATATTTTATTACCAAGAAAGATCTATTATATTTTAAACTGATACATAAAACTAAAAAAATATTAACCAAATTTCTTCTAACTATTATTATACCGCATGTTTATATAATTCTTTGATCTCATGGAAATCTTTAAATAATTTCATACCATTCTAAGACAGTCTGGGCAAGGTATGAGGTAATCGTATGTTACACCTCTAAATGATTCTGCTATCAGCCCTTCAAACACCTCATGAACGAGAAATATCACATTCTCTGGCCGAGGACCCTGCACCTGAACTATCAATTCTGAATCTCTACAAATACAAGGAGCATGACATTTGATGAAATTCATTTAATGTCTAAATTTGAATACAATATCAAATACGGTAAGCTAAACAATATATATCATTAATTCATTCCATAAATGTCAGTAGATACAAAAATATGACAGGAAAGTATCATTCATAGAAAAAGAATATACATTCACTATCTATTTTAAATCTTAACTGCAGTGAAGTGCACAGAAACATTTATTAAATCCATAATTACATGAATGTAAAGTAAAAAAATTTCTAAATCTCAAAAATGAGCTACATGTGTACAAGAGTCAAATTTTCTAATTTTTTATACCTTGATTGTTGAAGTAAAGCAATATGACCATTTTTCTTGAGGAAGGAACCTCGTTTCCATATCAACGCACTGTCTGATATCTGATGTAATCTCACCTAATTAATCAATAAACTATATGTATATCAATGTCAAATACATGATTAATGTTAGGCCATTTACATATCAATTTATAAAAAAAATTTTTGTGCGAAACATATCTTAGACTTGAAAGAAAGAGAGAAATAACTAGACCTATCACTGAAGGTGATTAATACCCCCACCAGCAACTTTGACTTTTTGAAAAATAAGTAGTCTGAAGAAAAATTTGAACACAAACTATCAACTGTGTACAAAGAAATATTTCAATTAATTGTAATCCCAACTGGGGTCTCCAAATAAGCTTGCTTTTCACAAAGTTTGATTACAATATCTCATTCCTAACTGTAGTTATTGTCCTGAAACCATTTTTCTATTTCTAGTAACACTGTAACGGTGACTTTGACCCTAGGGGGTCCAAATGCAGAACCAACTCAGGTCTTCATTATAAGCTTCCTATACACCAAATTCGATTACAATATCTCATTCCTAACTCTAGGTATTGTCCGGAAACCATTTTTCTATTTTTAGTAACAGTGACCTTGACCCCAGGGGGTCCAAATGCAGTACCAACCAGGGTCTGCATATAAGCTTGCTTATACACCAAGTTTGATAACAATATCTCATTCCTAACTCTAGTTATTGTCCAGAAACCATTTTTCTATTTTTAGTAACAGTGACCTTGACCCCAGGGGGCCCAAATGCAATACCAACCCAGGTCTTCATATAAGCTTGCTATACGCCAAGTTTGATAACAATATCTCATTCCTAACTCAAGTTATTGTCCTGAAACCATTTTTCTATTTTTAGTAACGGTGACCTTGACCTTAACCCCAGGGGCTCCAAATGCAATACCAACCCAGGTCTTCATATAAGCTTGCTATACGCAAAGTTTGATAACAATATCTCATTCCTAACTCAAGTTATTGTCCCGAAACCATTTTTCTTTTTTAAGTAACAGTGACCTTGACCTTGACCCCAGGGGGTCCAAATGCAATACCAACCGGAGTTTCCACATAAGGTTGCTATATACCAAGTTTGATTACAATACGTCATTCCAAACTCTAGTTATCGTCCGGAAACCATGATGTGGACGGACCGACGGACCCACCAACTGACCGACAAGCTGACTCCTATATACCCCCCCTAAACTTCGTTTGTGGGGGTATAATTACATCAATCATAAAAAAAGATTATTTGTAAAAAAAAATGCCAGAAAATATATATACATGTGGAAATTTATCGGGCACAGACTTTTTCTGGACTTTTTCGTGAAAAGGTTTCCATTTTGAAGTGGTTTCCATTGTGAAGTTGTCTGTTTAAAAGTTGAAAAATGCATTACAGTAACATAATTCTATGAACAAATAAAAATTCAAAAAAAACTTAAATAAGAAAAAGAACTTTCATCAGTTTGTAAGTAATTACCTGTCCTCTGTTGAAGAGTCCAGCAGGTAGGTAGTCAAACTTGTAGATCATTTTGTTCTCTTTAATATCAGAATCCTTCTCTAACTCTGGCCAGGTAAACTGTAAAACAAACACAACTTTTTAGTCAACTTTGGTCATTTAAGCATTGTTTTCACTATTTGAAAAGTGCTTTCAATAGGCTCTTTATAAAAAAGATCTTTTTTTATAATTCTTTAAGAACCAAAAGCTCTAAAAAATAAAATTTGAAATTCTTAATAGATCAACTTGGGCACTAAAAACAGAGAAAAACATAAAAAGAAAAATAAAGAAAATACTCAAGAGTTATAATTGAGGAACATTTTCATGTGCAATTTCAAGTCTAATTTGAGTTAAAATGTGTTTCAAAACTTTTTTTATTATGGGATCATTAAGATTTTGCATAATTAAAATGATAATTCTGGAAGGAAAAAAAAACAACAACAGATCAAGCAAATGACCTGAAATTTTACATCCTGGTTCTTAATTAGACCTAAATCAAAGGGAAGTAAAATTAAAAATAAAGATTACAGTCTTCTCAATTGTCAGAAACATCAATAGCGTCCCTTTAAAAATTAACTTAATGATGAGAATTCAAAGCCTTACTTCTGGAGCCTTTTCTGGCAAAAGGCAGGGAACCAGGTTGACTGGTTCATGTTCTTGGGAGAAAGTTAGATCATATTCCTCTGTTAATTTCAGTAACCAGTCATGTAACTCTGCTGGATATTCCTGCCATACTGTCTTAATGTCTGAATGCTTGAGTCGCCCCTCCTGTTGAAATTAGTTACATTTAGTAAATGTTAGAATACTCAATAGATGAAGATATGAATATGCAAACTAAATTCATTAAAAAATCAATACATTACAATGCTCTATACATTTTACCTTAATATTGTTTTACCTGTAAATACTGTGCATAAAGTATGGTTGAAATGATAATCCTAGCAAAGGAAACTCCTTGCCATGTATTAAGTAATAGATATACCATTGCTGCGTTGACGATTTCTGGGTTTGCGTAAATTATACCATAATCACGTGACCTTTCTTATGCCTTGACCTCACGAGACGAAGTCGAGTGAGGTCAAGGCATAAGAAAGGTCACGTGATTATGGTATAATTTACGCAAATATCACGTGACCTTTCTTATGCCTTGACCTCACGAGACGAGGTCGAGTGAGGTCAAGGCATAAGAAAGGTCACGTGATTATGGTATAATTTACGCAAACCCAGAAATCGCCAACGCACCAATGGTGTATCTGTTTTAACCTATAGCTCCGCCCAGAAACACTTACTCCTTCGATCTTAATTTGCATAGCAGAAATGACGTAAAATGAGCTGTCAATCAAAATAACATGACGCTACTGTTTTAACCTATTGCTCCGCCCAGAAAAACTGAAAATTATACCATAGTCTGGGTATGGTATAATTTACGGTTATTGGAAATTATACTTGCAAGAATTTTACATAAGAAGCGCTGAAGAGCTATAGGTTAATACAAGTTAAAATGTAGTTGGAAGAAAGAAAAGGGGTATAACTCTGTACAAAGGTAACTCAAGGTTATGATCCCTGTACCCATCATGTGAATCCCAGAAAACAAGTGTATGAATTTTAACATCTTTTCCTTAAGCAAAGTTTCGGAAAACTTATCCAAAGTCTGATGCCAATGCCCAAATGAGTACAATAGCTCTCCCTATTCTTTTAATAGTCGATGTTATAAAAAGAAACTCAAACTAACACTCAAAATTAATTTTTATAAGTGTATAGTGAGCCAAACAACTGTTTTAATAGCACAAACATGGTAGTATATATAACTGCTCTTTAAAATATGACAATGGACCTAGGTTTCAGGAGATTGAGCCCTGCTATAAAGAGCTAAAGTTGAAACGGTCAAACTGATATACATATATTAGCTATAAATAGAAACCATACCTTTATAGGTGAGTTTTTCACTGACACAACACAAGCCATTACATCTACTATCCATTGAGGATTTACTATAACCTTTGTTTTCAGTCTTTCCGTTGTAAAATGCTGTAGACTTCCTAACTCATGGAGGAACTGGACAGCTTGATATACCTGTTTATATTTCACTTACAAATTAACATTCATAATCTCTATATACTGTAAATCACTTTATATTCGCGTGATCTTTATTTCGCGAAAACCCTACCCCCGGATTATTTCGCGCATTCATGAATTCACGATGGCAGGGTCAGAAATTTATATTCGCGATTATTTTAATTTTATTTCCTCAATATAACAGGGAAGGTTGAAGTTATCTTATACTGTGTCGCTCTAATGCAAGGTAAATGTTAATGGTGTTAATAAGAGGCGGTTTTTATTTATTTATTTTATATACAAAATTGTAATTGACTTATTATGAACGGTTTTTCTAATCATTTGTCAAATTTGTTTTTTGTTTGCAAATAACGGGTTTGATAAAACGTAAAATGTTTATAAGAAGGTGTTATATACTTGTTTATAATACTTAATCTACCGTATGAAAATTGTCCTTTGATCACTGTTTTACCGTAAATCAATTGTCATCTAAACAATATGTGTTCACATTTGTCTGTAAAGTGCAAAATTTGTGGATATTGTCTCTTTTTTGTGTTTTACATGAATGTATTCATGAGGAAAAAGGAATGGGAAAAATCTTTAACCTTCATATCTTTATTATGATGTATATAAAACACATATTAATTATTTGCATTCTGTTATTGTATTCATTAAAATGTATTCACTTTATCACAATTCGAAAAAATTATCATCAGTTTTATTTTTTAAAATGTATGTTATGTTATAAAATTTACGCGGTATCATGAATTCGCGACGCGGCCGATTCGCGAAGAATAGCGAAAATTAAAACATTGCGAAAAATACCGGATTTACAGTATATCAATGAATTTCTTATTGAATGTTTATTGGATACAAAATCTTTTAAGATTATAAACTTATAAATGCTTCCAATATATTCTTTATTTCTAATTTTACAAGATGTATACTTGATACAAACTTATCAACCAAGATTTACCTTTAACTTAAATACTTTGTACATGTATTTGGTTTTTTACAGTTAGGCCTTTTTCATTCATATATCTAATGACTAATAGAATTTGTCATATCCATGATAACTAGATACAGAAAAAAAGTAATAGACATAATAATTCACAATGAAGAAACTAGGGATTTGCTATAAAAAAAAACAAAAAAAGTTTTTTTTGCTTTAAAACATTTCAACAAATATTACCTCAGTTTTCTCAAATATCCCAGACATGTTTGCCATTTTCTCTAAAGCTGTATACTCTATTACATTACTAGAACTTCGTGACCTGCAGGTATAACACACATAATTTAATTACAAATGATGAAAAATAGCAAACCACTGAGTAATGTTAGTGTCTACAGGTGTAATATGCTCACATTAATGTTTCACACAAAGTTTACAATTGTGCTATATAGAATATAATACTCACATGGCGAAATATTGAGGAAACCTTGGAGTTAAAGGAACTCAACCAAGGTCCTTAAGCCTTAAATATATGAAATCTGAATTTCTTACATTAGATCAATGGGGGAACTTGAAAGAGAAAGGTATGCAATGCTTTTCAATTTCGATGATTTTTCACGATTTGAATAATTGTTTTGGAAAAACGGAGTAAGCGATTGATCTGACATTTGTACAAAAGTTACTTTTATAAAACTACACCAAATGGAACATAGATCTCGAAATAATTATTTCCAGTCCAATCCTGTCAAAAGACTTCAGTGGAGTCCCTTTAATATTTGACAATCTCTTAGTTCTATTCTTTGACTAAACATTACTGTTAACATAATAAGAATAGCATGTACCATGGCAGAAACTGGGTTCCACCACATGACAAGCAAGGTGACGCATAGATTCCTTAAGCATTTAAACAACTGTTCTATATAAGTGAAAAATAAATCTAGAATTATAACATAGTGCAACCTTCACAAAGCTGCTCTCTCTTCAGTAGTTACCACTATAAATTTTGTTTTCAGCAGTTACCACTATAAATTTGGTTTTTCTGTATTTTCATTTACATACATTGTATATGCTAATACAAACTGTAAGAGAGTATAGTGAGACTATATTTACTCTATGACTGTGTTTTCAAATGTAAGCCAGACTTCTGGAATCTGTTCACCCATGTATTGTTGTTGTAATGTCACATCAAACAGGTTTTCCTGTAACTCCTTTATACCCTGAATATTGCAAAAAAACAACAGTAAACACAGAGGTTCATAGAGCAGTAATGTACAATATACATTGTAAAAATATATTTCATTGAACATATTTTCTTGAGAAGACATACTGACATAAATGTATGTATCTATATCCCATTTCTGTCTGTATATGTTGGTACATGTATTGTTCTTGTTGTCCTAAATTTTTAATCAGCAATCTATATTATATATTACATCTCCAGAAAATTATCAATACTGTATCCCACTTATAATGATATAAATATTGTTTGGGTTGTACTGGGCCATAATAAAAAGGAACATGTAACTGAAGATAAGGGTTGTGTTATATTTTTTTATCCAATCAGATGCACTCACTGCTATTTTGTCTTGTTGATTTTAGGATACTTTTTGTCCATTTTAAGAGAAATGAAAGACAACTGGCCTATGAAATGAGCAGTCCTTTATTATCAAAATGGTCATAACACAATTTCATGAAAATCTGTCATTGTTATTCTCATTATAACTGCATGAAATATATGAATTAAATATGATCAATTGAATGGCTGTCAGATGGATGTCAACTTAAAACTGCTTATTCCTGACAGGTTTGCAGCTAGTGGCTCCGGTTATATTTCCAAACAACCATTTATAACCTGTACAAAATCCATATTACTAATTATATTAAGAACTTACCTGTCCAGTAAATGAACTGACAAAATGAAATCCAGCTATCTGTTTATATCTTGCACTCATCTCATTAATGGGAACTTCATACTTTGACACCTAAAACATTACATAAAAAACTAAGTTGATTAATGCCCTAATGATATATCTGAATCTTTTCATGACATCATAACTATACAAAATCTTACACAAGAAGAATATGTTTAAGATGGACAAGTGTCTCTAAATTGGTTAACTTATATACCACTAAGCAGACAAAATACAACTATAAAATATTGTATAAATATGAAATGATGCAGAATAAATCAAGTTCAACAAGAATTTTCTTCCCATTAAGTGTATAAACATTGTTGTCAAATGTACCAACCTTAGCTAGGAAAACATCTTTTTTAAATTTTGTTTATTTTGACCTTTGAAATGAATTATAACACATAAACAAGAGCTGTCTGTAGGACAGAATGCTCGACTATTCTAAGTGCTTGATACTAAAAGAGCCTTGATATTGTTAAATTTTTTAAGGTCACAAAAGGGCTAATTTTTTTTTATAAATTCATGTTATAGGCCTTACAGAGAGTCTAATTATACAGAATTGGCTTGACTATTCGGAAGGTAATGTCACAAGGGTTTTTTATTGAGTATAATAATACTAATTACCTATGAATACATAAATTTGACAGAAAAGGTACAAAGGCTTGTTATTAAGATGTTTTATCAAGTAAATCACTACTTTATTATTATGAATGCATAAAATTGTCCAAAAAAAGGCACAAACCCTTCAGTAGTTATTGAGATAACAGCTTACAAGCAAAACTTTACCATGAATTTCTAAGTTGAAAAAGGGGAGAAAAATCAGCCTAAATGCAAGATAGAATTATGGATCTTTGTCAGTGACCTACAATTATGACCCTAAATGCATATGTGAAGTTTTAAATAAATATCTTTAATAGTTATTGAGATATGTAAAACTTGCATGTAAACATTAACCAAGAGACTAAGTAGAAAAGGGGATATGAATCAGCCTTAATGCAAGATAGAGTTATGTAACTTGGTCAGTGACATACAATTATGACCCTCCAATTATGACCCTAAGTGCATGTGTAAAGTTTCAAGTAAATATCTTTGAAGACCGTTAACCTTTAACCAAAATTTAACAAAAAACTTTAACCAAAATTTCTAAGTTCCAAAGGGGCATATTTCTGTCAATATGGTAAGCAGAGTTATCCAACTTGTCAATCTGATTTACATTGTTACTATAAATAAGTATTGTAAGTTTCAATTGAATATCTCAAGCAATAATTGAGATATTTGACTTTACAAAAAAACTTTAACCAAAATTTCTAAGTTAAAAAGGGGCATTATTCTGTCAATATTGTAGGCAGAGTTATCCAGCTTGTCAATCTGATGTACCTTGTTACTATAAATAAGTATTGTAAGTTTCAATTGAATATCTCAAGTAATAATTGAGATATTTGACTTTACAAAAAACTTTAACCAACGCAGACGCTGACGCCAACGCCGGGGCGACTACAATAGCACTCATATTCTTCGAATAGTCGAGCTAATAATGACTCATTATACCAATCTGGTCAAAATGGAGAATGAACTGATAATTAATATCACACATAAAATTTAGGAGTAATTCTTCACAAAATCAAAAAGCACACCTTACTTTAAAATTCATTAAAATTATCATTTTTATTGTTTTACCTGGTCTACATGAGAGCCTACTACAAATATAGGAGCTTTTGGAGCTTGTACAGATATTGAGCTCAGCCAGAAATCCAGACCAGCATGTTCAAATCCCAGTCTTACATTCCATAACAGTAGATAAACAGCTCTATTTGACAGGAAAAACTGAAAAGATGTTAAAAATCCTAGTTACATTGTGTATGTTCAATTTCTTGTCTTAAATTCAACTATGTTTAAATTATAGTCTTACATTCCATTATGAGGCGATTTTTGACTTGCAACATGTTTATGTCCCAGCAAGGATCTGACATTAACAGAAGATAGATAATATGTTCAAATCCTAGTCTTACATTCGCTAACAATAGATAAACAAATTTATTGGACAGAAAAAAATAATCAATCTTTTAGTCATCTCTAAAAGATTCTTCTCAATGTGTCAATGGAGCCAATGTTCAATCTTGTATGCTTGTCAAAACAGTTTATACATTTATATAAAGTATGAAAGAAGAAGTAACCTTTGTTACGTTTTAAGCATGTTTGTTCAATTGTACAAAATATTTTCCTATGAATCTTTTCGATATCTTCAACAATTTGTAAAACGCAGTTTTTACTAGAAATATGAGAGACGAATCATTTCACTCATATCAAATTCTTCTTTTACATGTTTCCATATGCTGATCTAATTGGAGTTAGTTATCAATTAAAGCAATAGTTTTGTCTTATCAATAGTATGATAATAGTAGTAAATAAAGACCAAAATAAGACTGGTGTTTCACAAACCTGGTGTGTATTATAATAGACAGTTTGACCAGCAAAGTCCCAGACACTGTATGTTAGATGTTCATCACCAGCCTTTACTGTCCATGTACATATATCTATACCTGTTATATACAAATCAATACATGTGGGTATTTTTATCTATCTGTTAACATCCTTTAACATCAAAATGGTTTTAAAATTTTAAGATGTACATGTACAAGAGGATTTTTTGGCACAGCTTATAATATCAAATTATAAATTAAACTTGCTCAGTTTTGAACTTGAACTGTTCATTGTTGATAAGGAGGTTTTTGATATGAAATAGCAAATTAAGTACCCAACAGTATAGTTAGGTCTGATTGTAGAGTGGTGGTGGTGGTGTTGGTAGTTTACTTTCTTGATCAGGGCAGTAAGCCACTACAAATTCACTAGAGAACAGTTCAGCCATTCCTGTACAAGGTATCAAGCAGTTTACCAGTATTAGTGCCTTCTTTTTCATAAGGAACTGATAATTTTGTACAATGCTTGCCAAAACAGTTTGAATGACCATAGAAGAGATTTCATGATCAATCACAACAAAAGTTGACCTGTACCGTCTTGGAATCTAATCTGAACCATCCAATCCATAGTCAAATGCTCTACCTATAGAGCTAGAGCATAAGAGTCACAAGCTGACGGTGGCACAGGCTAGTCATTACTTTTACCAGCATTCAAATACATTATTATGAATAATAAGGCTTTTACAACAAAACAATAAAAAAAATCATTAATATCAAAAGATTACCATCTGTTATAGCTTCCCCATGAGTGAGATTAGCTTTGCCATCTTTACTGAGTAATGAGTTCACCAAACTGAAAATACAACCATTATACATAATAAATATGATAAAACATTGTGTAACAATAACTGCTCAATGTAAATGACAAGTGTTTGGAGCTTGTATGAACTACCTAGAATTCTATTGGAACACTGTTAGCTCAGATGTAAATTAAAAATTTTAGCTCCTTTAATAAAGCAAATTAATACATTTCATCCAGTTTTTTATCATTCCTCTTAATTTGTTAATAAAGAATATGGTTAACATCAAAATTTAAATTTTTATACTCTCTTATTTGTTACTTCATGGTTGTAAAGAAGTCAATCCTCAATTTTTGGAATCAGAAGTCATTCCAGTAATGAATGATTTGGCACAACTTTTCAAGTCTTTCAAATTGCATGTTATAGCAATATGTCCGTATAACATGTATAAAAATAGATTATGTCCAAACATTCTAGTGTTTTGTCAATCTACAGATGAACAGTGTGAGTCAGACAGCTTGATGGATGGACAAGGACAAAACTATATTCACCAACTCCTAAATGTAGGCATAAAAACCAAAATTTAATCATCAAATATAATGTATAGACTGGCCCTACTTATAACTGATAGCTTATGCAAATCATTATAAGATATAAGTATCTGAAAATATTTTACTTCATGTTACAGAAGAACTGACCTAGTTTTACCAGCACCACCAAGTCCCACCAGCATCAGTTTTGTGCGTTTACAAGGTAACGAGCCTGAGATAAGTCTGCGTAGATAAGCAAATGTTGTAGAAAATCCTTTCACTCGGATTTCCTTTGGAGGAGTCTTTAATAAGGGGCATTCTTCCATCTCAAGTCCTACAAAAGAATTCCCAAATAATTATTTACCATTTGACAGAGCCAATATTCTCTATAACAATATCAAATACATGTCATGTTGCAATTTAGGCATTCAAAATGGAAAAGATTTAAATGATAAATTTCCTACATATGGTCTTTGTAAAGATGTGGTCATTATGTATGCATGTCTCCTGTGTCAGAGAAATTTAGACATTTGTCTACAATTATCAATACATTAGACTTGATAAAAATAACACTTTTTACCCTCTCAAACATTATAAAACATTATTCTTAATCTTTATAGCGCTATCATTAAGACTAAATTGTCCAATTTTCAGAAACTTCAAAGTCCTGATATTCATACGAGCAAAAATGTTCCATATTAGTTAATATAAGTTGTAAAAAACAAGAACTTATATATTCAGTGCATATTATATAACAGGTATACATTTAAAGCAAGAAATATGTTTTAGTTTTTAGATATACATCATATTGACATAAAAACACAGAATGACTTACTTGTCAAACAAGAAATAGTTCCCACCTCCGCAGGAATAGTGAGAAGGTTTGGATTGTGACTGACATTTATAATTTTAAGTTCCTGAAGATCACCAATCTCGGAAGGAACGGAAACAAATCCCTGATAATATATGTTTAAGTACTCCAGATTTCTACATTCTAAAATCTCCATGGGGAATCCACTTGGTGTATCATCATCTACAATAGCAAATATGACAGATTAATTTCCAAGAAAAAAAACAAAATGTATTAATGTGACATTATGCCCATGACTTTACATTTTGCCGTTAATTTGTTCAATATCATAATCTGCATCGCAAAAAAATCAGTAGCTCACATTGACCCCAGATATGTTCTTTAAAATAACCCTTTGTAATTTATCATTATCATTTACTTGGTTAAAAGAGTGGGCTGATTTTTATACATTTTTGGCAGTTTTTATTTTTCATTCTCATCATTTGTCATTGTCAATGACCATTATAGAAGTCAATATTTTCAGATATTTAGCTAATCAAGGTCAACTTGACAGGAACTTAATGCTCGGAAGAAACATTTTTTTTAGCTCAATAGTTCTATGACCACTACTAACCAGGAGGTTCCAGTCCTTTGTAACCAAATCTAGGAAACATGTTGAAAAGTGCAGCATTTAGTTGTCCCATCTCCTCATTATCTAGCACCCCATTTCCATCCTTGTCAAAGAACTGGAACAACTTCTCTTTCTCCTATAAAATACAGTAATACAGTGAAACATGATTTAGTGAAACCTAAGGTACAGTGAAACCTGTGCTGAATACCAACAGATCATTTAAATTACATGTATATTTTATTACATCTATTCACTTTAACAGTATTTAAGTCATTTAATAATAAACATGTTCTTATTGAAACGTCCAAGATTCTGTACCAGTTAAAGCAATTGGCTGACAACCTCTTTCCATGAATCATTCAAAATCAGCTGTGAAGTCCAAATAATATAGGTTATACTGTAGTGAATTAAATTTTAACAGAAAATATCTGACTTGTCTAGCATTAAATGTTAAAGTTATCAATTTCTTCTCCGTAGACCTGAAACTTGACCGGCTGCTATACTAAAGTGTACTAGAATAAACTGCATATTGAATTAATGCATTATTAACATTTTTAGAAGTAAGTTAACTTTTATTTAAACAAACTAATATCCTTTATATACTTGCTACCATTCACTTATTAGCTATTGAAGGAAGTCTACTCTACTGTTACACTTTTAAATGGACTAACAAAACCTTTGTACAGCTATATACTAGAACAATATGTCCAAACTAGGCATAGCATCATCTTGGTGCAGAAACTGGTTAACTCCTTATCTAACTTAATAGGAGTTAACCTGTTACTGCATTAAGGTGACAATATGATAAGTTAATCATGTTGAGATTAATACATACCTCTTTATGTTCCTCTAGCCACCTGTCTAGTCTCCAGACCCGTAACTTGTCTACAAAATTCTCATATGACATCACTTTCTTTGACTTAGATATGTGTAGCCATGGCACTCCAGAAATACCAAGATCGTTTAAATTCCTAAGTTTGGCAAAACTTTTTGGCAAACTTGTGAAACAGTTGCCATTGATATATAGCTTTTCTAAATTCACAAGATTCCCTATGTCTTCAGGCAAATCTGTCCAAAACATATTTGAGGCGTATAGCCGTTCAAGTTGTTTGAGTGAGGTCACAACTGCCGGTAACGTCTCCATCATATTACTGTTGATATCCAAACGGAATAACTTCGTGCATTCTTTCAGTGAGCTGGGTAAGTCAGTTATATTATTCTCTGACACAGTTAAACTGTAAAGCTTTTTACATGCCCCAATGGATTCTGGTATACTTTCAATGAAGTTATTTGAGCAATCAAATTCTGCCAGGTTCGGGAGGGCATTGAATGCATTTTCAGGGATCTCTGTCAGCTGATTCGCCGGCATGTCAACAGAGAGAAGAAATTGAGAATAGTTTCCATAAATCTCTGGTAAAACCTGAAACATATGATAATATATTGAAACACAGAGGAGAATGATAAACACTTGACCATTGATAATTGCTGGGTCAATTTTTTCGATATTCTCTATTAGAACTTTTTGTTTGAAAAAAAAAACCACAAAAAACAACAACCAAAAAACTTTAAACATGGAGCTTAATATATAACATGTATATATATCTGTGCTATAAACTACTAAGCATAATAGAATAACTGATCTCTCCTAATATGAACTCTATACACTATTTTTCTCGACCATAATTAAAGCCAAAATGCTTGTTTCTCCTCAGATAACAATATATTAAGGTTTGTTTTTTTCTAGTGACACACTCCAGAGTTTCTTTTATTGAATTTGTTCAATAAATTCAGTATGATAAGAACAATCATAGCTAGTATGTATATAGTGACACAGACTCAAAACCTATATTTAGAGGTGTTAACCTATTAAATGTTAGTGATAATTACAGTAAGTCTATTTCACCAGTATAGAGTGAGTCCAACCTTCACAACCCTTCTAATATTGAACATTTACAAACTCAAAGCACAACAAATCTATTTTACAATTTCAGTAGATTTATAATCTGAGTTCAGGGAAATATACAATATATTACCTCTGTGATTCCTTCCTCTACTTTCATTGAGGCATGATGACCTGGGCAAAGGTACAAAATATTCTCCTCATTGTATTTACTCACAACTTCATTAAGGCCAATATCTTCCTTGTTCGATTTGGTTAGTCTTTGCAAAACCTATGAATTTAAGAACAATGTAGAATTCATTAGATAATTCTATTATATACATCATAGCTAACCATCTTAAAATATTCAATAATATACATTTTATAAGTGCTGTTAGAAAACAACTGCCCAGAACTAACTAGATTTCTCTCTTGTGTTTGATTTCAGGAAAATGTAACTAGAAATTAGTAACTTTAAAATAAATTTTCCCTTATATCACTGTTTGACTGGGTTTTTTTAAACATGGACAAGTTATGTGCATATGTGATGTTAATGAACAGAATTCACGTTATTGGTGTAAAGTCAATGTTTGTCTATTGCCCCCAAAAGTATAAGGAAAATCCCCAATCCTAGTGTTGACTAACAATGATAATAATCTTTTTATCAACATGCAACTCTTATTTATTATTATATTTATTATATATTATATATATTATTATTTATTATTTATTATTTAACTGTTGATGCAAATCAGCAATCGTATAAATTAAAACATGCTAAAAACAACAATTGAGTGTCGTCTGTTAAAACAAATTAATTTCAGCTCTGTTGCAGCTTATTTAAAATAAATATGCAGTAAGCCGTGTCTTTTATGACTTACCAATATATGTGTTACCTCAGGAAACATGCTAACTACATGTATTTTAGATATGGGTTCAAAAGTACACACTTCATTAAAAAGCAGTAACACCCAAATTTGGCTTGCTCAGACGAGTAAAGAATTACATGATGTTTTGTAAAGGTAAGTATTGTTTATGCAAAATAATGTTGAATACCTGACATTGTGTGAGAAGATTATAAGTGTCCTCAAAGAACGCTAGAAGGTCTGTGACCTTGAGTCCCTGAATGAGTTTCCAATATGAGATTTCTAATAAATCCTGTAATCCAGCCGCAATCTGAAATAAACAAATAATGTCTCCTCTATATTAGCAAACATAAAAAGGTTGAATAAGAACATAAACATTACTGCCAACACTAGCGAAAAAAGTACTAAATTGATTCACAAATGAGTTAAAATGGTATACATGGAAGCCTCTGACTTTTACAACTGTGATAATCAAAGGATTTTAAATTTATAAGAGTGTGCAACTTTTATTATCCAGATTTCAAGATTTTATTGATAAGTCTTTAGGCCTCCAGCCCATAAACATTTACAACATATATATAATATAAATACATAGACAGTGAGCAAAACAGACATGTATACATACAAAATTAACAGTATTTCAGTATTCATTAAAAAATATCTAAGTAAATCTAAGTAATTTTGTCTTTTATCTAATGCATAGAATAAATACATTGCAGTGTTTCTAATTTCATTTTCATTAGACATTAATGAATAAAATTTATCAAGTGTTGGTAGTATTCTGTAATTTTCCGAAATATATTTGCAGCATATATCATTATATAGAGGACAGATTAACATAAAATGGAATTTGTCTTCTATTGAAGTTTCACAATAAGGACATATACGTTCATCTCTACTTAAGCCAGTTATATTATCAGAAATATCAATTGTAAAGTAAATGACAAATATTTTTTATATGACATACATATAAGTGGCGCATTAAGTGGTGGCATGGCTGAGTGGTTAATGCTTCGTACAAGCAATCTAATGATCGCGAGCCGCATGGGTTCAAACCCTGACAGAGGCAAGTCGTCGTTTCCTTGACCAAGAAACTGAACACTCATTGCTCAGTACTGGTTGGTTCCAGGAACAAATTCGAAAGTGTGTCAATAATTTCCTACACAACCAAACTAAAATAAATTCTGTATAACTAAGTGGAGCATTTGTCCCCAACCGTTGAATTTTTTGTGTGTGTCATTTAATAGTACTTACCTTTGATGGACTTAAAGTGTTGACAACATCCTTTGGCAGAAATTCAGAAACATTTTTTGGAAGCTCCAACTGTAACAAACAAATAACATACATTAAAGCTCACACAGAATCATGTTATTAAATCTGTTTTACTTGCTTAAAATGTATGATAATATATTATGCTGTTATGTTATTATATGTAACTCAACTAGAAATGTGTCCATAGGATACGGGTGCCCCCACCTGCCACTGTTCTGTCAATCCTATGACTCTAGATCAAATATTTTTTGGACTACATGTGCCACAAGTTGAAAACTAAAAATCTTTTACTAAGTAAAGGGCAAGAACTTTACAAATACTGAATAAATCCACAAGCAAACCCCAAGGTGCATAAGTACACATGCTGACCAACATTCTTGTAAACTTTCAGGCCTACAAGTCAAATACTTTTTGAGCTATGCATGAACAAGTTGAAAATTGCAATTTTATACAACTGTAAGTCAAGGGCAATAACTCTAACAAAAGTGAAAACAAGAGCTGTCGGTAGGACAGCAACGCTCGACTATTCTTAGTGCTTGATAGTAAAAAACGCCTTGATTAAAAGGTAAAAATTTTTTAAGTAAAGAAAAAGGCAATTTTTTTCTTTAAATCCATATTACAGTTATAGGCCTTGGAGAGAGTCCTATTATGCTCTCAAAGAAGAGTATAAAATTTCAACATGTTTCAAAGCCTTATGTCAATGAATTTTGAAAATATTTGAATTCTAAGTCGAAAAAGGGGCATAATTCTGTCAAAATGCTTGATAGAGTTACCTCCTCCTGTCTACATGTAGGGGTCATAATGGTGAACAAGTGTGCAAAGTTTCAAAGCCATATGTCAATGGACTTTGAAAATATTTGAGGTAGTACAAAAACTTTAACGTAAATTCTAAGTCGGAAAAGGGGTATAATTCTGTCAAAATGCTTGATAGAGTTACCTCCTCCTGTCTACAGGTTGGAGTCATGATGGTGAACAAGTGTGCAAAGTTTCAAAGCCATATGTCAATGGACTTTGAAAATATTTGACGTATTACAAAAACTTTAACGTAAATTCTAAGTCGAAAAAGGGGCATAATTCTGTCAAAATGCTTGATAGAGTTACCTCCTCCTGTCTACAGGTTGGGGTCAAGGGAGTGAACAAGTGTGCAAAGTTTCAAAGCCATATGTCAATGGTTTTTGAAAATATTTGAGGTATTATAAAAACTTTAACGTAAATTCTATGTCGAAAAAGGGGCATAATTCTGTCAAAATGCTTGATAGAGTTACCTCCTCCTGTCTACAGGTTGGGGTAATGATGGTGAACAAGTGTGAAAAGTTTCAAAGCCATATGTCAATGGACTTTGAAAATATTTAAACTATTACAAAAACTTTAACATAAGTGGTTACGCCGACGCCGACGCTCAGGTGACTACAATAGCTCTACTTATTCTTATCGAATAGTTGAGCTAAAAATCCACATGCAAAGTCCCAGGTGCATAGCTTCACAGTGATGTTGATCATTATTCCTGTAATTTAGTGATGTTGATCATTATTCCTGTAAAGTTGGTTGATTCTAACTCAAACACTCAAGGAACAAATAACAACATAATGTAACGGTTTTTACTAAGTCAAGGGAAATAACTCTACAAATACTGGAAAAATCCACAAGCGAAACCCAAAGTGCACAACTATATATGCTGAGCAACCTTCCCGTAAGATTTAATTACTCTATATCAAATCCTTTTTGAGTTACATGCTACACAAGTTGAAAATTGCAAAAAATTTCTAAGTCAAGGGCAATAACTCTAAAAATACTGGATAAATCCACACGAAAATACCCAGGTGCACAACTACACATGCTGATCAACATTCCTGTAAAGTTTCATGACTCTATGTCAAATCCTTTTTTGAGTTTCATGCGACAAAAGATGAAAATTGCAAATTTTTACTAAGTCAAGGGCAATTACTCTAAAAATACTATATAGATCCACACAAAAATACCCAGGTGCACAACTACACATTCTGATCAACATTCCTGTAAAGTTTCATGACTCTACGTCAAATCCTTTTTGAGTTACATGCCACACAAGTTAAAAATTGCAAATTTTTACGAAGTCAAGGGCAATAACTCTAAAAAATACTAAATAAATCCAAATGAAAATACCCAGGTGCACAACTACACATGCTGATCAACATTCCTGTAAAGTTTCATGACTCTAGGTCAAATACTTTTTGAGTTACGTGCGACTTAAGTTGAAAATTGCAAATTTGTACTTAGTCAAGGGCAATAACTCTAAAAATACTAAATAAATCCAAAAGCAAAGACCCAGGTGCACAACTACACATGCTGATCAACATTCCTGTAAAGTTTCATGACTCTAGGTCAAATACTTTTTGAGTTACGTGCGACTTAAGTTGAAAATTGCAAATTTGTACTAAGTCAAGGGCAATAACTCTAAAAATACTATATAGATCCAGACGAAAATACCCAGGTGCACAACAACACATGCTGATCAACATTCCTGTAAAGTTTCATGACTCTAGGTCTAATACTTTTGAGTTACATGCGACACAAGATGAAAATTGCAAATTTTTACTAAGTCAAGGGCAATGACTCTAAAAATACTAAATAAATCCAGACAAAAATACCCAGGTGCACATTTTCACATGCTTATCAACATTCTTGTAAAGTTTCATGACTCTAGGTCAAATCCTTTTTTAGTTATGTGCGACTTAAGTTGAAAATTGCAAATTTTTACTAAGTCAAGGGCAATAACTCTGAAAATACCCAGGTGCACAACTTCCCATAAGCAACGTATTTGCACCCCATAAGCAATTTTTTTTTCCCACAAGTACCGTCTGTACAGAATGAACATGGATATTCACCCAATAACGTCAAATGAGGCCGTACGAACAGACAAGGGTAAATCTAAATGCCTGCCACTAAAGTGGGGGCATAATAAAGTATTTTTCCTTGTAAAATAGCACATATATTACTGATATATCAACAATTCAGCTTGGAGTAACAGCATAATACAGCAAATGGCATATTAAATTCAGTGCATCAGTTAGCTTGGACGATACTCATTTTTCCTTTAACCTTAAACTTGTAACTTACATTGTTTACTGTGGTAGTATTAATATGACAAAAGTAATGACTAGACTATTAACATAATTTTTTATATCTGACTAATTTTTATGTGGTCAACATAACTGTACGTTTTTATTAGTTCAAATCAATAACTTTGACTTTAAACCTAAAAGAAAAAGAGTTTCCAAATAAGAGAAATTAAACACTTGGTTGTGGAAGAACATACATGTATAATACTAGCCTATAGATTTTGTTTGTTTGTTTTGGGTTTTACGTCACATTGACACAGTATAGGTCAAATCGCCACGTTCCAGCTTTCACTGGTGGAGGAAGACCTCAGGTTCCCTTCCGTGCATTATTTCAGGCACGAACGGGCACCTGAGTAGAACCACCGATGTTCAGCCTATAGATAACAAGAGCTGTCCGTAAGACAGCGCGCTCGACTTTTTTATTGCTTGCCAATAATACAAAACATTGACAGTTAAGGGCCATAATTCAAATAAAATCTTTGACAGAATTACCTTCTCCTGGACATGTTTGGGAATCATGATTGTAAACAAGTATTCCAACTTTCAAATTAATATCTCAAACAGTTCAGTCAAAAAGTGGACTGGTACTAAAAACTTAACCAAGATTCTAAGTTGATAAAAGGCCTTAATTTTTAAAACAAATCCTTGACAGAATTACCTTCTCTTGTGTACAGATGGGGGTAATGATGTGAAATAGCATTAAAATTTCAAAGCAATATCTCAAAGGGTTAAGGCAATAAGTGGATTTTACCCATATTCAATGTATTTTCTAAGTCAAAAAGGGGCATAATTCTGTCAAAAACCTTGACAGAGTTATGTCCTCTTGTCTGTTGATGAAGGTCGTGATGGTAAACAAGTATGGTCAGTTTCAAAGCAATACCTCCAATGGTTTTGAAATAAAGTGAGGTGGTACAAAAAACTTAACCAAGCTCAATACACTTTCTAAGTCAAAAAAGGGCCATAATTCTGTCAAAAACCTTGACAGAGTTATGTACTCTTGTCTGTAGTTGGAGGTTATGATGGTGAACAAGTATGGTAAGTTTCAAAGCCATACTTGTAATACTTCTGAAATAAAGTGGGGTGGTACGAAAAACTTAACCAAGGTGTGACGCCAACGCCGACGCCGACGCCGGGGCGAGTAGGATAGCTCCCCTTTTCATAGAAAAGTCGAGCTAAAAAGGTAAAAATTTGATAACTGCTGCATATAACAGTAAAGGCAATTTCATTATGAAATAAACCATCGACTTACATTTGGCAAATTCTTGAAGAGATAGCACCATCCCCACATCAGTGATGAAGCCTTGTCATACATACGTGACTGTCTCGATACATCAAGGACTATGCCTGAATGATCTATAAGATGGATCATACGGTACACACTCCATGACTCTGGTACCGCCTGACCACCACCAAATGACAAAACATCACTGATCTTACCTGTAATGTAGGGTTAATTGATGTTAAAACACAAACTACACACATGCATGCATGCAGACGTACATGCCCATGCGGGCACGCAACTATATTTATTCAGAGGATGATAATAGTTACACAACAGTCTTGCAGCAATTAACTAAATTTGCAAAGGGTTATACATAATTCAATTAAAATCTGTTCGGGTTATGAGTCAGAAAATCATTATGATTGTATAGCTTGTATTACTCAAAATAAAATAAAATAAAATAATTTTTTTTGAGAATTGTCTAATAATGGTGACTATTTGTTACTTTATGGATAAAAATCTTTACTATCTATAGAAAAAAATATAACTTTTACAGTTAAGACAAAATAAGTTTTATCAAACATTTAACTTAAAATATAAAACAAGAATACCATATATGGTATTAATGCTTGTATGTTATTGACAATAACCAATTTTGACAAAATATTTAAGTTAAAAAGAGATATAACTCGAAAAATTTAGCTTTCAGTTTTATGCACCGTCTTTGTTAAACAAATGCACCTTGTCATGATAAGCAAATATTCAGTTTCATGTTGATAACTTTTGAAATGATTGAATAATGGGCTACAATAAAGCTTTTGCACACCAATGACAACTACAATGACAACTATAATGATGACACAGCGACCACACTTTTCCCTTAAAACAGACAAGCTTAAAATCAAACAAGAGGGCCATGATGGCCCTGAGGTCGCTCACCTGTATATAGGCCCCCGGATTGGGGCTAGTTTAAACCCCAGGGCTTTTATTTTTTAGAAGATGTTTCATGCTGTTAAGTTTTTACTACACACATATAATGAAAAACAATGATCTTCCCTTCGCCCCCCTCCTGCCTTTCCTCCCTCCCCACTCCCTCTCTTCCCCCCCCCCCCCCGGTAGGGCCAATTTTAACCCAGGGGATTTTATTTGAGCAAACTTGGTAGATGTTTCATCCTATACATCTAAGCTCTAGCTCATTGGGTTTTTTAAAAGAAGATTTCTTTAAGTTTTTACTATACACATATAGGTAAAAACAATGACACCTCTGGGGCGGGCCAGTTTTGACCCCAGTGCTTTTATTTGAACAAACTTTGTAGACACTTACTAGAAGATGTTTCATGCTTAATATCTACACTCTAGCTATTTGGGTTTTTTCAAAGAACATTTTTAAGTTTTTGCTATACACATATAAGGAAAATCAATGACCCCCGGGGCGGGGCCAATTTTGACCCCAGGGCTTTTATTTGAACAAACTTGGTAGACACTTATTAGAACATGTTTCATGCTAAATATCTTAGCTCTAGCTCTTTGAGTTCTTTAAAAGAAGATTTTTTAAGTTTTTACTATATGCATATAGGGAAAAATCAATGACCCCCTGGGGCGGGGCCAATTTTGACCCCAGGGCTTTTATTTGAACAAACTTGGTAGACACTCATTAGAAGATGTTTCATGCTAAATATCTAAGCTCTAGCTCTTTGGGTTCTTTAAAAGAAGATTTTTTAAGTTTTTACTATATGCATATAGGGAAAATCAATGACCCCCTGGGGCGGGGCCAATTTTGACCCCAAGGATTTTTTTAACAAACTTGGTAGACACTCACTAGAAGATGTTTCATGCCAAATATCTAAGCTCTAGCTCTTAGGGCTTTTTAAAAGAAGATATATAAAGTTTTTTTTTTTATTCGGTTGCCATGGCAACCAGATTTCTGCAAGGAATGGAATTCTTTGAACAACTTTGTTAAGGCTTCACACAAGGAACATCCCTGTGAAGTTTCATTATGATCTGCCTTATGGTTTCAGAGGAGATGTTGTTTTAAAAGTGTGAACGGACAACGGACGACGTACGACAGACGACGGACGAAGATGGATCCTAATAGCTCACCCTGAGCATATGCTCAGGTGAGCTAAAAACATAATCTATGAATTAGGTAAATTTTTATTCATATTCAAAAGACAGATAAAGAATTATTGTAACAAAGCCAGTCATTGAACTGTGTGCTTTTAAAGTATACCTATTCAAGACATTAAACGGGTAAAATTTTGATCAAAAGTCTTACTTCTAGTATAGCATAATAGATGAAATGCCAGTGCTTCTTTGAAAGGCGTGAAACTTGGGTACCGCAAAAGTTCCTCAGTAATATTGGCCGGCAATGTTATATATGATGAACCTGAAATATATGTTAACATTAAATCTTCTAAAATTGTATCATCTTTATTTGTATACTAATGAAATTTGTAAGAAAAGCAATAAAACTGCCCATCATAATAAAGAAAATTATACATTGAAAAAGGTCATAACGCTAAAAGTAGGTCATAAAATTCTTAATATTTACTTGATAATTTATGTTTTTGACCTTTTACCTTAACTATATTGATGATAGAACTTAACAAATTGAAACAAAATGCAAACATGGATATATAATTATAAACAATTGTCAACAGAGCAAAGAAAGCACAAGATAGTTTGTCTATGTGGCAAATGAGTATTTATTTAAAGCTGTAACAAGATACTAAAAGTAAAAGGTTTTGGAGAAATACAAATGATAGCAATTCTGAGGCATAATAAGCTGTTAAGTGACATTAATGCCGTTTATATATATAGAGATTATTTACCTGAGTAGTTTACACCCCCAGCCTGAAAAAGGGCATTCTCAATATACTGTTTCCCCTGTAATAAGGAGGCCTCTATTGCAGAAGGAACCAAATATCTTCCTGTAAAGCAAACAAATAATAAATCTATCTGAGCCCAGAAATATCTTGATTTTTTTTTAATATACTGCTTTACAATCATACTTCAAAGGCTTTATACTGGGATGAAATGTTTCATGTTCATTGGCTGTAATGCTATGTAAATATCATGAATGATGACTGCTCAGAATATCAGTCTAAAATTGATAATAGAATCTAGTTTCAGAATAATTAAACATTTATTTATATATTTTTATTGGTTGATATATACCCATTTACTTATTTTTGGTTATTTTGAAATATTTTTGAATTGTTTTATCTTTTTTATTTCATATCCAAGAGACCATGTGTTGTGGCGCGATTGCTCAGTTGGTTAGACCACTGATTATCACTCCTGAGGTCCCGGGTTCGATCCTGGGTTATAACCTTGGGATTTTTCAGAGACACTTTCAGTGTTTCCCACCTACCTAGAGGTGTACTGGTAATAAATCCAGGCAATCCTTGCATGTATCAGTGCTATACACTGGGCATGTAAAAGAACCAAGGGGGCTATTCAATAAGAGCTAGGGACTGGTTCCCGGATTCCCTTGTATCTCATAGCTGTCTCTTAAAAATGTATACAATGTATTCCTGCTTAGAGTGATCGTAAACGATTTTAAAGCAGTATGATGTAGAACTAGACCTTGACTTTTGACCTTTATACCCGAACATAGGTGTGGCAGGTTGAACTCTGAACTCATTTACTTAAAGGTGCATTCATACTTGATGTTTCAATAATAATATGGCTATCTAAGTATTGAAGTTAAAAGTAACAAACTAGCACTTAACCAAAACAGTTTAACTAATGCTGACTGCAACAATGGGTCATCAGAAAACTGAGCTAAGTCCGATAGCCAATGACACATTTACCAATACAGGGAAAATTAGTACTAAAAAGTCTGACTAGATTTTATTCTGTTACATGTTCAACATACGTATCAAAATGATAAAATCCAAAATGATTGAAACAGAGCATAGCCGTTACACAAATTCAACAAGTACATGTCAATTACCTGGTGTGTACGAACACATTCCTTTTTCACCATAGTCATCTTGTTCCTGGGGCTTAATTCTCTACAATAATAACAAGAGCTGTCTGTAGGACAGCACGCTCGACTATTCTAAGTGCTTGATAGTAAAAGAGCCTTGATAATGTTAAATTTTTTAAGTTTACAAAAGGGCTAATTTTTTTAATAAATTCTTGTTATAGGCCTTAGAGAGAGTCTAATTAAACAGTATTGGCTTGACTATTCGGAAGGTAATGTCACAAGGGTGTTTTATTGAGTATAATAATACTTATTACCTATGAATACATAAATTTGACAGAAAGGTACAAAGGCTTGTTATTAAGATGTTTTATCAAGTAAATCACTGCTTTATTATTATGAATGCATAAAATTGTCCCAAAAAAGGCACAAACCCTTCAGTAGTTATTGAGATAACAGCTTACAAATGAATTTCTAAGTTGAAAAAGGGGAGAAAAATCAGCCTAAATGCAAGAAAGAATTATGGATCTTTGTCAGTGACCTACAATTATGACCCTAAATGCATATGTGAAGTTTTAAATAAATATCTTTAATAGCGAGACATTCTTTTGTATTAGATATTTTGAAATGTAAGGGAAGTAATTACAAATCAAAAGCATTTAAATCTTGTAAGAGTAATTTATCCTGTTTCTTGCATCTTACTATTTTCACATATATCTTGTTTACTTTACTGACAGATTTATTGTTGACTAATGCCAATATCAAGTCAAAAGTGTATAGACCAAAATGTGACTATGAGCTATAATGGCTTTGTCAATTGTGTATTGTGAGATTTATGAAAGAATAAAGCTTCTTCTTCTTCTTCTTCTATGTAAAACTTGCATGTAAACATTAACCAAGAGACAAAGTAGAAAAGGGCATATGAATCAGCCTTAATGCAAGATAGAGTTATGGAACTTGGTCAGTGACATACAATTATGACCCTCCAATTATGACCCTAAGTGCATGTGTAAAGTTTCAAGTAAATATCTTTGAAGACCTTTAACCTTTAACCAAAATTTCTAAGTTTCAAAGGGGCAAATAATTCTGCAAAAATTGCAGGCAGAGTTATGCAATTTTGCAAACTGATGTACATTGTTACTATAAAAAAGTATTTTAATTTTCAATTGAATATCTCAAGCAATAATTGATATATTTGACTTTACAAAAAAACTTTAACCAAAATTTCTAAGTTCCAAAGGGGCAAAATTCTGTCAATATTGTAGGCAGAGCTATGCAACTTTGTAAATCTGATGTACATTACTACTATAAATAAGTATTGTAAGTTTCAATTTAATATCTCAAGCAATAATTTAGATATTTTACTTTACAAAAAAAACTTTAACCAAAATATCTAAGTAAAAAGGGGCATACATCTGTAAATATTGTAACAGAGTTATCCAACTTGTCAATCTGATTTACATTGTTACTATAAATAAGTATTGTAAGTTTCAATTGAATATCTCAAGCAATAATTGAGATATTTGACTTTACAAAAAACTTTAACCAAAAATTTCTAAGTTAAAAAGGGGCATAATTCTGTCAATATTGTAGGCAGAGTTATCAAACTTGTCTATCTGATGTACCTTGTTACTATAAATAAGTATTGTAAGTTTCAATTGAATATCTCAAGTAATAATTGAGATATTTGACTTTACAAAAAACTTTAACCAACGCAGACGCCGACGCGGACGCCGACGCCGGGGCGACTACAATAGCTCTCATATTCTTCGAATAGTCGAGCTAATAAAATTATTTTATTACCACATTAAAATACTGTAGGTTTCAAGTAACAGTAAAAGTAACCAGGTCTATTTTGTTTTTATAGGACATTGATATTAGTACTATTACCGGACCATATATATCAAAGTTCGTCTAAATCTTCCAAAAAGTTTTAGTTGTTTAAAGCCTTTTCTGTTGGCCATCTTCTTCTGCTGAATAAAACATTTGTATCTATAGTACCATCCAAAGATCATTGCTAAATGTATAATAAAAAGAACAACCAAAAAACCTTGAGTACTTGAAGCAAGGGAACTGACAAGTAAAACCTTTGCCAGACTTTTTAAGAGCTCAGAAAGGGGTGTAATTCTTATTCTACAAGATTAATTTTATAGGAAGTCAATGAAAATAAATGCAACACTTGTTAAGTGGTTGGACAAGGGCAATAAATCACCTTGATGTTTGGCATATACACAGCTAGTGACACGTTGACAAGAGGTTCTATTGTAACAGAACAACTTTGTGTTGATGTTTTATGAACAAAGATTGTGACATCTTGTTGGCGGAATACAACCTCCATTTCATCAAGGTCATCCTGAAATATAACACAACACTAAATTGTTCACTCTCTTTTGACTTTCTTTTTTATATTAAAAGTTACATCAACTGAGAATATGTAATAATATCCCAAAATATGTAATTACATCCAAAGCCTACCACATAGCTTTATATAAAACAACTGACTGTCCCTAGGGGACTTTAAACTTACAGCATATGAGGGAGGAATATTGTTATACTATTTCTATGAAATGCAAACGGCACACATTCAGCTACATCTTTAAAGGGCAAGCCAAATAGATGAAAATTAATGGAATTAATCCAAAACCGGTGGGAACCTTAAGTGATTAGCTTTGCATTTGTGCAGACTGACCAAGCTCTATACTATTGCTAGTTCAAGTTTTGTTGTATTCTGATATTGAAATCCCTTGAACTTTAAATAGACTGTTCCAAATTCAAAGCAGGGCAAATCCATTACACAAATATAGCAGGTTAAGGTTTGAAAAACGTTTGATTACACGACAAACCTTTGAAAATCTAAGTTCTGCAGACACAGTGTATCCTTCTTTACATTTCCACTTCTCATCAGAGTTTTCTTTAACTATGTCTTTTCCTTTCACTTCTGCAATTGAGCCTTCTCCAGTCTTATATTCTAGTGAGTATGTACCACTGCAAAAAAGATAAAAACCATCAGTTTTCAATAAAGCACACATTTCTTGAATTGATGTCATACAAAATTGAATATCACTTAGCAAAAATACATAATATCATCATACAGACAGGGTGAGTGTTTAACAATCCACAAAAACAAAGAAAGATGGTGAAGGGTTTAATATCAATGACTTCCAGCAACAGATTAATGTGATATTGAGCAAGAAAATTAAGAAAATAAATGTAAACTTTAAACATTCATATTATACAAACCATTTCTGTTCTATAAAAGAGTAGTATAAGAAAGGTGCAATTACATATATGCTATAACTGTAACTTACATTTTCAGTTTCATGTTGATTAAAGCTCCTCGTATGAATGTAACTACAACAACAGGTGAGTAGTTTGGTGTGAGGTCTTGTTCACAGGTGTAAATCCTCTGAGATTTCTTGTCAATGACTGACTCAGAGTTCATCAATGACACTACAGTACTTCCCATCTGGAAGTTCTGATAGCATATCACTTCATTCCTCTACAATAAATGAACAAAATGGAATAAATTAGTTATTTATTTGATACACTGTATATCATTATTAGAATAACCATATCACAATGGGGTTTTTCTTCACAGGAGGTCTATACTATATAGACCTATATTATTCACAATAGTAAATAGAAAAATAGATAAGATATTCCCATTTTTTAGAGGAACAAGATAAACATTTAACATTCTGAGGAAAATGTTTACACAGCCTGTAGAGGGACATCAAATGCTTAAGTTTTAATTTGCTATGACATGTTCATATTCAATTCACAGTAGAAGATAAAATCCAGAGATAAAACAACAATTTAAGTTTACCTTTATATTTACAACACATCTCTGACATATACCACATTCTCCACACAGTTGACCCTCTCGATCACAGCTACAGTTCCTGCAGGAGATTATATAACAGATTAACTCAATACTTTATAGTGACATTATGCTCAGTTTTTCACTGCTACGTTGAGCTGAATTAGTCAAATATTTAAAAAGATTGACTATTATAAAGGATGATTAACCAATAAATGATGGTGAAGAATGTTTAGAATAAAACATAAAAACTTCCTAAACTTTAAAAAGACTGCCTCACTCTTTTTTAAATTAAACTTTACCTTTAAAATTTCAAACAATATTTATAGAAATTTCAATGGGTCACATAGACTATTGAACGACAAAGGTGAACATAATTATGATAAAATATAAAGTTATTTTGCCTTTTACCAGTGCACACATCCTTTACACTGGTGTTTCTATCAGCATAAAATTTTACCTGCATGATTTGCAAATTAATTAAGATTTTACATTCTATAAACATAATCCAAACTAGAAAATGTAATCCAATTTACTGTGAGGTTTTTCCATTTTGCAGATTTCCCTCGCAATATGGACCAGCAAATGCACAATTCTGGCAGAATAAACAGCGATTATATGCACTGAATGATGGTAGGCACCCGAGATAATGATGAGATGGTACCAGGTCAAAATGAGCTGAAAATATATCCTAAATTTGTAACATTTGGTTAACCTTATCATCTATAAATGCTTACCAATGTCATGCATTTTGTTTCTTCCCCTTTACTTAAAGATCCTGTAACACATTTTTTTCATGGTTTTATTTCATAAATATGATGCTCAAATTCAGATTTGTCAATATTGTAAGTTCCAATAAGCATTATTTATAAAGATATTACCGAATTTAACATTTCATGTAAATAAAGGGAGGTAATTAGAAATTTATTTTCTATAAATTCTAAGTCAAATTTTCCAATAAGAAATGAATGCGTATAATTTATTGATTAAATATAATGTGCACAAATATTTGCAGTACACATTTTACATATTCTTCGATGTTTGAAAATTGTTTTATTTGCATAATTATATACATATATAATTTTTGGCAAATGTGGTATACACACAGTAACAATATCAATCACAAAACATGCAGGATCTTTAACCTGTGAAATCATTTCAATTTCATTATACAAATATGTATTTTAGACAAACAGCATCTAGATCTACTACACAAAAATCATTGAAAATGTTCTAGTAATATAACAGAACAACTCACTGCAAATATTCCTCAATAATAATTTAACTACTGTAAAACTAGATATTTTTGCAATGCCAAAATATTTTGAAATTATCATTTTAGTCGATTAAATATTCGCAAATCTTTTTCAGTTTTCCATTTTCAGTTCTGTTAATTTTATATGGTAGACATTAAAAAAACCTTCAATTTGTAAAATAAGCAAAATTTAATACATTGTAAAAATACAATATATATTCAGTATCTTTTAATGTTATTATGTAAGCCACACCGGCAATGTAAAGATCATTGTCCCATTTCAAGAAGGAATTAGGTATCCCTGCTTGCATTTTTCAAGATACAAAAAGGCACCTGTTAACTTTGAGAACACAGTGGTGGGTGGGAAAGTAATTCAAGATTGCCCACCTTAACAAGGCCATAAACTGGGGCTTCTACTGGGTATTACAAGCTAACAACAAAACAATTTAGTTAATGATTACATACATTCAGGAACTAGAATATCTGATAATTTGATTTCACTTCCATCATTCCTGCACGTAACCTTTTTCTGCGTTGCTTTAAATCCCTCTAGTAGTTGTTCTTTCATCTGCCAGATCTCAGTGCCCCGAGCATTCGCAGTTCTATACCGGTTCTTCGGAAGGTGACATTTCGTACATGGAATTGTTTCCTGTCAATAAACAAAATAGCAAAGGTGACAATTGTAATATTTTATGAGTATGGCTCCACACAGAGGTTGTTAGAAAATCATGTTGGTAGGATATGTCTGAAGGAGCATGTGGAAATACAAATGAACTTATGACAGAGACAGACAGAATCAAAGAATCTATCTCTTTCAAACTATTCATTATGGTACGTTTCAAATATCGTTACTTTATCCTATATAAATCAAGCTTTAAAAGATTTTTTTTATCAAAAAAAAGAAAAAAAAAGAAAAGCAAAATGCCTCCCAATTTGGACTCCCTTATAAAGAAATAATGCTCATATACTGAACCAAAAAAGAAACTTTCGCAAAGTATGTGCCAGTTGTTCAAGGGTACCACTTAGATGTACACACTAAAATACATGTAGTAGCTTGTAAAACTCTTTTTGTTTGCAAAATCGGTCAGCTAATCCTCGTATAAAAGCCTGATATGTTTATTCAACGTAAAAATCGAGTTTCAAAAGGATTGAAAAACTGTACTAACATATCTACATTCAAACTTGGAGAAAGTTTCTTTTTTGTTTCAGTATATATCTATATCAATGGTTCTTTGATAAAACTTTTCCTATTAAAATCTTAAATTACGAATTAACCAAAATTAATCAAAAGTGGTACATATTTCTTTCACAGATCAGGAGGCAAGGTTAAATAGATTTTTCAATAGTAAGGTTAATATAATTATGCCCCACTGATACAGTTCAGGTCATATAAAAACAGGTGACATAAAGCATTTTCATTTTACAATTTTTTAAAACTCAATACAATACACAGTCAAATAAATGTACAAACAGAATAATTTTATTGTAAACCATGATAAATGACACAATTTGACCATACCAGTGCATAAACATTATGATTGAGCACAGCTGCTTTAACAACATCTCTGTAGATCTTAAACACACCAAGATGAGAGTCTGTCATCTGGTCCTCATCACTTCCAATACTGACCATTCTAGCTCCCAGAAACAACATTGGGCAGTCTACAAAACATTTCATGCTGATCATATTGTATACATATATTACTGATGTATGATATAAAGGTTTATTATGCCCATCTCTTACTTGCTGATATGAAAATGATAAGCCATTGTTGCCAGTATATGGCCGGGCCAGCCCTCTACATTCATGCAGACTGTACAGGTTCTATACAGTCAGTAGTTTTGCCTCAATTTTGTTATTTTTACTCCCTTAAACTTTAAATGGTGTATTTCAAATTCAAAGCAGGGCAAATTCATTACAAAACTACAGCAGGATAGGGATAAAATCATTGGAAGGTAGCAGTGATAATATCTTGCCTATGTCACCAGTATAGTCAACTAACATGATTTTCTGTGCAATGTGATCAGATTTTTTTTCTATTAATTGCTCATCCTTGCTTTTATATAAATACATATACATTGGTTTTATGTGAAGCTTTCACAATGGTATGGCATAGATGGTAAGAAAAAGACCCACACTTTCTGCAAAAAAAAATTTTCTGTTCAAATAGCAATATTTATAATTGGACTCGCCTGACTGCAAGCTGTGTTGTTCCAAGTTTTTAAAGTGTCAGTCATCAAAGCAGAACTGTAAAGAATGAAGAAGGTGACAGCTCTACGCCGAACATCAAGTTCAAGAAATCCCAGAGTTCAAGTGACCCGAGTTTGAGCCATTAAGTTTAACAAATAACATACTGATGTATTTTACATAATAAAATAGCAAAATAGCCCAGTAGTGCGAAATCTACAAACAAGACAACACATACTATATTATCGCCACACTTATACTGTAATAAAAATCAACCAGTACATAATTCATTTACAAACAAACAAACCATTTTGTAGAGATCACTAACAGGAATCAATATTCTTACTTTCTGCGTTATTCAGCATTTCTATTAAAACAGTAACTGGTCCCTTTCGGATGACAACTCCTTTATTCCATAAAAGACGAACTCCACCTAAGTCAAGGCACTGCCTGGAAAGCAATAATTTCAGATAAGCACGAATTTAAAGAAAACAACATAATAAAATCAGTATTTCTTTACCTTTATTATACCATTTATAAATGCTGTTCTTATTCTACATATCTAGTAATAAAAGTACTAATAATATGGTTATATCTAATACACACAGGTGTTTGATGCTTAGATTGGTCACTATCCCCAACCAACACTATAACACCCAACCTTTCTCAAACAATCTTAACTGCACTGAAGTATTATATTTTTGATTGTGATAACATTTCAAAAATTAAAAAAATGATACAAATATATATGTATATTTAGTAAACTAAAAGTATGCAACTTGCTGCTCATTCTTCATAACACCAAGTAACTTGTGCAGCTGATTGCTACCACTGGAGTATTTCCAATGGTCATGTGAAAATCTCCAACCATTGAAATTACTCTGAAATTACTCAATACAAAATTAAGAGGAGCAATCTGCTGCACCAGTTAATTTCATTATCATTGAGAATTTGATATTTTGAAAAAAAGGTTTACATCAGGTATAAAACCATAGTGAAATTCATTAAACTTAGATGAGTTACAAATAAACAATTAACATAAACAATTAACTTATAAACAACAAACCTCAAAACTGAAGGAAAGTATTGGTCAGGTACACCTGGCATGAATGTATAATATCTCTCAAACTGAAACTCATCTGATGGGAGACTGTCCGGCCATAAAACCTCCTACAATAAATCAACCATCTCAATTAAAATTGAAATTTTCCTTTTTTTTCAATAAGTAGTAGATTAAACTTCATATCAATTAATCAAAACATCTTGAGCTTGGCCAAAGTAGATGAAAATACAACCTGCAAATTTCTTAATAATTATTTGCATCAGATGTCTCCAATAAAAAATAAGTAGAAAATAGTTTAGATAATTCAGGCTAATATTTCACAGACCATGGTGACTTTCCTTTTTGGTTGGGTTTTATGATGCACCAACACAGTATTGGTATGCAACTTTCAAAACTTTACTGGTGGAGGAAGACCTTAGGTGCCGTCCCTACATTCTTTCCGGCATGAAAGGGCATCTGAGAAGAACCACTGATGTTCCCTTAGCTAGCTGGTGAGCTTCCTCACATGAAAAATCCAAAGTCCCTATCAGGATTCAAACCCACAGTGGTAAGGAGCATGTGGTTAACCACTCAGCCACAGACAGTGTGTTAATTGGTAGTATCTTCTGTAACTCACACCAAGCTACAAATATGTAACAAAGTTAAACTATTAAAAAACATACCACATCTACATCTGGATAATAAGGCAAGTCCTTCACTAACACATAGGCATATGTATCTGATAACTCTGTAGTCCACACATCTCGTGGTATACATAACATTATACCCATATCCTGAAGTAACTCTATCATAGCTCCGCCCTGAAATACATTCATGGAATTTAGTTACATATCTCCTTAAATTTATTTTAGCACTCACATTGGTTACACTTCCATAACAATGTCACCATAGTCAATTTTATGAGTATAATGCAGAGATTATCTATTTTCAGACTTTTTTATCGAATTTTTACTTAAATTGTGTGTCATACTGAAACTCATTAAACTCAAAACAAAGCATTTACACAAAATCTCCATTTTAAATCTTAAAATTAAAGAATATGATTCAATTTAAGAATGTCATATAATTTTGTTGTAGCTAAAGTGACTATTCTCTACTTCAGGTTTGAAGTCTGGCACCATTTAAATGCTAACAGAAACCAATTGTTTTGAGTTATCCGCCCTTTTGTAAAAAAAAAAAAAAATTGCACATCTCCGAGAAATGTAATTCAGGTATGCCTGAAAATGTAGGACTCATAACTAGATAACAAATTCTCTTGAGATAAAAAATATCTATGTTAATTAATGTACTATTGTACATTTTGTAAAATATCTTTCAAGATATGTAATGTATATCATAAACAAAACTACTTCTCACCATCTCAGGGTTTAGGCATAATGTAGTAACATCTTCTTTTGTCCAGCACGGAAAGTTTGAGCCAAGAAATCTCCAACTTGCTTGGTGTGGGGCTTTACCATTCAGCAATTTGATATACAACTCTTCTAAGAACGAGAAATCTGATAGTGCATACCCCTCTCCTAAATCTGGGAAGGACACATATTTACCCTAGAAAACAAGTTGACACAATTTTAAATACAGTCATGAATTTGCTCTATCAATTTTCAGTTTCCTTATCTGTGAACAGTATAACACAAATAATTATACATGTATAATATTCAATTTATAAAGATTCATTTGTCAAAATTTAAACATTAGACAAAACTCACAGATATATAGATCACTTCAACTTTGTGACAATTACCTTTACCAGCTGTAGTAATGGTTGGCGGCCATAAATAGTTTGTAGCCATTCAGACAAGATTCATGCATGCTGACATCAAAAACCTTTTAAATGACATCAGATAGTTAAATTCTTTTTTGGCTTGGGTTTTACATTGCACCAACATAGTATAGGTCATGTGGTGAATTTTTCAGCTTTACTCGAGAAGGAAGACCTGAGATGTTCTTCTAAGCAGTATGTCAGGCACGAACGGGCACCTGAGCAGAACCACCAACATTCAATGCTACCTGGATAGCTTCCTCACATGAAACAATCCAAGTCCCTGTAGGGATTCAAACCCACATCAGTGAGGGGAAAGCCAATGACTTTAAACAAGCGGCCATGGATGTCCCCGACAGTTCAAATTTAAAACAAAAAGAGGTATACTATGTAAGTTCAGTAGGGTAGGATTAATTGCAGCATGTTATAAAAAGTCTGTTATTACCATACGATCAAGAAGTTCCAGCATTTTCCTGATGAAAGGAGTGATATTTGGATGACTTGTAAACTCAGAGAATCCACTACTGGCCCCAGATTTTGATTCAGCAATCTCTGCTACATTTGTAATAGGTATCTTATCTTTTTCCAAGGCAATCAGGGCATATTTCAAGTCCAGTTGGAATGGCATAAAATACCAGGGGAAATGAAACTTGAGAGATGAAGTGGCTGATTCTATCAGCTTCTCCAGTACTTTCTTGTTGTCCTCATTAATATTCTGATGTGTAAAAATGAAAGAATTATTAGAATATATTTTTAGAGAATTATAACAAAGTCACTTTTAAAATTCATTGCTGAAGGAAGTTCCCATATGCCCCACCATGTTTTGAACAAATGCAGACACTGAAGTAAAACCACTGACCTACAGTAAGCTAGTCTTATTGCACCATTTTTCTTTGAAACAGACAAGCTAAATTTTGCAACATAACAGAAGAGTTAAAGATCAACTCTTACAATCTAGTCCTTGAAATTATAGTTTCCCAAAAATAGAATGTCATATCTCAACTATCACCATGGGTTACAAGCTATCCTTGAGATGACAATATTATTGTCACACATGCTGTCATATTGATATTTATATAATTTCATGCACCATCCGAAAACCTGATGTTATAGGAAACCAAGCAAAAGTGGGTTTTTCCCAGCTTCATAAAATCCGTAGGTATAAACAAACATTTACAGTAATAGCTTCAATGTGCACTGCCCATTACAATACAATGTATATTAGTCAACCTGTTGCGCTTATTTCCGAAGCTGTAACTGCAAAAGTTTGTTTGTATCCACAGATTAGCTGGGAAAAATCCACATATTCTTAATTCCAGAGGTAGTCTATTCCACTTTGTTTGACAATACGCTCACCAATATGGTAATTTTTCCTGTGGCAAGCATTAACAAACCTAAACACATACAGTATTAACAAACTTTTGCTACCTACCATCATGGCTGGTAAAATTTGATGTGGTGGATTCTTCATGTCTGGATGTAGCATATCCCTGTCTGGTTTTACCATGTTTTTCATGAAATGTTTAAGCTGTTGGCCATTTCTAAACATCTGTTGTGAGTAGTAGAACATTCGTCCAAAGAATACTTTAGTCCTAACAAGATAGTGAAAAGTTGTATTACATTAATTCATTGCTGTTTAAGTCATATCAAAAGTATGATATTCTGTACTCATTGATCTGTTCCTGTATCTTATAAAAGCAAACATTTCACATTATTTTATGAAATATTTTTTTATCTTTGATTTGTAAGTTAACTGCTTATTTTGATATTTGACTTCATCAAGCAAGCGCAGCTTCTATTTTACCAATCATAAATATAGATTCACATTTTCAGTGTGTCCATTCCACTAGATTTTATAATGTTGTTTGTTTGGCAACACGGTAACCAGAAATAGTAAATAAACTGCTTGCCTGAATGGTTAAAATCTTTAAATTCACACAAGTTCTTTATTTCTTCATCAAATATGACCAAATAATGAGGAGGCTAAGGGAAAAGTTGTATATCATAAATGTATGGTCATGAGTATTTTGTTAGATTGACAGTTTTGGCTCAAAAACAGAAAACCTACTTTTTTTTACCATAATATTACGTACAGGCATTTGCGAAAAACTATATTTTTCCTGTTTTCGGACCAAAACTGTTGATCGATCAAAACACAAAAAACAACAACACTAACCATTTGGTTGGTCTTGTTTTAAGAAGTTATTACCTTAAAACTATTTAGTTCATGTGACTAAACCTTGCTGAAAACCAAAAGTGATTAGCCTTTGTCACCAGTATAGAGCTAGGCCAGCCTGTACATCTGTACAGTCTGACCAGGCTCTATAATGTTGGCTAACCATCTTTAAATTTTCATCCTCATATCCCAAAACATCAATTCTGACACTATAGGAAAATTTTCTATATAAACAAAGAAGGCCGGAAGCTTGTGTTATTCTACTATCTATTTGCTAAATAATGGACAGTTAAAAAAAATGGACATTGGACAAGTTCATTTATATAATTCATCAATTTAAGGATTAAAGTAGTAAACATATCTCTTACTCTGTAGAAAATTTGAGCTCTTTGTCTAGGTCATTCATACGTTTGTGAATGGCGTTGGAGACGAGATTATAGTATCTGCCAGCTACTTCGTTCACATTAGGTCCTGTGTCTGACGTTAGTCCTAGCAACACAAACACACAGTCTGGACACTGTAGAGGAAAAATCATCTTAATTTATAATGAGTTTGAGGTCACATTATGTAAGAATTACTTGGATATTTTAAAAGTAATTCATATTTTACAAATTTAGTGTAATAGCATGCAAATAAAAGAATAACAGGAGACTTAATTTTCTCCCCTTTTTTCTTTATTCATGTAGCATAACTTATAATGTACTTCAATTTTACTTTTTAAAAAACAAAACAAGACCTGCCAATATGGACAACACACTCCACTTTTCTCAGGTCGGAACAGTTCAATAAAATCAACATCGAAAACGAGTAGTTTTCTAAATTATTACGTTATGGGTCTTAAAAAGTGACCACCTAATGGGAAAAGATAGTGGTTAAAGAGTTATTTCTTGCTATCAACCCAAAAACCCTCAACAGTGATCTTCACAGTATGGTGTCCAAATTCAAAGTAAGGTCTCTACATTTACCTTGCTTTATACCATATTTGATCATATTATCTCATTCCTAACTCTTGTTATCATCAAAAAACCACAAAACTGCTGGACCAAAAAGCTCAATCCTGTATACCTCCTATAAACTTAGTTGTGGACGGTATAACAAAAATATTTGAATCATAATAGCTTTTTAAGTAACTTTTATACAAATGTATTTGTAGCGGACAATTAATATTATAATAATTGTTACCTTTGTAAAGATTCTGATGATATTGTTACTGATTTCATCAGGATAGTCTGGGTCGGGGCCATCCTCGGCCAGTAGATATGGTATGATTACAATACTTCCTTTAGTCACAAACATGTCCACAAACCCCTGTAATATACTCATTATTTAATAACAAAATGGGTCAAAGACAGAAAAGGCCGGGTTGCATTTGTATACCAAATATCATGATGCTGTGATGCTACAAAAAAAATTTACCACTGACCATGAATGTCGAAAATTTAACTAAGTCGGTAAACAGGAAGTGGATAAGCAACAGACCTGAAATTAAATCGCACGGTATGGGACCATGTGCCAATGCTGTATGCCAAATATCAAGAGGCTGTGATAATTAGTTGTTGAGAAAACTGTTACGAAAAGTTTTTCCCTGCCCGCCCACCACCCACCAGACATTCACCATACTGTAACCCGGGTTTGCACCAGTGGCCAACCTGGCCAAAAATAAATACCAATCATAATTATGTAGCTGACAGTTTTAGTGAAGAATTACTGAAATGAGGATAACCATCTTATTTTAGTCAACCTATCACTGAGCTAATGTCATATATACTTTAATGATATCATAAATACTTATGTTTTTGATAATTCATAATACTGCACTTTTGTAATGCAGCTTTTTATTGGATAATCATAACATTTATATAGTTTTATACACACGGCTGCTGACAATTTATGCAGAAATCTCTTTTTTTCTCTAAATAAGCTAGTTTGCTGTAATATAGATTTGTTACAAATATTCCTGAAAGGTTATATAATCATATATATATACATTTTTTTACAAACAACCATTTATTTAGGGCCATACATTCCGTTAAAAACCTTTTTAACTAATGTTAAATGTATAAGAAAGTTTTAGTGAATAAGAAAAAACATTTCAGTTATAACTTACCGAGTCCACTGGAACCTCAAACATATTGACCACAGTGGATTTGCCAATACTGACATTACTTTTAATCTGTAACTTTTTGCTGGATTTTATATCTTTCTCGCCAGTAAAAAGTGCTAGAGGGCTCCATGGTACAGTGTCATCTGTTACTATGACAACCTTATAGCAACTCCATTCCTCTACCTGTCTATCCATCTTCTCAGCCACTAAATCAACAAAACAATAATCTCAATAAATTCATGTTAACATCTTTATGCTGAACCCCTTAGCTGCACTTTTTGAACCGACTTTTTTTATCACAAGAGCGATCAGTGATCACAAGTGTCGCCTCATGATGGCCAATTTCATGTTGGGACAAGTTTTGTGACAGACGGAGAAGTGATCTGAGTAGTGGCGACATAAATTCCTGTAAAGTTAGGATGAAATTGCCCCAGTAGTTTATGAGGAGTAGTGGGGACAAGTTTTTTGACAGACGGACAGACAGACAGACAAACAGTGCACAACTAGACTTGGTACTAATCATTCCTGTAAAGTTTGGATGAAATTGCACAAGTAGTTTATGAGGAGTAGTCTGGACAAGCTTTTGTGTATCTGGCAAGACACAGAAAAAAACACCTTTTATCAAAGGGCAATAACTCAACCAAAAATCATTCAACCGGAAAACCCGTGCAATATGCACAAGGACTTGAGCTACAGATCAATCCTGTAAAGTTTCATTGAAATTGCATTAGTGGTATAAGAGAAGTAGTCCGGGCAAACTTTAAAAATAAAATTATTAAAGGGCCATAACACTTATAAAAATCATTGAACCAGAAAATGCTGACAATATGCACAACTAGACTTGGTACTAATCATTCCTGTAAAGTTTGGATGAAATTGCACAAGTAGTTTATGAGGAGTAGTCTGGACAAGCTTTTGTGTATCTCGCAACACACAGAAAAAAACACCTTTTCATCAAAGGGCCATAACTTGGCCAAAAATCATTCAACCGGAAAACCTGTGCAATATGCGCAAGGACTTGAGCTACAGATCAATCCTGTAAAGTTTCATTGAAATTGCATTAGTGGTATAAGAGAAGTAGTCCGGACAAACTTTAAAAATAAAAATTATTAAAGGGCCATAACTCTTACAAAAATCATTAAACCGGAAAATGCCGACAATATGCACAACTAGACTTGGTACTGATCATTCCTGTAAAGTTTGGATGAAATTGCACCAGTAGTTTATGAGGAGTAGTCCGGACAAGTTTTGTGACGGACGGACGGACAGACAGACGGACAGACAGACGGACAGACAGACGGACAGACAGACGACGGAGAAGTGATCCCTATACATGTATGTCGCCACTACTCCGTAGAGGCGACACAAAAATGACTGTAAAATACAAATGAATAAGTCAGGAGGTGGGGACTGCGACAGGGTATGAGTGTAAACAAAATCTGTCTGTAAGACAGTTTGCTTGATAATTGTCAGCGCTTGACAGTAAGCAAAGGGGCATAACTCTGTAGTAATGTAACTCTGACTTTCTGCTGACTGATCATCATCTTCACTGGTTTATGCTCTTCAGTCAGAACATATTTTTGAAATTTTCCTTAAAAATAATGAATGGTCCTAACTATTAGTTAAAGATTGACAGGCCAATTTAAGTTATTTAGCATGGTAGAGGTTTTAATGAACTCATTCATGTTTCAACTTACTTGTCTTACTTTTAGCCTGGTATAACGTCTCTGTTGGGGAGACCAATGGGCAGCCATTAATCTTAATACTGCCCTGGTACCCATGTGGTATCAATCCAACACTGGTTCCCGATAAATTCACCTGAACCAAGGTTTTCTGCCACTTTGAGATAATATTCAGTAATGATTCTTCTGTCAATTTTTTCAATCCACAAAGTTCAACCTATATCACCAATTATAAACAAACATCTGTTACAATAAATATACATATAAAGTTCCAGTTAAACCTGCATTCAATCCCTAAAAAAACAGTAAGCTTCTTGAAATGAATATTTCTGTATGTTGCTTGGTACTGGAAATTCTAATTTAAAATAACGAAATTAAATTCTGAAGACCTTCCTTAAATGAAACACTGGTAAACAAGGGGTTGAGGTAATTAAGCACTCATCAGAGGACAGAATGATATCAGTTTAAAATGCTGCAAGTAAATGTGAACTGTAAACTTTCAGAGTTTTGAACCACTGAACTTCTTTGACAGAGATAATTCCTGTGAAGTTTAGTTGAGATACAGTCATTGATTTATTAGCAATGTTGTTCAAAAATACTGATAACTAAAAATGATGCACCTTGAAAAAGAGTTCCATCACACCAATTCACTCTTAGACAGGACTGATTTTGAGAATTTGGCTCCCTATAAGATGCTAGAGGCATTTTGTAGTACAAAGTGGTATCTTGGTGTATTTTACCTATTTAAGGTATGCTGAATCCGATAAGGGTGGATACCAAATTGAAAAACTTGATATTGACCATTGAAATGGCCATTTAAAATGACCACTAAAATGGCCGCCAAATTTCTTTATTATAAATGGATCAAAGAAAGGAAAAGCCTGAAATTTGTCACAAAGCATGTTTAGGTAAAAACAAATTAGACACCAAAACAGAATTAAAAGCACAAAAATATCCAATATGGCCGAAAAAACCAAGATGGCAGACATTTTTCTATAGGCTAATATAATAGTAATATAGAAATTACATTAAAGATAGTACTGAAAATTTTAAGGCATTTAAACATATTTAGGGTTTACGCAGCGAACACTACACTCTTTCCTGCCCTATATGCTAGATTTTATCTGGCACTCTATGCAAGCATATAGAGTGGCTACTCGGATGCCTTCAGCGTTAAGATGTGTGAGGGGGTTAAAACGTGTGCATGCAAAATATACATTAATTAAGGCATTTTTCTCTGAGTACTCTTGGGTTTTGGTGTTCGTTTTTCTGTTATCGGTCGTCGTCTTCGTTCTTCTGTTATCGGTTCTCGTCGCATTTCTCTGCTGTCAGATATTCTGTTATTGGTCGTGACTTTCGTTCTTCTGTAATCGGTCCTGGTCTCAGTTCTTTTGTTGTTAGATGTTCTGTTATCGATTCTCGTCTCTGTTTTTCTGCTATCGGTCGTCGTCTTCGTTCTTCTGTTAACGATTCTCGTCTTCATTCTTCTTCTTTCTTATGTTATCCGTTCTTGTCTCTATTCTTCTGTAATCAGAGTGCTGGTCTCCGTTTTCTTGTTGTCAATTTTTCTGTCATATGATCCCGTTTCTGTTATTGATCTCTGTCTCCATTCTTCTATCATCAGTCCCCGTATATGTTATTCTGTTATCGTTCCTGGTCTCTATTTTTCTGTTATCAATCCTCGTCTACGTTGTCCTGTTGTCAGTTCTTCTGTTATCGGTCCCTGTCCTGTTCTGTTATCGGTTCTCGTCTTCGTTCTTTTGTCATCGGTTCTTGTCTCTTTTCTTCTGTAATCAGTCCTGGTCTCCGTTTTCTTGTTGTCAATTCTTAGTAATCGGTTCCCGTCTCTGTTATCGATCACCGTCTCCATTCTTCTGTCATCAGTCATCGTCTATGTTCTTCTGTTATCGGTTCCTGTTTCTGTTTTTCTGTTATCGGTCGACGTCTCTGTTTGCTTGTTGTCAGTTCTTCTGTTATCGGTCCCTGTCCTGTTCTTCTGTTAGCGGTCCTCCTCTATGTTGGCTTCTTGTCAGTTCTTCTATTATCGGTCCCTGTCTCTGTTCGCTTGTTGCTAGTTTTTCTGTTATCAGTGGATGTCTATGTTCGCTTGTTGCCAGTTCTTCTGTTATCGGTCCCTGTCTCTGTTCTTATGTTGTCGGTCTTCGTCTTTGTTTGCTTGTTGTCAGTTCTTGTCTCCGTTTTTCCTTCTGTTATCGGTCGTCGTCTTCAGTCTTGTACTTTCGGTACTTGTTTCCTGTTCCGTTAAGGTCTTCTCTTGTTTCTATCGTTGCCGTCATTCTGTGTCTATGTCCTGGTTATGTCAATCTCGTAGTCATTTATTCGTTCAGTGGAGTAGCGGGGGATCGAACTCACGACCCCTTGATTTGTAGGCAGACAGTGTTACCACTGCACCATAGCGCCCGCTCTGAATAATAACCATTTTTGAAAATCCTTTATACATTAAATACTATTTCAATGGCTAACAAAGGGTGTATTACAATTATATTTTAACACCTCTACTATGTAGCCTACCCACGTGACTTTTATATGGTCAAAGAAAATATTACTCGATTTACAACAAATAATATTTTTATAGATAACTTTGCTGTTACTTTAAGATATTCTATTTTTTTTTTTTTTTTTTTTTTTTGGGTGGGGGTGGGTGGGTAGGAGGGGGTGCAGTATATATTTTAAAACACTTTTTGTCTCGGTTTGTGTTGTGTTTATGGCATTGAAATGACATTTTTTGACATTTCAAAATAATTTTTAAATATTCATTTTAAAACATAAATACCATAATAAGTGCAAAATATATGAAAACACAATGAACAACTTAAAAAAATATCATAGCTACATAATATTATTATATTATAATGTTGAAAATTACGGAAAACCTGAATTGTGATATTTTCCACACTTTTTTTTTTCTCCCGGAATTGAATTAGTTTTTACGAGATAATAATATTATTTCGTTTTAACGAAATATAAAACCTTAATTATGAAATATTGATTCGTTATTAAAAACACTCAAGATATTACTTGTATTATAGCATAAAATCGGCTATTTTCCCCTCTTTTGCCCATGTTATAACGGGGCCAAAACCATGCGTTAACATAGTCACGCGCTCTTGTTATAGCCTGGTTTTACCTATGCGCAAAACATACAGGGCCAAGTAAACAAACAAAAAAAATGACGATTTGGCCTGTTTGCCAAAGTGTTTTATTATATGATCTAAATATAGCTGCAATCTCATTGGTCCAATCAGTAGTCAACAGAACTTTTTATAAAATCATATTTACTGGGTGTAGTATCATATTCACTGGCTGAATTGGATTTTCCCAGTCTAAAAATAGATTGAGACTCATATTCAATGATCATACACCGTAGACTGTTAATTACGCATGTTATTTAAAAAATAATTGTTGCTTTTTTTTCTTTATGGCATATTTCTCGATTAAAATATCAATACTTTACTATCATACTTAAGGGTTACACCCCAATAATGAGTATAAACTTGAATTATTTTTTGTATGCGCAGCGTTCGCATAGTCGTTGCACGCCTAACACGTGCGTCTTTCTTCCCGCGCTTCAACGAGGCAAAATTTGTACATGTATAATTATAAGGTTGCACTTTTGTAATTTTTTTTTAATTTCTTAGCCTATTCATATTATAAAACAATTATTGACTAGTGAACCATTGAATATGATGTAATATTCACCGGCAGAAAGTCATATTGACCTCGGCTATCGCCTCGGTCAATATGTCATCTGCCGGTGAATATCACATCATATTCAATGGCTCACAAGTCAATAATTGGATAATATTAAAATTATTGATTTCGAGGGCCTCAATCGCATAACGGCGAGCAGCATTCAAGTAACTATGCCGGAAAAACGGCATAAAGACATCGCCGCTTATCTTGGTTGTCGCCCTTCCTTAGAAACGGACAATTGTCAATGTAAACAAATAAATTATGTCATTCAGTTTAACCCTAATTAACTTACAAAACAAGATAACACAAAATGCATATAAGAAAATGTTGTTGTATTGATGTTAATATTGATAAATGATCTTTATATTTCTTTGAGAGAATAATGTTTAGTGCCTGATATTCTTTTATAAACTTGTGTGCTTGAAAAAAACAAAACGATTCTGATGTCACTGATCTTTTTTCTACCGTCAATCTGAAATCATTCTAAGAATTTCTGAGGGTCATGTTTTGCCTTGTGCAGAGTAATTTAATGTTGTTTCTGTCTTGAGTTAATAAATTTCCAATGATAAGCTTTGTTAAATCAATTTAAATTCGATTTTTCGAACGGTTCTGAGCATTTGTATTTCCCAAGTAGTTGGCCCCGGAAAAATAAAACGCATACGTAAAACATGTAGAATTGGATAAATACCGTGCAAGCACACTGATTTAATGTATGTGTTTTGTATTTAATAAACATTATGAATCTTTTTTTAAAATGTTATGCTATAATAGCGTCAACGCACGTTTATTTTGTGTTATAAAGTTTGCAGAGTCCCTCGGAACTGTTGGAGCCCTCGCCCTACCGGGTTCGGTTTTTTGCACCAACCGTTCCTCAGGACTCTGCAGACGTTATAACACGAAAAAACGTGCGTTAACCCTATACTATAAAATGCCTCTAGCATTCATATTTTCTTAAAATCAGTCCTGTCTATCTCAGCATGTTGTGCTTAGTTGAGCTAAAAATAATCTGGGATCTTAGTAATAAATGAAATAAATTTAAATTACTAAATCAATGGTATAAAAGTTGTTTTCTCACATATTCTGCCTGAGGAAATGCCTCAACCATCCATCTTATACCAGCATTTGTCAATAGGTAGCAACCTGATGAATGCAAACATAAAAGATAATATAACAAAATTGCGAGCAAAAACTATAACAGAGTATATATAACCAAGATAAATAGGAAACCTCACTGATTCTTTATATAGTCAAACATAAAATCTTTTTATTCACTGTTTACTCAATATCTTTGTAGAAATAAAATAACAGCTTTATCATTTATAGGACTAAAGGGTCTAGTGACGTAATGTTATTAGCGGTTCATTGATTTTAAAACAAAATGACTGTAAAAAAAAGTTTAAAAGAAAAAAACATAATCATGTTTTCAAAAAATTGTATATTAAATTAACAGAAAAAAAAGTTGCAAGCTGCGTTAAGCTCATGCATTTTAAAACTTTTTATGCAAGAAAACATTGCTAGTGCCATTTTTTTATTTTTCTTTATTATTATTTTTTTTTTTGTGTATTAATTTCTTGATACAATTATGACGTCACTATATGTGTACTGTATTTGCAATCCTTTATTATGTTTACTTTTTTCTGACTTCTCTTAATGTTTTAAAGAAATTATCAAAGAAACCTTAGCATTTATCAATTGCATGTTTCCGAGAGTTATATATTAATATGAAAATTACCACTTAGAGAAATGCGTTGAAGTTTTGGCATATTTATCTTTTTCTGTAAAACCATATACCAGAACATATCGGTTAGTTGATCGGCACCACTGAAGTTCAACACTGTAACTGCTGCAGCTTGTTCACTTTCAGTTCGCATATAATCCTGTAAAATAGAATATTAATTTACACACATATAATAATTATATCGCTTTAATACTAATATAGGAAAGTATTTCTCGGTTTTAAAAATTGCTTGGTCTCTTGTATGAAATTACATATGTATAAACAATGTACATTTGTATATATATTAATGTATACAATGTGAATTTGTACATGATTAATATATTTTACAAGTTATCCAGATCTAGTTATACAGATCTAGAATGATCAGAGAGAAGACTCAGGGCCTGAAAATGGCCACTTTAACCAGGTTGCAATTATTATCTTATACAATGGTAAGAAAGTGCAACTTCCCAGCATTTCTAGTGGAGAAAGAGTCATTAATATATTTATACAAGTTATACAAATCCAGAATGATCAGAGAGAAGACTGGGCCTGAAAATGGCCACTTTAACCAGGTGATCTCTATAATCAGGTTGCAATTATTCTCTTATACAATGGTAAGAAAGTGCAACTTCCCAGCATTTCTAGTGGAGGAAGAGTCCTCAGGTACATGATTGTACCTGATAAAAACCATCAATTTAATACTATAAGCTAGCTAAAATACCTCTGACACAAAAGCTTGCAAACCCATAGTGGTAATATACGAAGTTTATACAAACTGCTGGGACTTTTCAATAACTTTTGCATGACACAAGTAATAATTTTCCATAATATCAATAGAATTGGTGTGTTGTTTTCTTGCTCAAGTGATAATGATTTACAAGACAAGGCTCATGCCTTTATTGCTTTGCTCTGAAGCTTAATACTGGAAACATGTTTGCACAATACAAAATATGCATAAATCTACTGTAAGTTTTACCATTATGATATCTGATTAATCAATAAGCATATGGCACATTAGGACAGGGCTATGCATTTTTTTTTATTTCAGCGGCTCAAGCTAAAGTCCCTGTACTATTCATGATGTGCCCCAGTTAGAGTTATATTGACAAACCTTTATTGCTCATCCTTTACACTTCAGAGGTTACACAACAAAATAGAAAAAGTGATGATAACAATTTTTTTTTGAAACAATGAAATAGTAGATAAAAAACAATGGGTTTCGTCAAAAACATATTTAAGTGTTATAGAACTGTTTATAGCTATGAAAATCATGTTCTTTTTATTTTGATCTTTTGACGCTTTTCAAGGACACTTTTTAACTTTTCATGCTATTGTTTTCATTGTTTTTCCAATGATAAAATTCTCTTAATCACAATTCCATGATTTGTTAGATACAACACTTTCTGTGATTTTTTCCAGGTCTTTATGAATAAGTAAAAGATGCTCTGAATCAGTGACTTTAACTTAACTCAGTTATGGAGTCAGTTTTCTGAAAGGATAATAAAGAAACTTACGAGTGTTGATATAAGAGGTAGAGAACGACGTGAGCTGCCAGCTCCTTCTAGAAGACCCTCTCGGGTTAGTTCAGCTTCAAATAAAAAATAAATTCAATCGTAACTTTCTATAACACATTCACAGACTGATCATGATATTATAACATAAAAAAAATGCTGAATTAAAAAAGAAACAAGCTGTTTTGATTTCTCAAAGGGTATGTTAAAGATACTGCATTTCGCATTGAATCTACAATGTAAATCTATACCGAAAAAGTGACACTCAAACTTCATTTAAGTCATTCATCTATTAAAATCCCTGTCTGAAAGAGCAACACGTGGTCCTTTGAGCAGGGTGTTTACAGTATTTATTCTTCATAAGAACACAGTCTTTAATTGGCAAAATTAAAATGTAAATATTAATAAGGAACAAATACAGTTGACAGAAGTGTATTATGTCAGAAAGTTTGAATTTCAAGCACTTTTCATGCTGCTTTACTACAAATAATTCAAAAGACATTACAAAAACCTACCTTCTTCAGTGCCGTAATTTTTCAGACTTTCTTTTTGTCTCAGTAGAACTGACGGTGATAGAATGCCCTTGCCAAAATAAGTGCACATAACGCAGGTTAAACATATAAATTGCGAACATCAAAGTGTTTGTTAAACGTTCATTTAACATGTTTGGTATTGGCACTGCGTTTTTTATATTTACTTTTTGCAAATAAAAAACACACTTTAACAACCTTTTTTAAAAGATATTACTGCCCAGTAAGTGCGCAAAATGTACTTTAAAAGTTTATTTTTTCATAATAAAAATAAACTTATTGAAAATGCACTTAAGTGTGCTAAAAGTTTGTGGTATTGGCACTGCGTTTTTTCTGCATTTAAAGTGAATTTTTCAACAAGTATGTTTTTAATACACTTAAGTGTATTTTTTAAGTACATTTCTTTTGTTCGTTTTATGTGTATTTCTAAGTATGTTTTAATTGTGCTAAAAGTACATTTTTTGTTCGCTTTAAGTGTATTTTTTCAACAAGTATGTTTAACTGTGCTAAAAATGGACTTTTTAAAGTTCATTTTTTATGCACTAAAAATGTGTTTTTATATTGAAAAAAAAATGCACTAAATGTGTATTTATCAATAAAAAAGTTCATTTTTCCTGCACTAAATCTGTATTTTTTCTGCGCTTAATGCACATTTTTTATTATCAAAAAGTGTATATTATCTTTGTTAAATGTTCGCTTTTAACAGTAAATGTATGTTTTGTTTTTTTTTAAAACAAAAATCTGTAATTTTTTGCTTTGGCATATTATTTAATATAGAAGGTAAATTTTACATACCATGCTTTCCACAAACCTTGAAGATGAAAATATGCATTTTCAATCACACCAAAAGTAAGCACTGTTTACATAAATTACTTTCAAGCTGTAAGGTGACAAGACAAGTTATTAAGGACAAAAACTATTTCATGAATTTTTACTAAACAAATTTATTAATTTTAACTGAACAAGATTTTTTTTAAACAAAATAACAGAACAATATAAATTAAATAAAATCTACTCTACATTTGCATTCAGTTATATAGCACATATTTACAGCACTTTCTTGGTTTTCAGTTTATTCCGCACTTAAATTAAATAATGAAATCTTGAATATTTGCATTTAGTCATATATCACATATTTACACTTTTAACAGCACTTATTTTGTCATTTTGTTTATTCGGCATTTCCTGAATACATGGCACAAAGTCTTCTTAATGCACTTCGCATTTTATTTTCCACTTCCTGCACTGGAACCTCCAGTTTCCTTGAGAGGACATCTAAACAAAGAAGAAAAGTGGCAATAAAAAACAAGTATAATAAATGGCTGAACATCATCCTATTTTATACATGTATAAATAAATAAATATCAGGGCTCATTGCAAGGGAGTCCGCACAAATTTTCTGCATTGTATCCCCATTTCGTCTTTTGAAAGATCAAAGAAAAAATCAACTTTACGGAAAAAAATGTATTAATCACCAGCGATTATTGCGCAGTGATTCTGCTTGGAGAGTAATAAACACCCATTTTCTGTTTTTTAATTTGGAAAATTACTAGAATTCATGATGACAGACATTGATAAAATAATTTGTAAGACAACATGGTTATTTCGTTTATGAATTTGTTTAAACGTGTAACCGTGTGCGGGGGTGGGGGGGGGGGGGGTCATAAATCAACAGTGCTCATCTAGAGGCTAGATGAATGTGACTCCCAGAATTGTAGAGTTAGCCAATGACAACAAAAAAGCATTCCATGCATATTTATGTACAGTTTATCAATAGCTTTATTTAAATAAAGTTTCAGTTCTGGGAGAGCATTTGATTTGTATTCGTGACACCACAGGTTAGATCATTAGAATAATTTCCTTAATTATTGATCTCATTTACTGAGAATTATGGCAATTTGTTTCTAACTGTTTTAATCAGAAATCATCGAGGATCAGTAGCCCAATTTTTCTAGAGAAATGGGTGATTACTGTTTAAATATCAACTTGGTGGACAGCCAGTTAGAGAAGGAACACTGAGGCATGATCAAAAAAGTAAACAGAATATTAATCAAACTATGGAAACATTTTTAAAACTCATGAACTTTTTTTTACCAATGATTGCATTTCTCCTGTCTTCAGGAAGCCCTGGTCTTGGATTTGGGACCTTGCTCGTTGCCTGACCCTTCATTGAGCAACCAACTAGCTCTGCAGTTGAAAACATTCCCCTCATGGCCTTTGTTATAGCTTTTACAAGCCGTTTCTCCTCACCAACAATCATCATCACTTGTTGCTGGAAATACAGGGTAGGACTATATTTACATCAAATATCAAAAACAATTTGACGAAGTCAAATTTTAATATATCGCTCTTGTTTAACCTTTTAGGAAACTTGACTTTGAACAGCAGCAATATGTCGAATGACATTAAAATACTTAGGCAGATCTTTTCACAGGGTTACCAATAAACTATCTGACCAAAGGGCATGCTTATTTTACCTAATTCTTTGACGAACATTCCCAAATTTTAACAAAAATATCAGATGACTTTTGAAAACAATAGTCGCTTATATGCACACTTATTTACACTAATATTTATTTTTAATACAGAATGAAGACAAAATCAATGCTTAAAAAAGAATTGAAATAAATTTTAAAAAACAACAAGTTTTATTCCGATTAATGAAAAAAGTCTAAATTTATCATGAACTGATTTTTTCCAAACTGGTTGATGCATTTTTCTCAAAATTGTCAGTGAACAACCTGCCTATTATTTTTTTTCAAAACATGTATTTCAAATTTTTACTCTTATCTTAAAACCATCTACATATTTGTATATCAATCTTACATGTAAGGAAGATGTTGGTATATTGTCCGGAGTAATTGGTCTCTGTGCTGGTCTCTGTGCTGGTCTCTGTGCTACTTCTTGCACCTGCTTTGGTACATTGAGGTTAACAGTATGTGACTGGTTAAGTTTCAGCATCATGTCATCTAACTGAAAAATACAAATGCCATAAAAATCATTTACTTAACCTGTAGTATAACATATAAATATTAAATGTCTGAATTTCCACAGAAGTGAAACAATGCCTCCATAGCACTTTGAATGTCAGTGTTTAAAATTTTACAGCAAGCTATTATAGTCAACAATGCCATTTCATTGTGAATATGTTTACAAAATAAGCACAGCAAAATTCTCTTAAGTGACAGGTTAATTAGCCTTTAATTGCCTAATGTTTATAACTGAAAGAGCGAGAACAAGGAGACAACTAACTTCTTGAAACCATCCTTATTCTAGACTTTATAGAATTTTAAAATATACTAGACTTTATAGATTTTAACATTGTACTTCAACTCAGTTGAACTGCAGCCAGAATTACTATATTGTAGTAAGGATGTCTTTGACTGTGTATGTTATGTCTTGCTGAATGAATGCAGCTTATTAGAAAGTTGTATTGAGCTCATTTAACTTAGATTTCTTTACCTTTGAACGGAAAGACTGTATGTCCCTTTCTAACTGTTGAATTTTCCTGCAGCAGTGGTGACATGAATTGTTTGATGGAGAGTCTCCGTCATACAGTGGCTCCATTAAATCAGACAGGTAACTCTGGGGCATCTATAAACAAAAAAAATTCAAACATGTCTCAATTCAAAAAATTCAATGTATTGTAAAAGTGGAAGAATACTAGTTTCTTTACCAATAACTGTGTACAAATCAGAGAACAGATAAGCCTATGATATTCGTATTAAAAATTTAGGTTGTTTTCTTAACACTTACAACAAGTTTTCAATTAATTCCTAAAAAAAAGCAAGAATGAAGAAATTGAATATTTTGCACTGATATTAATACTATGAAAAGCAGTTTTCATACATGAATTAGGAAATGGATATCAGTTGTAGAATGTGCAGGCAATATAGGGCCGGCAAAGTCTGACTTTGTCACACTTGAAGCATTTCTTTGCTTGATCACTCAACATTTATATGAATTATGAATTGTCAACTTGTACTTATTCATGCAGGCTTTGTGACAACCTGGCAATATATTATTAAGACAATTGCTTTTGCCAACTCTGTTAATATGTAGAAAGCTTGTTTGCTAGATAACATTGTCCTTTACCATATGTTATACAACTGCAATACTGTTTAAAATAGCACTTACTTGCTGCTGTGTGTTAAGGTTGAAGTAAGTTGGTTGAGTTTCTATGCTTGGTTCACTAGCAGTGGCACAAGTAACTGGTACAATCTGAACAGGGGGTTGTGGTTGAAATCCAAAGTATTGGGATGACTGAGAAACCATAGCTGGGGGTGCATGTAGTATTAGCAGTAGATGTATTCGACAAGGAAATGAAGATGGTGTAGACTGAGGTAGACTGATGGCTAGTGGAAACAATGCCTGTGGTTTATGAGCGGCAAACTAGGGACAGCTGAGGGGTTGAGCACAGGTTGGCATGCTGGTCGTCTTTTTTTCAATACTTCCATGGCACGTTGATCTGCAAAAAGTGTGGTTGCAATTTAAAAATATAGAACAGTAATGTTTACACTAAGCATGCTGTTTGAAATTCAAATTTGTCATAATCAAGCAAATTAATTGGAATTACTATTACAACCACATCATGAAATTCTGTATCATGTTTTGCAATCCAGTATTTTTAAGTCAAAACTTTTAGGTTAACCATATATATTTCAACATATTACATATATTACATTTTATATGAATATAATTGTTACATAAGATTGAAAGGGATTAGAAAGAAAGAAAGTTCCTCTCCCTTAAATCAAAAGCTTCTTTATACAATGTGATTATCATAGGCAAAGGTTGCTCATCATTTTTACAAAATGTATCAACATGGACTTTATGGTACCTCAATTTCACAACTAACCTGTTACAGACAACTCACTACTATCTAACTTTCTTTTGCCGTCATATGATGTGGAGCTAGGTTGGTCATCATTTGTTGACATAATCTCTGCTTGTTGATTTTGTCGCTTATTCGAATCTGAAAAGTAATGAAATGTAAGCAGGGTCCAGTATACTAAGGGCTACAGAAACGATTTCTGATTTAAACACAAGCTTTGTTTTCACGGCACAGAAATGTTGTTCAATTGTAAAATTCCCTAATTTCTGCTCTATAAGGCCTACAGCATTTCAAATACCTTACTAAGTAAAATTTAAGCAATAATATTTCACTCATGTTTTTTTCTGATGAATAAACCCGATAATGTTTTTACATAGGCTTACAGGATAACTTTGAAAAATCACTTTTGCTAATAATGATATTTTTCCATTTTCTTTGTTTCCTCAAGCATGATTACAATTTCCTTTTGTTTTTATGAAACTATAAGGCAGTCTAGAATTGACGAGAAGTTTTGTGAAAATTGTCTTTAAACTAACCTGATACTTTACTGCTGTCAGTCTTTTTTTGCTTGTTGCTTGTTGCTTTAACAGGTTCAACATCCTCTGATTCATTGATTGCTTCTGTTCTTGACTCTTGCTGTTGAGCGAGAAATCCTAAAGACACATTTAAAACATTGAAGACAACAGCATTTTAAGTAGAAAAATAAAATTAAATCAATATTAGGTAACAAACTTTTTGTTTAAAGTTGTTTCTTTGAGGAAGTTAACATTGGTGGTTCTTTGAGGACAGTTAACATTTGTGATTCTTTGCCTGTTTGTGTCTGAAATAATGCATGGAAGGACGACGGAGGTCTCCCTCTCAGTAAAGCTGGAATGTTGCCATATGACCTACAGACAGCGTGATGTAAAACACATAAACAGGAAAAATATGTTAACTTATTCAGTTATTCCATTGAATTCAATTTCTTTATTAAAATCATTTTTTCTTTTCACAGTTATATTAATTATTCACCTTAATAAAAAACTGTATTAACTATTATTGTCAAAATTTTAGAGACCTATCCCCTGCATTTGATAGGTATGGTGCAATATACAGTCTTTCACAAGTTTTATGTACTTTTTATCTGGGGATTCCATATTTATTTCAAGACAATCTACTTTCTTAAAACTTACTAGCCAGGGTATTCTCAAATCCAGGATCTTCAAGCTTTTTCTTCAGGGCCTGCCTGTCAGTATCTGTAAACAGATTTACAATTTATTTATATTTCTTTCCACAAATATTCACGTTGTAAAGGCTTAAATATTTGATTGGCCAACCTTCTGAGATTTTGATTACATACTGAAGTATATTTTAAATAAATAAAGGCTCTGTGAAGGCATGTAGACACATGGACATGGTGTTGATTTTAGTACGGGACTGGCCGGTCAAAAATTGAGTTTCTAGTAGATAAACAATGGCTTGAACCACACAAAATCAAAATAAATTATCAGACATTAACACAATTATTAATTTGTAGTAAATATTCATATTACAGCGCATTTTATATAATCTGATTTGACCTAAAATAAAAGACTCGCGAATACCTATCTCAAAGATGACTGCAGCGTAGATTTTCCCAGCAAATCTGGCTGAAACATGGTCTCCAACCTTGTAATCTTCTACCTCTTTGCGTGGTTTCAATACGGATCTCAGAGAAATGATGGACCATTTCTTATCTTCCCAAATAATTGTAGCAAACATGTTTTCTTGAAAAATTTTGTGTTGTGTTTATGCCCCGAGTTCAAAGTTGAAAAGTCAAAGTGCGCGCATTTTCAAGTGACCAATGAAAACGTCCAAAAACTCTCGGTAATTTCCGACAACCTGCCGGATGTGGTCGAAAAGGTACGATTAGATTTTTTTTTTATTATTATTTTAATTATTTTTACAATACCCTTTCAAATTAAATTTCTTTAAAAATGATATTGTTTTCTTATTAAATCAAATAAAAGTTCGCATTAATTTCGCCTCACGCGAAATACTTTTAAGTCACGTGATAGGTCACGTGATATGCGAAGGTCGTCGCCATTTTCCTAAAGAAATCAAAACGGCGGATGTGACAAATTGTAGATAAAATATCACTAAAGTTACAATTTATTAGCAAAAATTATATGCAAAGAAACATTGAATTTGATTTGCGGGATCTGTGAACATCGACTCAAGCTATATACCGTAAGATTTAATCTCCTGAAAACCAGTTTCCGTTCTCAATGCGTTTCGTACTTGTTTCGGGAAAAGAGTCAACTCGGCCCTATACCAACTCGGCACGGGTCAACTCGGCCCACTTTACAAAAATATATAGGCCTATAACGTATTTACTTTGCTTTGCATGTTGTTAAGGTAAATGAAAAATAAGAAATATCTTATTATATGATTATACATTGTACCTCTGCTGAAATAAAGTATATTTAGAAAAAAAAGTTATTTATTTGTCTTGCTGATTCGATAAAATTAATATAGACACAAGCACGATTATCGAACCTGGGAAGAAAAAATATGAACAGATTGATAAAATAACTTCATATTTTTCTTCCCAGGTCCGATCCTTGTGCCGGTGAATATAGATATAATAAAAGTGTGTTTCCGTAGATGTTTTTTGTGAGTAAAGTAATTTTCAAAAAGTTATGAAACAAAAACGTGTTTACTTAATAGCATAAGCTTTTAATTAATTGCAGGTGGTCACTAATTAAATTTGAATGAATGAGTCAATCATAATTATCACCTAATTAATCGGTATCTTTAACATACAAATTGATTGATAATAATAGCCCGTGACAATAGGAGTCCTTTGATGTCCTTTACCCATTTTTAAAAGTGGGCCGAGTTGACCCGTGCCGAGTTGGAATAGGGCCGAGCTGACTCGGGGGCCGAGTATGTTTTAGGGCCGAGCTGACCCGGATTCCTTGTTTCGCACTTGCCTTGATTTACGGCGAAAACAAATATATTTTAAATAGCTTTTCGGAATCTGCTCTTGTCGTAACACACATGCTAATTATATACAAGTAGTTATTCAATTTGAATCCTTTTTGTATCAATACCCTTATGGTGATATAAAATAGAAAGAAAATGTATTTTATGAGTTCTTAGATTATGCATGTTACATGTATGCGCATTGTTGGTCCAAAAAATATATACTAGCTTATGTTTTGTGAAATGATTTATATATACTGGATATATATACCGACAATAAATTATATTTTATTTAATTTGTATGAGAGCAATGGTTTTCACCATGCATAGGAGAGGCCAATAAAAGGCCTCTTGAGGTTCTTCCAAGTAGAAATATTAATAAATTCTTGCAGTTTTCTCCAAAAAAATCAGAGAATACACAAGTTTTAATACTTCCCAAATAAGCAATTGTAGTGAAGACCTCTTTCCAATTGAGAAAAATCATGTCCTGTGCTAAGCTGAGTTCTGATTCGAGTCTCTTAAGCCACTTATTGTGATGGTGATGTTAATTCTTTTTCTATTAAGAGAAGTTATTTTGTTCACTTACATGTGTGCTGATTTTTAGAATTGTGAAAGAAAATGAACATAATATTAACTGTATGTATATTTTACTTCAGGATGAGCCAAACATTATGGAAAGCCCTATGGAAAAGATTGTTGTTTGATGATGATTTAGGTTCTTGGTTGTAAAATGGCCAGCATCCAATTGCCATTTTCAGGTAAGATATTGTTAAACTTAAACATAATGCAGTCAATGAATTTAAGGTTTTGAATTTACTAGCCCGAATTCCCGTTTTAAATTTTGTCCACTATATATTTAACTAAATTTTACTAAAATTTTCAGTGGCCCGAACTATTTTTCACTGGCCATGGGAGCTACTGGACCAGTGCTAAATTCGATGACTGGTTATGAAACTACTTTGTTTTTATGAATTTTTTGTTTGTATATTACATGATTTTAAAATGTGCTTACAAACACTTCAATCATTAGGGGATCACTAATTTATCCAAAAAAAAAAAATGTTTATTACAATAGAGCAAATAGAATGTACTGAAGTACATCATAACTGACTACAGTATGAGAATTCAATGTGAAAACTGTTAAAAGATAAGTGATTTATTTGTCAATGAGCTCATTTAAGTTGTTTGACAACATTTGATTATTTGTTAACAATAAATAATAAACTGATAGCCTGAAAGAGGAATATTTATCAGTTTGAAACAAAAATGTCTTGCTGCAGGCTGCTTTACATAATTGTTGTTGTTTTTTTCAGACACAGAGTGGACTTGTCATGTGTGTGGATTACAACTGTCTAGAAAGCAACGTCTTTTATCTCATTACGAGGCAATTCACCCAGAAGAGCCTTTGCCAGGTGAATATTTTAAATTCATTAAATTTTGTTTATAGATAAGGTATTAGATCCTAAGATAACTCATATTGCTTGGATGAATGCAGTGATTTTCAACATTTTTTTTGCATTCCAGGTCAAATCAATTTCACTAACCATTAAACTTAAAGTACATTTTATCAGTAATTTGGTTTATTTCAAACTGTTGAATGAATAAAATGGAAGACCTGTAATGTTAAATGATGAGTGTTGGAATATTTGATATGCAAATAATTACTGATAGAAATATTGTTTAGTCAGTTTGATTTCTGGTTTCCTTTTTTGAAAACTTGATGCACCTCTTAAATAGGCCATTTATTTTAATTCAAATTGAAAAGTAATGAGATCTAATGGAAAGTTGGTAGTTTGACTTTAATATTCTTTGTTATCACTGCTAATAAATGCTGCTTTAAGTTTGAACAATAATACAAGAAAATAAAAAGGAAAAAAATGATGATCTTGCATCAATTTAATATGATTCCTTTTCTTTTTCATGGTTTCTTGTACCATTGTTTCTTGTACCATCATCAAAGGCTACGGTCAAAAACAAATTAAAGGGGTTTATATGGGCCAAAAATAAATACATTACAGTTAGATATTAAATATTGTCACTTCTGAAAAGCTGCATGTATATCAAGAATGGACATGGCATCCTTTGATAGATTATATGTTTATTTTTTAGAAATTGAGTTTCTTTGATACTAAAAAAAAGTCTGGGGAAGGTAAAGTATTAGAAGACAAACTGTATATTAATGCCACAAAGCATGTTCATATTAAAGATAGGGGGTCTTTATAGGATTCATATTTGAACTTAATTTTTGCAAAACCTACAAGCAAATGTTTTGATCAGTCTTGTTCAAGTGACAGTATTATACTTATTTGTTTTTGTAAATGTTGTTTTTGTTGTTGTTTTTCAGAGTTGTTACAGTATGTGCGAAAAAGATACAAACAGTATGAGCTTGATGAAACAGTACCTGTACCTAAACGGACAAAATTCAGGAGGAAAAAAGAATTGTCAGGTGATTCTGGCATGTGCAGTGTTTCATATGAGTCAGAGAAAGTTATGACAGCACTTTCTGAAATAACAAATGAAGAAAATATTGAATGTGACTACACCGAGCAGGTTAATTCTAACATGTGCAACCCATTTCACAATGAACTTGATACAAGTGAATGCGTCTCTACAGATCAGTTGTGTTCCAATGTTTTTACTGAACAAACAAATGCATGTATTTCCTCTGAAATTATGAATGACACAGATGAGCTTATAAAGCAAAATAGTGATGCAAGTGTTACAGAGAAATGCATGGCTATCTTAGCATTTGCCACAAAAATGAAACTAACTAGCTGTGGAACTGATCAGCTTATGAAACTTATAAAGTTATTTTCAAATGGAGACTCTTTGCAAGACTTAAATGGTGTCAGCCTTAAGAACATTTTTGACGGCATAGACATTAGAGAACATCGTTATTGTCAGACCTGTAATTTAAGTGATGTTGAATGTAGATGCACTGATATGCAAAAAATAAGTCACTTTGCAACAGCACCAATAGTTAACCAGTTGAAAGAGATTTTAATGAGACCAGGGATCTCAGACTGTTTAGAAGACATCAGTGTTATCAAATTAATGATGAATACCGATGGAGTTCCGCTTTACAGCTCATCTTCTGTTAGTTTGTGGCCAGTATATCTGGTGATAAACAACCTACCATCACATATTAAATTCAGGAAAGAAAACATGATTATTTGGGGTCTATGGCAGGGACGTGGTAAACCAAACTTCCACACCTACTTTAGCCCATTAGTAGCAGAGCTGAATAATCTATGGACAAACGGTATACATGTATTTCAAGAGGAACAAATAATTAATGTTAAGCTTACCATTGCAACGATGGACCTCCAGGCTAAGGCTTATGTCATGGCTATGAATCAGCACAATGGTGAATATGGTTGTGTGTCATGTGAGCATTCAGGCTCCGTCTGTAAACAAGGGAAAGGTTATGCACGTGGTTATTCCCCTTCATTTCAGCACCCTCCACCTACAAGAACCACTGAATCTGTTTTGTCCAATGCTCAAGAGGTCATTGCGTCACAGACAAGAAAACCCGTGAAAGGTATCAAAGGTGTTTCTGTTCTTTTTGAAATAGACTATCTTGACCCAGTTGATGCTGTAGTACCAGACTATATGCATGGAGTACTTTTAGGGACAACCAAAAAACTTTTGTCTTTATGGTTTAACAAAGAACACTCTAAAAAGGCCTACTACCTCGGAAAGAACATGAGAGATATAAATAATAGGCTCATGGCAATGAAACCAACCGATGCACTTTCGAGACTGCCAAGGAAAGTAGAGACAGTTACTCACTGGAAAGCATCAGAACTTGAAAACTGGTTACTTTTCTATGCAGTGCCTTGTTTAAAGGGAATTTTACCAGAACAGTACTTCCACAATTTGTGCTGCCTTATTGGTGGAATATACATTCTTTTGACTGAAAACCCATCTGATGAAGAATTAGATAGAGCCGAAAAACAGTTGAAAGATTTTTACGTGTCTTTTGAAATACACTACGGTACAAGTAATTGTGGCATGAATGTCCATAATATTGGCTGCCATTTGGTAGATTATGTGCGGCAGCATGGTCCCATGTGGGGTTGGTCGTGCTTCCCTTTTGAAGACATGAATGGATTATTAGTCAGATCGGCACATGGGACTGGACAAGTTTGCAAGCAACTCCTCAGATATTTATTGACCCATAAGAAACTGCATGCTGAAGCAAACTTTATGCAAAGTGACTCCCTAAAAAAGTTCACTAAAGATATGTTGACTGTGGGAAAACGATCTGGAAACTATCAAGAGGCTGCTAATTGCAGGATTATGGGTAAAACGTTCCCTGGTGAAATTCCAAGAGAAATAAAAGAAGCTATAGCAGCAAACATAGACTTAAATGTGGACGATTGTTTGTTTTTAAAAGCTAGAAGAGTCCATGTAAATGATAACACTGTTCATTCCATAGAATATAAAAGGGTTCAGAAACGAATTTGCTATGGGGTATTAATACAAACCGATCAGGAACATATTTTGAGTACAGTACAATACTTTGTACATGAATCTAAGAGTGGCAGGTGCTATGCAGTTGTAAGTCCTATGGAAATACTTAGTGCTATATCTGAAAATGTACCTCACATTGTAAGTGTTGAAGAAAGTGAGAGAAGACTCTGTTATCCAGTAGAAAATATTTCAGAGAAAGTGATGTTTATGCAAGGAAATACAGACCACCTTTGTATGGCTAGACTTCCCAACCTTTATAAGCACACAATGTAAAACAATTCAAAAGGTTATAGACAGTGAGTAATAGTCCGTGTGCCACTTCTGACATTGAATTTAAAGTCTAGTCTAAATGGGAATAGTGCTTATTTTGTTGATTTTAATGCTGTAAGGGATCACTAGTTATCCAGATATTGTCATCGCAGTATTATGTCAATAATGTCTTAATTAATTACAAAAAAAAACACAAAAGTTATATCTTAATGAAATACTTTAAACAACTGTATATAATTATATTCAAACATAAGGAGATAATGAACCTTTTAAAAATTCTAAGCATTAAATGTTTGAAACCATTTGCAAATGGCATTTCAATGCTATTTATGATAAACATTTTCCATTAAGTAGTCGGACATTTACTTCACCTTTTATAAAAGCTGCAAGCTTTTAATTGGTTGGATATCAATGAGTTGAAATCATGGTTAAGAAACTTACTGTTAGCAGTTAGTAAGAAGTGTATCATATGTTATCATATAATAGATAACAAACAAAAGCTGGGCAGACAGCCGAGATCCGAACCACTTGTCTTTGGATAGCAATTTCAGTATGCTATCGCTACATTATCACAACCCAGCTTCTTTGTATGAAGGTTTTGATATTTAGTTGTTGTTATATATTGTTATATTTTTGTTGTTGCTTGTGTGTTGTTTTTTTTAATATTTGTGACACCATCTTGAGTGTTTTACTTATTTGCATAATATTCTTAAATATAAACTCCTTTCCATAAGGCCAGGGCTCTCGACTGGGCCAAAGTCTATGAAGGGGTGGGGGGGATATTTCAAATGATTTTCAAAAATTTTTCATTTAAGGGGGAAGGGGGAATTTCAAAAGAAGAAAAATAAATAATTCATTAAAAAAAGCGCAAACAAGATTCATTTAACAAACTTATCAACAATAGGCTGCTGTCATGAAATATTTTAGTTATTTCCAATGAAATTGAATACATCTTTGATACTTTGTATAAAAATTCAACTTAACATACTGATCCTTGAAACATGGCTGTTAAATACAATTTTCAACATGTTCAAAGGGGATATTTTTTGCTTTTTAGGGGAGAAAAAAACACACTTTAAAGGGGAGAATGAGGCCAATATTTGGCTCCAAATTTTACCAAACATGAGCCCTGAAGGCTATTATCAAAACACTGCCCATATATGAATATTATGAAAAAAAGTATTGAGAATCATGTTATATCAATAAAATCAGTGCATGTTTTTACAATGACATTTTGTTGGTTTATTTAACCATTTAAAGAATTCTGAATTTAATTATTAAATGTATATGCATTTTTATATAATTTCTGTGACATTTATTGAAGGGACTCCACTGAGGTTTTTTTGACATGACAGTAACTGGAAATATATTTGACATTTTCGTATCTTATACTGCAGGTCTATACCAATAAATTGGGGACAGAATTTCAAATTATTTGCTTACTTAGTTTTCAAGAAAATATGTATTGTGAATATGACCTTTAAATGAAGTGATGATATTAATGCTTTTTTTCATCTAAGTTGGGCTAAATATTGCAATGAAAAATGACTTTAAATTTATTTCTTAGTAAAGCTATGATTTGTTTAACATTATTTAACTTTTATGTCATGTTTTGTTTTAAGTGCCCCAGTTGTTTTATAAAGTTTTTAAGAATTTTAAATCAGACCTTTGGCCCCTTGGGGGAGTTCATTAACGAAACTTACAATAAAAGAAAATTTTATGAATATTTTGGGTTTCTTTTATTTTAACCCGCAGAAAAATCTAATTTCTGTTAAAACTGCAAATATTGATTTTTTCATATATAAAAAATTAGAGCAAAAAAAAACATTTAAAAGTTGCCAGTCTTTTTTCTTTTTTTGGGTTACCAGGAAAAATTTTTTCTTTTTTAAAAAAATTAAAAGATTATTTAAAAAATTTAAAAATAAATTTTTTATAGATAAGTACCAGGTAAATTAACAATTTTTTTAGAAAATATTGGATTAGCAGAATGGAATAGAAACATCCATGCTATATTATAGCATGGATATTCATTTAATGAATAGACAATAGCAGTATTACAAAAGACTCACTTTTAAAAAAAGTTTACAAAAAGTGCATCTTTAAAACTTTATCAGTCCTGATAAATTTTGAAGTTCTTACACAGAAGACAAACTTTTAGCGAACTTTTCCAGGTAAAAGAACCACTTTAAGCAAAGCTTATTTTAAAAAGATGCACTTCTTACAGAAAAAGTAAACTTAAAACTCATTTATTTCAAACATGTCAGGAAAAAACATACTTCACACCAAAAAAGTCAACAATAAGTGTACTAATTGTGTGTTTTAAGTGTGCCATAAGTGTGCTTTTATAGCAAGTTCGTTTTTTTTTGGCAAGGGTATTACTGAGTGTATTAATATTTCTTGGACCAGGTAATAATGAATCATCAGCCTGCAAAAACAAACATATTAACACATGTTTTAACTTCCTCATAGATCGAATTGAACAAATATTTGTAATAAATTGTAAATATTTTATGTTTCCCTTGGCTTAGGCTTTTATTTCCCAAGTGAAATATATAAGAAAGATACTATTTATTTAAAAAGTAATTACAGACTTAATTAATGCCTATTGCCAACTGAGGTTTTTTTATGTGACAGGTTCGGAATAATTTTTTTCCCGGATTTATGTTCACATTTAATAAATGTTATTGTATACATAAAATAACATTTGAACAATTTGTTTTAGATCATTCGCTCACTTAGTTTGTACAGATAATTATTCTAATATTGTGAAAAATAGTCCAGAATTGGGGAAAGGCCTTGCAATGCTTTTTTTCACTCAAATTGTGTCTAAGAATAGCCACAAAAATATGATTTTTCAATTTTATTTTGTGGGTAATTTTTCTTATATCTATTGCATATCTTTCTGTTCCTTAAATGTGCCCCGCTGATCTATGATGGAAACTCAAAATTTTTATGTTTCAGGCTGTTGGAGTCAAGGAATTCCTTTAAAAAGAAAACTTTTTATATTTCTTTCTCGAATTTTCAACTGTAAAGTATTATGAAAACATAGTACTAAAAATGCACATAAACAGAGAAGTCTTATATGGAATAAAAACCTTTAAAAAAAAATTTAAAATTGAGGTTAAAAGGAACTTACATTTTTTTTCCTCAATGAACCCCTTTCTTCTTTAGTTTTTGTGCCTAAATTTAAAGTGGGGGAGAGGCGGGGGGGGTGGGGGGGGGAGGTGGGGAACTGGGGGCCACCGGGACCCCCCGTACTCTTCCTGCTTTTTTGCTTTTTTTTGCCAGACCTACAAAGTTCAGACTTGGAAAAATCTTAATTTTTCCTGTAAAGAAAATCATTTTATGTATGAAATTTTATGAAAAAATTACATACTGTGCTTCCCTATTTTTTGCGGGAGACCCCCACTTTCTGCAGCCATTTTTCAAAGTTTTTCCAAAAAATAAGGGTATTTCAAAAATTAAGAATTCCCCCCTTTTGGTTCGAATTTCCTTCTTTTTTTATTGAAAATTTCAAATCTCCTTCTTTTGAAAAAAATCCCCCACTTTCATAAAAAAAAAGTTATGGATGAAATTTGCATCATTAAAAAATGAGCTGTGCAAAATGTAATGTATAATACATCATTGTCCCTGCCAAAATTTTAGTAAAATATGAAATCCCCAAAACCACAAATTTTTGTAATTTTCAAACAGCATTCGCAGAATTTAATGAAAAGTCTATAAGTGACAAGAATGGTATGAAAAGTTATCAGTTTTTGGTCCTGCTTAAACAACTTTGCGCAGTAGGTTAAACATTAAAGGAATAAAATATTCTATAAAGTAATCTTTTTTTAAAAACACAGAAAAATTACCCTTAAAACATATTCAGTAAATAATAAAAGAAAACACGTAAATTTAAAAATTATTTTTTTCTATTTAAAATGAAAAACGCCCCCGACTCAAAAATTTTAAAAAATTTTTTTATTTCTCGGAAAATTTTTGATTCTAAAGACTTTTATATCGATGTTTGATTTTATTTTACAAAAAAATTCATAAATTTTTTGGGCCCCCAGCCACACAGGCCCCTTTGAAATTTTATTTGTTTAAAAAGGTTTTAAAAAAGGAGATTCTGTATCAAAAAATTTAGTAAAAAAAAATGTTTTTTTAGATGATTTAAAAAAAAATTTTGACATTTAAACAGAAACAAATAAAATTTCTAATTTTAGGCCCTTTTAGACGGTCTTAAATTCATGAATTTAAACAAAAAAAAAAGCTTCCATGTTTTTCTATGAAAAAAATTAATAATTTAGCAGTGAATTGCAAACGATAATTTGGCTCACGTGGACACCTTAAACTATGTGATTAAAAATTTTTTCCCTTATGCTGGTTTCTTAATTGGGTTTTTAAAGTATACATTTATAAATTCACTGCTCTTATTGCCACAGCGTATAAACTACAAAAAACTGATCAAATAAATTATTTTGTCTCAATCATGATAACTTGATCGATTCGATCGATTCCCTATGTCCAACCCCTTGCGGTGGGTAGCATGCTCCCGGACAGTACCGTATGGTGGGTTACCTGGATTCTTTCCGTACACCTCAAGGGTTAGGTGGGGAAACACTAAAAGGTCTCTGAAACAATCCCATGGTGTGTGTTTACCAAAGATAGAACCCTGGGACCTCAGGAAGTGGCAGCATTGGTCTATCCACCTGAGTATCCCCGCCAGTAAATAGTTAAGAAAATTAATATGTGTACTGACTTTCAAGCCTATAATTAAGCAAATACTCATTCTGCAGCCCTAGTGAGTTAAAAAAGGGTGTTTCATAACAAATACCTGTAGCTGTCACTCGGGTTGTCTTTTTTCCCCCTTTTTTGTGGTGTTGGGGGGGATTTGTGGTTTTTGTCTACCTGACCTTTCGCTTTAGCTCTGGGCTTAGATTCAATTAAAAAAATAAAAAAAATTTTCATGTGTTTTCAGTTTTGAGCTCCCCACAGCTCACTGAGGGTTGAGCTCAAAAAGCGTTAAAATCCAAATAAAAAAGTATATTCGTCAATCCTAGATTGCATATTTTGTGCCGGATTGAAAATTACCATTTATTTGGGATTTTAAAAATTTGCTCCCCGTCCCAAGTGTTTTGTGCCAGTGGGGCTCACCTGTTTAAATGAAGCTTTTATGGAAAAAAATTTTGGTATGGAAAGGATTTAACAACTTATTTGTAATTCCATCATTTCTTTACTACGGAAAAAATCACAAATTTCACTGAAATGTATTTATTATTATATTTAATTTCCTGTTCTTTTCCTGACGCATTTTGGTTCCGGCTTTTTTAAAAGCCCGAGTGTTCCAAAACATCCGAAGGCAGGAGTAAATTTCGTAATTATTGGGGCCGTCTAAAATTTTTTTTGGGAAAACCGCTTTCTTTACCATATTGTATCATTTGGGATAAATTAGAATAAAAAATAATTTATAGGGGTTTAAAACAATGGGCCTAAAAAAATCGTAGTTTCTAAATTAGCTATTAAAAAAAACCCCCAAGCTACGAAAAGGGGGGGGTTAATATTTTTAAAATGGCGGTTTCCTTAAACATTGTTTTTTATTTAGAATTTCCCACCTCGCTTTTTTTGGGAAAAAGTGTCGGAATGTCTTTTTTTACGGGCGAAAAGATCATACATTTTAAACAAAAAATTGGTATAATCCTTCATAGGAAACTACTTTATATTACCATTCATCATTTGTCGTTTATATTTCCTGTAAGGTGATAGTAGATTTGAAAAATATGTTTTGCCGCGACTTAAATTATTTTAGTCAGACTGAACTAGAGATATAGAATTTTCTGAATCTCAAAGGGTCAGAATAGACTATAATTTTTTCTCGTCAAATGTATTATTCTCGTAAGACAATTACTCCAATATCTACCCTAAAGTTATAGTTTTCATGCTAAAGAGCAGATGTGAGTTAATCTAGAATATAAACCATGGCCTTTGAGGTTAAAACCTTAGCCCTGCCCTGGTGGTCAAAGCACAAAGCCTAAATTATCGCATCAACTGTTGTTTTTTAATTTATCTGACTAGTGTAGGCTTTTGAATAGTTTAGTCTTTTTATTAGCCCCCGAAGGGCGGCAAATTTAACGCAAATATCATGTCCGTCTGCACTTCATTTTGTCTGGCATGAATTTAATCATGCTCTTTGAAGGATTTTAAAATAAACTTGGCATAAATGTCTTACCACAGAAAACCATTTTGTAGCGTCAAGAATCACGTCCCCTACCTCAAAGGTCAAGATCCACACTACTTTTGAAGTTTCACGTTATCAAATAAAGAGTTAATAGGTACACCACAAATCATTTCGGACTGTAAACTTTGTCTTCATCAAAGCATTTTAAAATATTACTTGGGAAAATGATCTCCACATCAAGACCATGAATCGAGGCTAAGGGCCTCCTGCCCGTCTGGGTTCAAAATTACAATAAGACAAAGCCTCTTCCCAAAAGTGAGAAAATCATTAACAATTGAGCCGCTGTAACTTGTCATGCATTGAAGGATTTTAAATAACTTGTGGCACAAATGTCTACCACATCACTATGTTGTGTACCTCCAAAAAAACCATGCCCTCCTTAAGAGGTCAAGTCACACATTTTGAAGGTTTGAGGCCTATCACAATATTATATTACAGATTACAGGTAACACATTCGTGTCTAGACTGTTACTTTGTCATGCATCTAAGGATTTTAGAATAACTGGGCATAAAGTCTACCACATCAGGACGACATGTTCGGTCCCAAACCCATGTCTCTACTTCAAGGTCAAGGTCACACTTATAATTTGAAGGATGTACACTTCCTGTCTTGACTGTAACTTGTTTTTATTAAAGGATTTCTAATTAACTTGGCACAAGTATTTACCATGAGTACGAAATATGTCAGACGTTACGGCTTGCTTTGCCCAGAAGCAAAAAATATCTCAAGTGATGTCATATTTATGGACTAGTGTTTACCACATCCAGGCAATGTCACATTTAGCAAGGTCACACTTAGAGGTTGAAGGTACACATTTGTGTGGAAACTGTAGCTTTGTCATGCATGGAAAGATTTTAAAATTACTTGGAACAAAAGTCAAACACATCATCATGTTGATGTGATTTACTTAAGACCCATGTCTGTTATCATGGTCAAGGTCACACTCTAAGTTTGAAAGTTTTACATAGTGGCTGCAGTTTTGATTCAAATATTCTGGAAATTTGTTAGGAAGGTTGTTTTAATGATTTCTAGGTCAAGTTTGAAGATGGGTCATCTCTGGTCAAAAAACTAGGTCACAGAGGCTAAAAATAGAAAAAGCTTGTTAACACTCTAGTGGCTGCAGTTTTGATCCAAATATTCTGGACATTTGTCAGGAAGGTTGTTTTAATGATTTCTAGGTCAAGTTTGAAGATTGGTCATCTCCGGTCAAAAACTAGGTCACAGGAGCTAAAAATAGAAAAATCTTGTAAACATTCTAGTGGCTGAAGTTTTGATTCAAATATTCTTGAAATTTGTCAAGAAAGTTGATTTGATGATTTCTAGGTCACGTTCGAAGTAGGGATTAAACGATGATCGAGTATAAACGAAAATTGATCGGTTATAGAACCGATCGGCGATGATCGATTACAAAGTTAAATAGTCGATCATCAGTAATTTATTTTCTTGCTGTTACTTAAGTGACTAGCTGTATTATAACAACACTCTAAATTAAAGCCAGTTTTGTTTGAAACATTAATTTTCATTCAATTGAATATGAAAGCATACTGGTGACCATTGAGTTAATAGTTGACATCAGGCATGCTAGTTTAAGGTATACTATGCTAAAATTTGACATTAGAAAATATTTAAAAATTGCTATACCGTCTATTTGTAGATATAAAATAACATGTTTTGACTTCACACAAAGAAGATATGTTATGTATAAAAATTATTCTACACACTATAGGTGGTTGTTGCAATATCAATATATAGTGTCATTAAAAAAACTGGCAGTTTTGTTAAGAACAATTCGACCAACTTAACTTGTTCCCATACATAGTTTATTCATTCCTTTATAGAAAGGGAGATATAATAATTTCATAGATTTTAATGAATTTATTTGATTAAAATATTTTACTCAAGGATGAGCATAGTATATCTTAAAACTAATTTATTTCAGTTGATAAAGTGGTGGTCACATGGAAAAGGAATTCTTATAAATATTAAAGCATGATATGTACATTATACTTTTTACTTTGTTATCATAAATGTTTCGATTATATAATCGATGATTGATCGAAAAGGGTTGTTCGATTATTTTCGATGATCGATTATGATTTTTGTCCGATTAAGAAACCCTAGTTCGAAGATGGGTCATCTCCAGTCATAAACAAGGTCAGAGGAGTAAAAAAAATGGAAAAATCTTGTTAACATTCTAGTGGCTGCAGTTTTGATTCAAATATTCTGGAAATTTGTCAGGAAGGTTGTTTTGATAATTTCTAGGTCAAGTTTGAAGATGGGTCATCTCCGGTCAAAAACTAGGTCACAGGAGCTAAAAATAGAAAAAATCTTGTTAACACTCTAGTGGCTGCAGTTTCGATCCAAATATTCTGTAAATTTGTCAGGAAGGTTGATTTGATGATTTCTAGGTCAAGTTCAAAGATGGGTCATCTCATGTCATAAACTTGGTCACAGGAGCTAATAATAGAAAAATCTTGTTAACACTCAAATGGCTGCAGTTTTGATCCAAATATTCTTGAAATTTATCAGGAATGTTGTTTTAATGATTTCTAGGTCAATTTGAAGATTGGTCATCTCCTGTCAAAAACTAGGTCACAGGAGCTAAAAATAGAAAAAGCTTGTTAAAGGGACTCCACTGAGGTTTTTTGACATGACGGGACTGGAAATAATTTTTTGAGATTATTACTCCGTTTGATGTAGATCTATACGCAAAATTTCAGATCATTAGTTTGCTCCGTTTTTCCAGAATAATTATTATAATAGTGAAAAATGACCCAAAATTGAAAAGCGTTTAAAGCTTTTCACTTAAATCGGACTGAGAATAGCACAAACATATGATTTTTAATGTATTTCTTCTATATTTTTTGGTTATATTTTATTAATATTTATGTTTTAAGTGCTAATGTTTATCTATGTGAAAAATTAAAATTTTATGTTTTTAGGCTTAAAAACCTCAGTGGAGTTCCTTTAACACTAGTGGCTGCAGTTTTGATCCAAATTTCCTGGAAATTGGTTGTTTTGATGACTTCTAGGTCAAGTTTAAATATGGGTTGTCTCCGGTCAAAAACTAGGTCACATTGCCAAAATATGGAAAAACCTTTTCAACACGCTAGAGGTCACATTTTTGACTCAATTGTCATCAAACTTGACCAGGATGCTTGTCTAAGACATTGCTTGGATGAGGTTGATGGGTCAGGGGAGGGATCTAGGACCATCATGGCCCCCTTGTTCCAAAATGCCGCCAAATAAAATTATCCCCCTTTTCATTGAAATTCACTGATCACAGCACTGACATAGATCTAAACTTTTAAAATTATTTAAATATCCAGGTAAATAATTAATTCCTTAGTTTTTTCCCCATAAACTACGCCATGAAGTATAAAATTATGGCTTGGGAAAAATTTGTATTGTGAGTGCTTTAAAGCAGGAAAAAATGTGTAAGCATTTCTTATTGCCAACTCAATAAGGAACCAAAATTCATTTAGAGATAAAACTTTCATTTCAGATATAGTTATAAAAAGGTATCTGTACAGTGCTGATGTACTGGGCATCACCTATTATGAGGAAGAGCGACAGAAGACAAAACAACACAGTTTTCGTAAGAAAGGTATATTGCACACTTATAAATTATTGGCTCACTTTTCATCAAGTTTTTGTATGTAAGCTTTTGTGATGGTCTGACCATCTTCATGCATCTTTAATCAACGATTTTGATCAAATTTAATTAGGTAGTAAAATTGAATCACTGTATTGACTTCATTGCAAGTCAACATGTATGTAATATATATAGAGGATATTGAATGTGTGTAAGTTCAATACTGAATTTATTGCACAAGTTGAATAAAATTATATTATGCGAGCCTCTGGCGAGCATAATATTATTTTATTCAACGAGTGCAATAAATTCAGTAATGAACTTACACGTATTTAATATTCTATTTATCACATACCCAAAATAAAGACCATTTAAAGTGAAATAAGAGTCATTTTTCATTGACGCGCCTATAGTATAATACTAACATTTACACTATGTTTGTATAACGCTAATGACGTCACATCAAAATATATGCACGGTCGTGCAATACCATATTTACGGAGTTGCGAAATCGGCACGGGTGTGTGATAAATAATGTTTATGGTATATTGGAAGCAAACAACCTTTTACTTCTGATGATTGTATGACTCATTGTGAGCTTAACTATGCCCCATGTGAAAACAATTTCTGCTCAATAACTTGCAAACAATTTAATCAAATTACATGTGATGATCACTGATGCCTAAAAGTGAAGGTCGCAATGACCACCTAGTAACTACAGCAATTATTTACTTGGTGATCTGTATAAGTCACACTGACAGACAGTGAGAAATGTGCCACAAGGAAGTTGAGTGGAAAATATTCAGCCATCTGTTTTAGTAACTCCTATATTTTCTAGAATGTCCAAGGCAAATACATGTACACTACATGTATCATCAATAATACACTTTTAATAAAGAATTTAGGATTTTTTCTGGCCCATTTTGATGGCAGTACTGGGGCATGTTCCCATTGCCAATAAGTATGTTTTTTCCCAGTTTGATGGAGAAGGTTCCCAATTCAAGGAACAAAATAAAATAAAAATTATATGAATTGTCATTTTGTTACATTTAACTGCACTGTATCATAGAATATTGTAATCTTGCAAACCAAATTGTAATATGAGCTTATGAGTGAAATATAAAAGGAGTTTAAGTAGCCAAATATTTGATTTCTTTGTCCTATTTGTTGAAAACAATAATTATGTTATCCACTTTTCCCAATTTGTTTAAAGCATTGTGAAAAGTACCAATTCTGGGGATCAAGACATGTTCTCTAAATACTTTGAAAGGAAACCTGGAATTAAATCTCTGCAGCAAAGGGGTAAATTAAGGAATATGTCAGAGCACTCCTTCAAGATGAAGAAAACTAGGGCATCATGTTCCTTCTTGTTGTAAAAATCTTTTTTCTTGAATTTTAGACAGTATTTTATTGATTTTGTTTCAGATGATTTTTTGAAAAGTTTGGAAACAAGACTACATGATGGGAAGTTTATATTCACAGAGGAAATAGAATCACTGCTATATCTAACAGAACCTGATGATGATTTTGATTTATTGTTTAAAGTTGTACAAAGGTATTGTTTGTTTGAATTTCTTTCTTGATCATGCGTGTTATATTGTGGTCATTGCAGTTGTTAAAATCTGTAATGTTACAATTACATAAAGTTAATGTTTTACATATATTCTGTATATAGCATTGTATACTGGTTCTATACATTTTTAAGGCAAAATAATGACCTGATCTTATAAGTGATCCGTCATATACATGTAGGCTGGTAAATAAAATATTTTCCCCAATATGTTTATATCAAAATCTTCATTACCAGAACTGCATAGCTAAAAGCTTTAGCATTGCAATTTAGTGTCATGTATTAATGCCTTCTATAAAGATTGTTTACTACTATTCACTAGGGTCTATTATAGCCTGGCTAAAGATCGAGAAGTTAGAACTTTGTTTCAATATAGATTTAGGCCTGAGATTAGAATTGTTAATTAGGAATTCATGCAGATTTTATGAATTATATAAAAATTATGTCATGCAGGTACCAAGAGCTCCAGGAAAAATCACCATTAAAGACAGACTTTCCACTAGGAATAACGATGCTGCTAATGTTGTATTATCTTAAAAGGGCAGATGTGGCATTTAAATGGTTTTTAGAAAATGTAAGCAAATTTAGCTTTTTTTATTGTAATAGGTGAAAACCTTGATATGTTTTGACTTATATTCTTTTTTCAAATTCTTAAATTGAAAGTTACTTTATGCTGATTTTTTTTGGCAAGTTTGATATACAAAAATGTATGTACAAATGTATATCTGAAGTTAAGAAAGGTATGGTCAACCTATACCGGCAAATATGACAATTGACATGCATGTACTGTTCTGTGTATACATTCCTGTATTTTTTTTCCCATGAACAGTAATACCTGAGAAAAATCTTTATGAGATTCCTGATACATTAAAGTTTTACTACTTGCTACTTGAATATTTTATTTACATTTCAGAAGAATACTGTAAACCCTGTGTGTAGATCTCGTAGATGTTTTCTAATCATGATGGACATGCTGCATGATAAAGGACGACATAAAGATGTTATCACACTGATAAATTTATGTGAAAAGTTCATCGACAGAAAATATCCGGAACATCTATGTCTTGTAATATCTTCCTTCTACAAAATGGTACTATACTACAAAATTTACTATCTTAGGCCATGGCCTTAGCAAGTGCTAGATAACTGCAGTATCTGTTTTATTATTTAATCTATTTAGTTTATAGCTTGAACTGGAGGCATATAGGGAGAGTTATTTTACTCAACCAGTTGTAGATGATGGTGTTGCCCTCATATTTTGGTTAAGGTTTTGTGTGCAAGTGGGTATCTCCATGTCATGTCCAAGGATTTTAATTCTTACATGAATTTTGACAGAATTATGACATTATCCAGGCTCTAATTTTACTATTATACACTGAGAATAGTCAAGCATTATTTCCTGATAGTGTTTGTTATTCTACTTATTTGCCATGTTTTAAAAAGCTCCAAACACAACACACTAACTAACTGCTACAAATTAAGGCCATAATCTTTGCAGGTAACATAAACCTTTGTAAATGTTTTTAGAGCCACTTATCCTGCAGGATGAGTAGTTGCATAATTTTACTTGTAGGAACCACATTTCAATGTGACCTGCTAAAGTTATATATTTCTGTAAACATGGATTTACACGCTTTAAAGTTCATGTAATTCTGATGGAGTTGCATTGTTAATTCAAAATAATGTCACCTTAGTAAGGTAACTCGAAATAATTGATATAAGTAGTTAACTGAGTACTACACTTAGTTGACAGTATCATTGTTTCCTTTCAGAATTCTAAGAAATCTTTCAAGCAGATGTTATATTTATTAAATGAGCAGTCAAAAGACCCCTTGCAGTTAACAGACAGATGTGCTATGCTATGTTGTATGTTAGCCTACAAACAGGTAAATTATTAACATAAATTATGAAAGATACATGTGTATATTGAATTTGAAATAATATTTTTGGCCATGTTGCAACATTAGCATTTGCTGACATTGTTTTGTTTAATTACTGAAAGAGTTGATATTCAAATGTGGGCTTCTTTCATATGTTAAGGTGACCCGACTAGTTGACACAAGATCGGTACTGATAATAAGGTGATTTATGCTTTAATTGATTGAATGACAGGTACCCTGATTATTTCTGAATTTCCATGGGGAAAAAAATTGGTTGCAGTCATACAACCTAAATTATGCCATTATGACCTAAAAGCAAAAATCACCTCATTCTCATCCAAAAGTAAAAATAAGGTTAAATATCATATTTGATTTAACCTTTATGTTTTTTTCTACACAGGTATATCAATACTATATACATTTTAGACTATTTGCCTATCTGATGAATAGCACCCATTCAACTTGATTTATTTGCCTTAAAGATTTGTCTTAAAATAATTGGAATTTTACTGATATTATATGATACCATGCCTGACATGTATGTACTTTTCAGTCATCAATTATGTTTATTTGAAATATTTACAGGGAAAAATGGACTTAATTGAAGAAATTATGCAGTTGCCAATCTTTGTTGTAGCAAGAAAACAACCAACATCTTTAATGTTTAATATGAAGGTACTTTGTTACATTAAAACAGGGAAGATTAAGCTTGCTGCAGAAATTCTGAAGGATTTTACATGCTCGTATAATGATAGTTATCCAATAATCTTTGATGAAGTGGTAAGTATTATATTATCTGAAATAAATTTATAGAATATTTGGCTCACTCGAGGAAGTAAAACTGCTATAATTTTTGTTTGTCTGTCCTTGTTTCCTTTAAAAATAAAAAAAAACATGGTAATGTGAAAAAACCCAGGTAAAAGCTGAATTTGATTTTTGCTAAAACATAAAGTAGATGTCAGGAAAGAAGTTATTGTATACATATTATTATTAATTTAAAGTATGACAAATAACCCGAAAAGATTTGAATCTTTACATTACTTTGAGGAAAAATTGAAAGGTTCATTAATTATAATAAAAGAGATTGATGTGTGGTACACTTGAACCAACATATCAGGTACTCAACTTTTAAGGTTAGGATTTGCCTTAAATTTCAAATATTTGAGTGGGAAATTTATTTTTTTAATTTTGGATAATGTTTCATAAACAACGCCTTTTACCTAATTGAAATGTTATTTTATGGTGCTCCTGTTGAACATTATTAATGATTTTAATAAAAACATGCCAGGTGAATCTGACAAAAATCATGTGCTTGTGCAGACAATATGGAGACATGTTAAACGTATGTGCAGTCAACCAGACACACTTGTTTGCTACATACTCTCAATATTTTCATGTTCAAATCTTTATATTAATGATGTCAATCTCTAAATAAGTAATGTAAATGTTATAATGATATTTTGTATAAAATGTTTTTAAAGCATTGTAATGGATGAGATACTGGTTATTCATGACTTTCATGTCTTGTTTCAGTTATTAAATTTTGAGAGTGAAGCTCGTAAATATGATGACTCGTTAATGGTAGAAAGATGTATGATGATTTCAAACACTCTGAGAGTATCTAGACTTGTTGTGCCTATGAGTTTAGAGGAGTTCCTTGTTACAGAAATAAAGAATGAAGAATTCAACAAATTAACAACTGCCAAGAATCCATTGAATATTCACAATAAAGAAAACAGATATCGTGATTTAGAAATAGTTAAATATGTTGGTGATCATAAGACTGAAAAAAACAAAGATTTAGATGGGGATATGCTTGAAAATTACTAAAAAGAAAGTTAAATATCTAAAGAAAAAGATTCTACTGTTTTTATGTTGTTTACTGCAATAACATGTACAATGTACTATTAAATTTTATGTTGATTATATATACAATGTCCTCAAGGTGAGCTTTTGTGATGGCCCATTGTCCGTCGTCCATCGTCCGTGCTTCAACAATTTCTTTAAACAACTTCTTATCCTGAGCCAAATTTGTTGAAACTTTGCAGGGATGTTTCTAGCATGAAGCTCTACCAAAGTTGTTTAAAGAATAAAATTCCTTGCCATGGTAACCAAATGAATTTTTCCAAAAATCTAAAAAAATTTCTAGTAAAGATCCGAAAGAGCTAGAGCTTAGATATTTGGCATGAAACATCTTCAAGTGGATGTCTACCAAGTTTGTTCAAATAAAAGCCCTAGTGTCAAAATTGGCTTCACCCCATTGGTCCTTGATTTTCCTTATATGTACAGTGTATATAGTAAAAACTTAAAAAATCTTCTTGTGAAAATCTAATAGAGGTAGAGCTTAGATATTTGCCATGGAACATCTTCTAATAGATGTCTACCAAGTTTGTTCAAATAAAATTCCTAGGGTCAATATTGACCCCGCCCCAGGGGGTCATTGATTTTCCTTATATGCATATAGTAAAAACCTAAAAAAATCTACTTGTGACAGTCCAGAAGCACTATAGGTAAGATATTTAGCATGAAACATTTTCTAGTAGATGTCTACCAAGTTTGTTCAAATAAATGCCCTCGGGTCATAATTGGCCCTGCCTCGGGGGTCATTTATTATGCCCCCGCCATATAATGGCAAGGGCATATAGTGTTACCCTGTTCCGTCATTCCGTAATTCCGTCCTTCCGTCATCATCAGTTTCCGTTCATTATCTTAATAACCGTTGCACATATTGAACTCAAATTTGACATATAGATATGTCATGAGAAAATACAGGTCAAGTTCGAAATTGGTCATGGTTCGATGATTTTTGGCAGAGTTATGCCCCTTTCACTTTGAAAATAATATGAAATTTTCAGTTTCCGTTCATTATCTCCCCAATGGTACAACACATTCAACTCAAACTTGACATATGGATATGTCATGAGAAAATACAGGTCAAGGTCGAATTTGGTCATGGTTCGATGATTTTTGGCAGAGTTATGCCCCTTTTACTTTTAAAATAATATGAAATTTTCAGTTTCCGTTTATTATCTCCCCAACAGTATTACACATTCAACTCAAATTTGACATATGGATATGTCAAAGGAATGCGCAGGTCAAGTTCAAATTTGGTCATGGTTCGATGATTTTTGGCAGAGTTATGCCCCTTTTACTTTGAAAATAATATAAAATTTTCAGTTTCCGTTTATTAATATTATCTCCCCAACAGTATTACACATTCAACTCAAATTTGACATATGGATATATTTTTGGAATGCGCAGGCCAAGTTCGAATTTGGTCATGGTTCAATGATTTTTGGCAGAGTAATGCCCCTTTCACTTTGAAAATGATATGAAATTTACAGTTTCTGTTCATTATCAACCCAACAGTGTTACATATTCAACTCAAAATTGACATATGGATATGTCAAAGGAATGCGCAGGTCAAGTTGGAATTTTGCCATGGTTCGATGATTTTTTGGCAGAGTTATGTCCCTTTCACTTTGAAAATAATATAGATACATCTTAGGAATAAGCAGTTTAAGTTGGAATTTGGTCGTTGTTCAATGATTTTGGACAAACTTATCTTTTCTGAATGTTGGAACAAAAATTTTGAACTTTCAGTTTCAGCACTCATACTTTTGTGGAAATGTATATAGCCATTATTTTGGCTACAAATATGCAATATGCTATTTTCAAAAGGTTAAGACTGAATAATTTCAGTGCCTTGAACATTGTATAAAAATGGTTTGTGTTAACATTGAAAAGTTTTAAGGGCTTTGAACATAGAATGAAAAAAATAATTTGTGCAAACAAATTTGGAACTAAATATTATAACATTTGAAATTTTGGCTGCATGCGGGGGCATCCGTGGCATGATGACACATTTCTAGTTTTCCTTATATAAATATAGTAAAAACTATAAAAAAAAATCTTGTGACAATCCAAAAGAGCTAGAGCTTAGATATTTGGCATAGAAAATCTTCTAGTGGATGTCTACCAAGTTTGTTCTAATAAAGCCTTATGGTCAAAATTGCCCCCGCCCCAGGGGGTCATTGATTATCCTAATATGTTTATAGTAAAAACTTAAAAATCTTCTTGTGAAAAATTCCAAAAAAGGTAGAGCTTAGATATTTGGCATGAAACATGCTCTATTGTATGTCTACCAGGTTTGTTTAAATGAAACCCCATGGTACAAAATTGACCCCCGCCCCCAGGGTGTCCTTGATTTTCCTTATATGCATATAGTAAAAACTTAAAAAATCTTCTTGTGACAATCAAAAACCGCTATAGATTACATATTTGGCATGAAACATCTAGTGGATGTCTACCAAGTTTGTTCAAATAAAAGCCCTAGGGTCAAAATTGACCCTGCCCCAGGGATCATTGATTTTCATTATATATACAAGTATATAGTGAAAATTTAAAAAATCTTCTTGCGAAAATCCTGAAGACCTAAAGCTTAGATATTTGGCACGAAACATATTCTAGTGTATGTATACCATGTTTGTTGAAATAAAACCCCTAGGGTCAAAATTGGCCCTACCCCAGGGGATCAAGGTCGACAGTTCAATTCCTTGCCAGGTCAAATGTTGGGGCGTCCGTGGCCGAGTGGTTAAGGTCGTTGACTTCAAACCACTTGCCCCTCACCGCTGTGGGTTCGAATCCCGACAGGGATTATATAATAATAATGGATCAATGATGATATCAGTTAATTATTCTGATTTTTTTGATTAGATGTAATGTATACTTTTTAATGTGTTTAGTCATTAAAAATAATTAATGAATAATTTACTTGATTAGGATAATCATAAGATATTTTTTATATTATTTTTTATAAATAAAAATAAAATTTATAGGCAAAAATGATTAATAAATTTTAATTGCTAAACTTTTGTATAATGAAAAAAGGAGTTCGATACACACATGTAATATGTGTTAAGTTTGCTGTCGGTGATAATTTAGGTGTTTATCAATTCATTACTCAAGAATCAAGGTGTTAATAGATTAAAATAGCTGTAAAAAGGTGTTGATGAATAAGTATTATATTAGTTATTTGGTATTATATATTGTTTCAAGTTAATGACTACATGTTTTTAAATCAATTTTTTAAAAAATAGTAAGTGTGAAATGTGTTTGCATACCACAGTGATTTTTTTCACTGTATTTTACAGCCGAATAAAGGCCGTTTCCCCTAGCCAAAAATAGGTGTAAATTTCCCCTAAAAATGCTAATATTTCCCCCTAAAATGACTTGTGATCTTCCTTACCAAACCATCCCTTACAGTGTCTGAAATATTGCACGGAAAGGCACCTGACGTCTTTCTTCACCAGTAAAGCTGGAAAATCGACATATGACTTACTGTGTTTGGTACATAAAAGAAAGAAAGAAAATTTTCATATTTACTTTTACAATAGCACCAACCTGTTAAAATATTAATATATGATGTGACCTTAATAGAGAAAAGGACTTACTCAAAGAACAAGAGTGTTCCTTCAAAATTATTCCAGTTAATAGTTTAGAATACATGTATTTAGAAAATAACAAGTCCATCTCCAACAACCGTCCACGCACATTTTCATGTTTTATGTCACTGGACCATTTCTAAAGCAATAGTTGTATTTCAAAAGGAGCTTATTACAAACATTAAAAATATTTTCAATCCGTTGTTGAATCACATCACATTTTACCTTCGTTTTGTCAACATGGACTTTGTACAAAGTGCTTGATTACATGTTTACAAAGTTTGACCTGTGTCTACTTAGTTAACGATAAATGTGATTGAACAAATTTTTGAATATTTTGTATATATCAACAAGAATCATTATTTCAAAATAAGAATTATATACACAGCGAACATAAAAGCAATCGATTTTTGTTTGTTTTAAAAATAGTCATGAAAGTATCAGCCCCCTTTCTTACAAAATCCACAACTCAACCGAACATTGAGTTCCATTGTCATTTGATACATAGATAATGAAACATTTTATAAACAATTTATTCATGTGATGACGATTTGTGTCTAGTGGTGTTCATACATATTTATATGTACTCAATTAAAATGGACTTGTACATAAACTGGTAGGTCAAAATTGATATATAAAGATAATGAAGATAAAGTTGCGTACAACTTCATTTTAACAAGTCGAATAAAAACAAGAAAGAGGTACGATCCTCTGATTAAAAAAAAATTCTTTAGAAAAAGGCCATTTTTTAAGGAAAGAAAAAAAGGTTTAGAAAAGAAGGTGGGAGCCAATCTGCTCTTTATTCGCCATTGACTAAAACGTAAGTAAACTATATGCAATAAGCAAAAAAATAGGTATTGTTCACCTTCATTGTGAATTATATGCCCTTAATTTAAACAAAAAAGTCCAATTCAGGGTCAGATAACTCAATAACGAGGACAGTGACCCCCGTTTTTTCTTTTATCATAGTCTAACAACATGCCAAGCTGGAGAAATTCTATTGAACAGTTTTAATTTTGCCTATATATGAAAACTCCCGGTTTCCTGTGAAGCTACTTTATAAATCTTATTGTATGTGAGCTAGTAAGAGATCCAAACATGAAAACTGAGATGGTAAAGATTGTATTTTATGTATAGTTTTATACTTATTGTAAATAAGATATGTTATCAAGATTAAGTCAACTTACATTACCCTTTTTAAAATAATAATTATGGCCTCATAAAATACAAAAAATAACACCCTCTTATAATAAAATTACATCAATAAATAAATAATTGACATTCTGATATAACCAATGTCTCACGAGTCAATGCATTTTAACATTCTTAGTAACAACGATAACAATGTATTTTAATAAGACTGGAGGCAATGATGATTTAAATAAGATTAATTCTAGCTTAAAAAAAAGAAAATGTTAATGTTTAATGTACATTTGTCATAATCAGAGCTGCATCAGTACTAAGGGTGTAGTACTTAAGTAC